TGTGTGCAGGGACAGGTGCACTCGTGCCCGTGTGTCTTTATTTTCCTGCAGAAAGCCCGCCTAGAACACGAGCCCAGGACGCCCGAGGAGTTGTTTTCTACATTGACACCGCGCACGAAATGCAAAAGGGAGGCAGAAAAACCACCCACATTTTCCTTCTGGAGAGGAGGGAAAAGACGAGCGAAATTCATGCAGTTGGCGCGCAGCTGGAGGGAGAGGGAAACCCGAGCGAGGCGTGCGCCTTACCGGGGGATGCATTTACTGTCTCATTGCAGAGTGTCTGCCAGGGTGCAGCCCGCGTCCACCCCCCCGCGCGCCCTGACGCCGCTCAGCTCCTCAGCCGCTGCCGCCGCTACCGCCGCCGCCGGCTCCGGGCGCGGAACTAGAGCCGAGGGCGAGCGCGCGCGCACGGCCCCGAGCGCCGGGGGCGCAGGAAACGCGTCATCATTCGGGGACCGCGCGCCGCGGGGGCTCGGCGCCGCTTGGTCGCTGGGTCGGCTCCGCCGCTGCTCTGGGGGTCTTCCAGGCCTTATGGCCCGCCGCTGTGGAAAGCGGCTGGGGGCGCGGACGAGCGCGGCTCCGCAAGGCGCCTCTGAGGAAGAGGGGTTCGAGTCCCGATCCACTCGAGCTCCCGGGGCGCGGGCCGGACCTCGCTGGGACTGAGGAAGCGGCCGGTGAACCGGTGGCAGCGGGGCTGTGCTGTGCTGAGTTAAAAGTGGCCTGCATCCCGCCTGCCCTTTGTCGCGCTCTTTGCCCCTTCGGTTTACCGGCTTCAGGAGCGACGCGAGGTGAAGGTTACAAGGGAACAAGGAGTCTAATGACGCGCGTCCCGTGGGATCAAGCTAAATACAGGCGGGAAGACCGGACCGCTGAAGACCTTTGTGTTAACTCAATCTCAGTGTTCGGTGGGAGTGTGATTTTTTTTCAGTTTTTTGTCTTTTCTGTTTTTTAGTCTTTTTTTTTGACACTGGGGCTCAACTGTGCAGTTCAGGCTGGCCTTGAGCTCACCTTGCAGAACTTGGAACGATCCTCCTGCCTGAGCCTCCCGAATGCTGGGATTATAAATGTCGCCACTGCGACCGGCTCAGGGATTGTGGGTGGTTTTTTTTGTTTTGTTTTGTTTTGTTTTGTTTCCTGCTTAGTTCTTCCATCTAGTTTTTCCTGTAAGAAATACATTATTTTTGTGATTTCAGGGGGGAAAATTAAGAACTTTTCTTGTCAATACAGAGCAGTCAGTGTAGACCCTTCTTAAGAAGCAGTACATCTTCAGTTAATTGAACTTAGTGTTTTTCTTGAAGCGAAGTGTTCCTGCAACTCATATGTGAGTTGATTTGTAAATTGAAACTATCTTGAAAGAGTCTTTGAGACAGACTAAGACTGGACATTCTGTGAGAACACTCACTTCTCATCAAGACTGATGAGCCCCTTGGGGTGACCTGCATCTATAGTCCCACCTCCTCCTGAAGCTGACACAGAAGGATCACAAGTTCAAGGCAGTTTATCGAGATCCTCTCTTTAAAAGGGTTGGGAATATAGCTCAGGACTCCTTGGGTTCAATCCTCAGTACCAGAGAGGAAATACTGATGCACTCAGTTGATTATGGCCTCAGAGATCTTTATAATCTCAGAGTACAACTTTGTGATATAGTCCCTTTTGCAGAGAATAAATGTTAAAAGTCAAACGCAATCAGTGTGCCAGTTACCTCCACTTGACCAAGTCCTAAAAGTTGCAGGGCACAAACTGTTTCTAATAAAATACTTGGCATTCACTACACTTTCTTAAATTCACCAACCTAATAATGACCAATGGTGGCGGCCAACCACCTCAAGGGATGGTTAAAAAAACAAATGTTTATTGATTTCAGTAAAAGCTTGATAATCTCATTAAACTGATCCTAGATTTTCTGTCAAATCACAACCATATTTCTGTAGCTCAAGTGCCAGAGTTACATAAGCTCACTAAGAGACGAAAAACTCACTGCAGTTAGTCATTTTCTCCTCATACTTCCTAGTTCATAGGGCCTGGTGGATTCCTGTCAAGCATCTCAAAATCATTACTTTTTCCCCCAATCTGGATTCCAAAATTTTCCATCATGTAATCTCTCCAAAGTAGCCCTACTACCTATCAGTACCTACCAGTGAGATTCTTCTCAAGATTATAAGGTAAGCTCCACAAGAGCAAGTCTGTGTAAAAAATTTCTGTGTTCAAAAGACACCTGGTTGTTTGATAAAAGTTATTTTTACACTGCCTCTTTGGCTAGTTCCTTAAGCATTCTCCTGTTAGGCTGTCAACATCATCTTGGGATGCGAGGGTATAAAGCTGCAGCTTGGTTTAGTAACACTCTTCAAAATGCAATTAAATCTTAAGACATTCTGAGCAGGGGGGTGCAAGTGTCAATACCTGCACGTTTCTGATTGAGTTAGCGCTGTCTGGAGGCTTTCTGAGACCTTTCCCCTGGTGAGGAAGAACAGCAATCCCAGAGTTCTTTGCTATGACTGTCCTGGCTTCAAACTGACCCAGACTGGACATTTCCTGTAGCCACACGTATGACTTCAAAACCATTACTGTTTCTTTGGAAAAATCTACTAACCACTCTATGACTAGTCATATTTTTTGAACAACTTCCCCAGTAGATGTAAAAGTTGATTTTATCAATAATCTATGTAACTTTTCTTAAAGTGAGACTCCACCCTTAAACTTAAGAAAATAGTTCGGTTCCTCTCTCTCCCCTCCTCCTGCCCTTCCTGCTCCCCCCTTCCCTCCCCCTCCCTGTTTCTCTCTCCTGGAGCCAGGGCTTTGTCAGCTTTTTTTTTCCAATGCAGGGTCTTGCTGAGTTAGGTAACTGTCAGGCTGCCTGCAATTCTCCTGCCTCACCCTCCCAGAGTGCTGGGATTATGGATGAGCACCGCCATGCCCTGTGTTTCTAAATTTATACCCAGTCCTTAGCGGCCTCAGACTACGCCAGTCCCAGAAACAGTTGCAGACAGGCAAAAAATTAATTTATTTTTAACAATGTGTAACAGTTTGGGGATTGACTGCACCCAGAACAGGAAAACATACTGATGGTTTATTTTAAAGTATCTAGAACGCTAAATGAAGTTTGACAGTAGTTAAGCAGTTTCCCAAGCCTTTGAATATGGTCCTGTTTCCTGCTGAGCGGATCCTAATTGAAAATAACATTGTGAACAAAATGTAGCAGCATAAGGCTCTATTCCCAGCACTTGAAAAACTGAGACAGAGAGAACAAAAATGTGAGTCTTGGGGCTGGGGATTTAGCTCAGTGGCGTAAGCACCTGCCTTTCAAGCAGGTGGTTGTGAGTTCGATCCCCAGTACTGATAAAAATGAAAAAGACAAAAAAAAAAAGTCTTGCATGGGCAATTTAGTGACATTTTGTCTCATAATTTTAAAAAGGAGTGATGTTAAAGAAAAAGCCATGGGGACACACAACACACGTGCACACAAATACTTTTGTATGAATAAAGAATGGACTATTTGAAAAAGTAAACAAAAGAGATCATTTCCAAATCACTTGAAAAAAAAGTCTATCTGTAAGGACAACACCATCCAAAACATCCTACTGTTCCACAATGAGATCTGTAATTACCAAATTAAAGGCTGCTGGTGCCAAAGAGTCCAGTGCTGAGATTCCTCCCTGCCCTGTCCCTCCCAACCTTAGGCTCCTGACTTCCTATCTGCCTGCACCTGCCTGTAACTGGGGTCCAGTTTCTGAGTTTTCCTAACTGAGCAAGCCCAACTATACTATATCCATATTGAAGAGCAAAAAGATATCCCACCAAACCTTTCATTTGACTTCCATTTATAGTTCTGTCATATTCTGTGCCATATTAAAATATGTTCTGGGCTTCTTTGATACAATACACCAAGAGTTCTTGTTTTTCTCTGCTTTCAAAATGCTTGTATCCTCCCCCTGGAGCAAGGTGGAAGTGAAAACCACGTTTTCTAAAAGTTGCCTATTACTCAGAATCAGTGATAAAAACAATATGATCAGCTTCTATTCTCATTTGACATTAGGTTTTTGGAAATGTCCCCATTTCTTTTCTAAGGATAAGTTGTGAGAGAGTTACAGTCTAGTATAATTCATATGTTAATTTTTTGTTCTATTTTGAAGGAAAACACTTGACATTTTACAAGAATACATTTTAGCTTCTTTCTGTCCCTAAAGGTAAGGCCTCATCTCATTCCTATTTGGGGGCAAGTGACATATTAGGTTTTTCTTTTTTGTATCGGGGTTTGAACTCATGACCTTGAGCTTGCCAGGCAGGTGCTTGTGCCGCTGAGCTAAATCCATAGCTGATACATGTAGATTTAACTGTCCCTTTTTTTAAAAAAGGAAATTGATCAGATAGATTCAGGGAATGATTATCATCATACCCAACACAGGACGTGCTTGAGATTAACTTTTATTTTCCTGTGGTATATGAAACATACTGCAGATGGTTCTCCAATGTCTCTGAAACAACATACTATGTAGAAGAATACCAGTAATTATTTTTCTCACTTGGATTTATTTTTAATCCAAATCATAGTTAATGTAGAGTGAATAGTTTAAAAATCAGAATGTTTTTCTTTTCATTGATTTAAGAAGACATGTTTGGATAACAATATCATGATTTAAAAATCTGTTTAAAACATTCTTATTGTGACCCAGGTATGGTGGCACATACCAGGATTTCCTGGCATTCTGGGAAACTGAGGCAGGCAGATTTGAAAGATCTAGCTCAGCCTGAGTAACTTAGTGAGACTATGTGTCCAAACTAAAACTTATGCTATGTGGGTCCAGGGATCAAACTCACAACCTTGTGCTTGCCAGGCAGGCACTTATACCACTGAGCCCTCAGCTCTGACAAACTAAACCTTAAAAAAGGGTGAGGGATGCAACTTAGTGTGAAGGCCTTGGGTTCAATCCCCTCCCAAATGTTGGATTAGAACTTGTCTACAGTAACCCGACTCTGCAGCTCCTTCCCCCTCTGCAGTACTGATGGAGAGGCTGGCTGATCCTGAAATCTTACGGCTGAATTGTGTTTTTAGATTTAAAGCATCAGGAGGACTTCCTTTGATCATGTGAGGATTTCAGACCAGAAGATGAAAGATGTGCTGTGTTTGATTAACAGTATACCTTTGCCACAGAAATCATCAACTCAGTCTCCAGAGAGACAGGTAATGGGTATGACACAAATATTCAATCTTCTGTTTTCAGACAACTGCTGTAATAGAGTAGCAGTCGGAAGGCAGTTTTAGGGCAAACTTTATGCTTGAAAGAACCAAAAATACAGGAAAGGAAAATAAAATAGAAAACATACTTTAAATAAAATTAGAAATATAAATCATCTTAGAAATGTTGCAAATAAAATAATGGGGATAAAATTTCCTTTTGTGTTGGACTTTAAAGTTCTAAGTCACTTTAATTGAAATAATTTTCATAGCATAAAAGAAATGTTGGGCCAGGCATGGTGGACATACCTGTAATTTCAGCACTTGTGAGGCAGAGGCAGGAGGATCACTGAGTTCACAGCCAGCTTGGACTACATAATGAGATCAAGGCCAGCGTGAACTACTAGTGAAAACCCTCCTCTCCACCACAAACACACAGAAGAAATGTTAGATTTTTGCTTACTTAGAAACACATTTTGAGAGAATCATCTGATGCTAAACTCATTTTCTAGGGACCTCTGATGTTCACAGCAGCTAAATGATAAACATTAATGAATCACCTTATCTGCTAGAGTTATACATAATTTTATCTTTTAAACATGATGACAATCTTAATTTGTAAATTTCAACTATTATTCAGTTACAGAATTTATCCTTCCTTTTTTATTTAAAATTTTTTTTAAAAAACAGTATCCTGCTGTATAGTTCAGGCTGGCCTCAAACTCACAACAATCTCCTTGCCTCAGCCTCCTGAGTGCTAGGATTATAGGCACGTGTCCCCGTGTCTGGATGTCATGTATTCTGTTGGAAGATTTATATATGGCGTGTATGAGTTTTTCCATCTCTGAACTTTGTTAGTTTTCAGTCTCGTGTGTATTTAATCCTGTGAAATTCATATTTTGTTTTTGTTTCTGTGTACTTTGCTAGGTATCGTCAGTTCCTGTTGCTTCAAGTGGGACAAAAGTTCTCCTTGGTACTTCATTATTGCTGAGTGAAATGGATTCAGGTAAGGAGTGTAAAAGTGTGTTTCTAAATTATCTTTATCACAATAACATTTTCAGAAAAGTAGAGGTGTAAGGAGTGCATTACAGCAGTCTGCTGGTTCTGGTTCTCATGCTGTTACCTAACAGTGTGCCTTCAGTTATTTACGTTTGGAAGGTTAGGTTTCTTTACTAAAGCCCTTTTGGTGGTCAACAATTTTTACTTCAGGTTCTAATAAGCTACTTGATGATCTGATCTCTGTGTGATCCTTTTCCGTAGCCATGCTTAGTTGATCTTTTGAGATTTCAAGCTAGAGCATAAGCTTGGCAGAGATAATAAGTATGTCTGTTCTGGTCACTCTTAAGTTCTTGGGGGCTGACACAGCTTGGAACATGGTAGATGGGTCAGTAACTATTTCATGGAGTTCTCAATGAGTGAACTAAGCCAAAAATGAAGTCACTGAAGGAAAGATTGTAGTGCTGTTTGATTTCAAATTTGATTATCACGTGCCTAACTGAGTCACCTCGTGGGACTTGATAAAAGCTCTGGGGCAGTTTTGAGTGTGAATATAGAGTTACATCTAATGCATAAACTTTGCCTGAGAGGACTTGGGCTTGAGTGCTTTGTGCAGTGTTTAGTGGATGTCTTTCTACCCTAGAGTCTGATGATGAGTATTTCGACGCTGAAGGCGGTGCCTCCCAGGTGCCTAGAGGTGCGCGAGGCTCCGAACCCCGAAAGGCTGCGGAGGTTCCGAACGAGGCCCTCGTTAATCTTCTGCTCAAGTTTGAAGTTAAAGAAGTATGTGTACTTTTTGTCTATGAATGTATTCTTGTCATCATTAAACTGTTTCATGGTAGACCACACATTAAGTTAGGAAAATGTACCCCCACACACCATGTCAAAACAATGAAAGTCTTTTTTTTTTTCTTTTTTTTTAAATAGGGATGACTTGTGGTTTGATCTATTTTGGAAGAGCTCAGAGCTTTTAATTAGGATTTGTGTTTTTTCAGACAATTTCTGACTTTTTTTTTGTGGTACTGGAGATTTAATCCAGGAATCATAGAGCTACTTCCCTGGCTCTTTTTTGTTTGTATTTTGAGACAAGGTCTTGATAAATTGCCCAGGCTGTTTCTGACCTTGGATTCCCCTTTGTAGCTGGGATTACCAGCATGTGTCACAAAGTTCAGCTTATTTTTTTAACTTTCATTTGTGAGTTAAATAATAGTTGCTCATTGTCATATTTATAGTTTGGAAAAATGTAAAAATCCTAAATTTCCAGCATGCTTTTTCTGCCCTTTAAAAGTCATCTAGTAAGCTGAGTGTGGTGGCACACAAATGTAATCCCAGCACGCAGGAGCCTGAGGCAAGAGAATCCCGCAAGTCCAAGGGCAGCCTGGGCTACAAAGTGAGCTCAAGGCCAGACTGTACTGCTTAGCGAGACCCTGTCTCAAAATGGTCCAAAAAATAAGTCATGTAGTAAAAGGAAACCTGGAAATATGGTCATGGTATATAGTTACTTGATGAAAATGGAATGTACACTAGCAAGGACATAATCTGTTTAAAATTTCATATACATGTTTTCTTTGATAAGTACAGATTGTTCATCTCGGGGTGCGGTGTTTACAGCTACAGATCTGAGAAATGTCACTGATTTGACTTGTGCATGCGGACCAAGCATTGCTGGTATCTGTTTGAAGTGAGATGCGTTAGCCTTTTTAGCCTGCTGTCTTCCTCTTCCTCTTTGACCCCCAGTAGCAGCAGACCTCTCAGCTTTGTTTTCTATTGCACTCACATGCTTGCTCTCCCCCACTGCTGCTCTTTGTCCTGTCCTCTTCATCTCTGGGCTGTATCTTTGCAGCAGCTTCCTGACCGCTGCTCTGTTATCCATAAGGCAGCCAAAGCGACCCTTTTAACACGGAGGCCGCGTCCTGGCGCTGCTCTGTTCGTGCCCTCCCCTGGCTCAGTGATGACTTGTGCTTTCCTGTGGCCTGCAAGGCCTTGCAGGGATCACCCACCCGCCTGCCTGTTTGGGCCACTGTTTTCTGCTTGCTTCCTCTGTTGCAGTTGCGTTTCTTGCATTCCTCCAGTGAGTGCGGTGCCGTCCTCCACCAGACATCGGTGTTGATGTTGGAAATGGGTGGTGAGCGAAGTCCTTGCCCCGCGAAGTCCACTAAATGTGTTTTTTCTCACATATGTGCACCAGAACTTTCTCTGCTTGCCATTTTTTGGTTGGGGACACTTTCCTAGCATGGCTTGATTCTTGTGTGCTTCAAGCGCTTGTATGTGTCTCCTCACTGGGAAGACCCGACTACCTCAAGAGAGCAGTGTTCCTTTTCCTTCTCTCTCTGGCATGTGGGGCACATGAGGGCAAGAACTATGTCTGGCCTGCTTAACCTTGGTCTTTTTAGCTCCTGGGACAGCCTGATACATGCATGGTACATGATATGCAATAAATACTTCATTGACTATTGAATGAACTGAGGTGAAAACAGAACTATTGAAGGAAAAAGAATAATGCTGTTTGGAATACTTTTCCCAGTAGAACTTTTTAAAAAGGTTTCTATAGTGAAATCTATCAGTTTTTTTCTTTATGACCCAGTTTTAGTGTATGCCTAGAAAATTCTCACAAAATACTTACCCATGTTTATATATATATAAAATCTATGTATGTATATATATATATATATATATAACCTATGTGTTTATATATATATATATATATATATATATATATGTATATATTAAATGTATATATTTCCCCCTATTACTTTTGTGGGTCCCAGGAATCGAACGCAGGACCTTATGCTTGTCAAGGCAGGCCCTGTGCCACTGAGCTATATTCCTGGCCCCATGTTTTATGTATTTACTATTTCATTGCTTTTGTTTAAATAATGCGTAGGAAGCTTATTTCTATATAAAGTGTGTGCTGAACTTTACTTACTGTATTATCTTGTTGTTATCTTCTGTTTTTGGTTGCTTTTGGCTTGATTTTTCTTAAGTACATAATCATACCACCTGCTAATATTAGTGTGCTTTTTCCATAGTTTTTCTATTTTACTGGCTACCATTGCTGTTTATCAAGTTACCCTCACGCTTAGCTGCTTAAGACAGCTATTTTTGTTTGCTCATGCATTGTGGGTTAGGAGTACCAAAAAGCCCAGCTGGACTACTCTGGGTTTGCCTGTTGTCTTTGATCAGGTGTTACCTGGGGCTTCAGTCACTGGAAGCCTTGGGGTGCAGGTCCTTTGGTTCCCTTGGAGGCTGGCGGAGGCTGGCGGAGGCTGAGGGCTGGCTGCTATCTGGGCTTGACTCTCCAGGTTCCCATGGTGATTGTCAGCTTTCCCAGGCCCTTTGTGTTACCAGAGTCCTCTGCGCTCTATTGATTGAGGCATTCATAGGCTGTCCAGGTTCAGGAGGAAGCAGCACAGACCTCTGTCTTTTGGAGAGTGTATTAAAGAATTTTGGGGGAAAATAAATAAATAAATAAATAAAAAGAGGGAGTTTATATCTTTTAAAAGATACCATGCTTTGCTTTTTATTATCTAAATGTATCAGCTGCCATTCCACAATTAACTTAAGTAATATGATAACAAGCACTCTCGTCATAACTTTTTCTCTTGTTTTTGTTTTGTAGACATGGTCTTGCTTTGTAGTGCAGGCTGGCCTTGAGCTATTGGCAATCCTCTTGCCTCAGCCTCCTGAGTGCTGGGATTACAGGCATATGCCCGCTGCCTGACTTTCTTGTCATAAATTTTTACTTGAATAGCTTCTGTTATCACCAAATGTGATTTTAGTTTGAGAAAATATTAAGGAAGACTTCATAAATTCTAAATTTTTCTAAACTTAAAAAAGTCAACAAAAGATGTTAAATTTCACCATAATCTTTTATACAGGAATTTATACTCTTGATAATGATAATTTATAACATTAAATAACTTTATGGTGGGAAAGGGGTCTGAGCAAAGTTTTAACTGTATTCATGGTGGTGTGTATGGAGAAAGACTTTGTTTTTTATTTGAACTATGACTTAAACTTTTGTCAACTTTTCACTTGGCTATGCTAATTCTTTTAGGTAATTTTGGAATTTACTAAACAACAGAAAGAAGAAGATACAATTCTAGTATTTAATGTTACTCAGTTAGGAACAGAGGCCACAGTGAGAACTTTCGACCTAACTGTGGTGTCTTATTTAAAGAAGATCAGCTTGGATTACCATGAAATTCAAGGTAATATTCCTAAAAATGGAAGTGATAAAAGTAGCACTTTTAAGCATCTAAAACACTTTTATTTCTATGATAGTATCTATTATAAACAAGAGTAAACATTGTTCAAAACACTTTACAAATAACAATTCATTTAAATCTTATAATAACATAGTGTTACTGTTGGTAGTTTTATGTAACTAAGGTATAGATTTCTTATAAAATTTACCCTTGGTCTAACAAGGAGTAGCAGAGCCATGAATGAAATCTTGGCAGTCCGGCAGGCTAGCAGTCTGGGGTTGCTGTTCTCAGCTACTCTGATTTGTTACCTCTGCCTTTGTGTAACTCTCCTTAGCAAACACAGGGACGGACAAAAAGGGTCAGAGAAGAATTCAGTAGCTTCCTTCATGTCATGTATTTATGGCTAGAAGACTGGAGAGTTTGTCTCTGATCCTACAATGTTGAGGGTCCCCTTTGTTTTTTTCTTTCTGAGACAGGGTCTTACTATGTAAGGCAACTGGTCTTGAATTTTGCTAATTTAGCCCCAGCTGACCTCAAACTCATGGTGAGCCTCCAATACTGCTTCCTGAGGGCTGGGATTACAACAGCTGTGCCTGGCAGGTCCCAGGCTTTCTGTGCAGTAGTGGTCACATGTCATAAGCTCCAGTTAAAAATAAAAATGGGAGAGTACGAAGTTCACTCTCTTAGAAGCTCGACAACTTTCTTCATCTCAGTATTTATCTTGTGACCTCAGATATTTGAGGCATGAAGGAATAAAATGTATGATAATTAAAATTCTTTAGTGCTTCAGTCAAATATAGAGGCCTGGGTTTTATAATTTGAGAGTATTTGTAACTGAAATCAGCCTCAATTTAGAAAAGAAATATTTTACGTTACTATTTTTTTGTACAGAAAGAAAGAGGGAAATGTAGATGATAAATTTTCTAGGCTGTTTTGTTGTCATGGAGGATTAGGACTCGGGAGACAGACGTCCTGTGCGGTGGGGAAGCAGGAGTAGAAGTCCAGTGGTCAGGCGGGCGGTGGGCGGCTGCTCCCTTCCCAGGGCCTGCGTGCGAGCTGCTCCTGGCCCAGGTGCAGGGGTGGAGGCTGCTTGTGTTTAAACTTTCCAGGAAGCATTGCAGTTTGCTTCTCTTGAAATTCTCTTCTCCCAGTCTACACAAAGTTCTCTCTCTATAAAGTTCTTTCATAGAATTTTAGACACAACAGAATCCCATCCAACTTGTTCGTTACATTGTTGAAAAATATGTCTGTAGTTTAAGTCAGGAAGGATAGAGGTGAGCTGGAATTGATATTTCTTGATGCTGGCACCTGTAGTCTGTTCTGCTGCCTTACTAATGAACATGTGGCCTTAAAAATATCTAAAGAAGCTTTGATTAGTTTTGAACAGATGTGAATTCAACTGAAAATAAATACATGTTTTAAAGTAAATTAGATGCCTAAGGCAAGAACTTGGAGTGGCTTATTTCTCCATGAGTGATGGTTTTAGTATTTAATAACCATGAAAATATGCACAGGTATTCTTTTGAAGCTTAATTAGCAGCTTTTATAAAGAAGTGTCTAGCAAGTTCTAGAAGCAACTTGTTTGAAAATGGTTTTTTTTTTTCTGTAGGATCAAGAAAAAAGCCCCTTCACTTGATTAGCTCTTCTGACAAACCTGGGTCAGATCTTTTAAAAGTAGAGTATATTAAGGTAAGGACCATGGCAGTGCTGGAGAACCTGTGGAGAGATGAGAGCTCAGACTGCACCCCAAAACCCACTTCTTTATGGCAGAATGCCAATTAAGTGCAATTAAACCTGAATACTGAGATTTTTGTTTAGGAAAGAACAACTTCTACATTAGCATCTTTTGTCTTTGATTTGCCAGCACTAGTCTGGACTGTGCCCCTGGGAAGTGGACAGGGCAGTGTGTTACTAATCATTCTGGGTGGTAGGTTAGTTTTTAACTGTTTCTTTTTGCATGTAAACACCTTGTTTCTCTTTCACTAAGTGAAGAGCTATTAGAAGGCTGCTGACCTCTTATTCTCAAATGCAGAAGCCTGGGCGGAAGGAGGCACTGTTTCTATCTTTAGGGGCATAATTATATGTCCACACTTGTCTGTATAGTAGATGACAGTTTGGCTAAGCCACATTCAAAGAAAAAAACACATTGGATCAGGTGCTGCAGAGAACTCCCAGGCCTGGAAAGAGACCAAGAAATGCACCAGGAAAGTGCTGAAGTAATTGATAAAATTAGGTTCATTTAAGATTTAATAGGTTTGTTTTAATCACTTATTATTTATTGAATGTCTATATGTGTTTCTAAATGGATTACACTACCAGGTGCTTAGAGACACAGATGACAAACATTATGTTTTGCAGGCAAATTATAAACTAGAAGGGAGAGCTACAAAAATAAATAATTAAAATGTGTTGATTGGTTGACAATATGATTATTATATAGCAGTGTAATATGAATATAATAAAGCAAAACAAAAGCATTGTGGGAGCAGAGAGGCAAGCAGACAAGCGATGGCAGAAAACTCACAGGAGGTCATTTTTTTTGTTTGTTTGTTTTGTTTTTTTCGTTTTTTTTAATCGGTACCAGGGATCGAACTCACGATTGCTTTCTTGCAAGGCAGGCGGTTAAGCCACTGAGCTAAATCCCCGGCCCCGGGAGGTCATCTTTTGTGTTTGGAGTTACACTGTTTGTTTCAGGGATCAGAAATACAGTGAATAATAAGGCTGGGAGATTGCTTGAAGCAGTACAAAGACCTCATTAAATCAGAGCACCCTGATGATTGGATTTCTAAGATGAGGTTTCTTTTATTGGAGATGTAAACAGACTTACCAGAGAAGTGGACAAGGGATTTCAGCATTAGGTGTCCAATGTACTAGATGACCTAGATGACCTTTGCACCTTCTACCTCCCAAGGTGTATCATTCTCACACCCTGCTGTAGGTTCCCTGAAGTGAGTAATTGTTCTCCCGGGCTCCCAGAGGAGAACACACAGCATGTTACAGTCAGTAAAATGCATGACTTTACAGTGGATTAATTACTTTGGTCTTAATTCCTTTGTTCATTTTTTATTTAGGCTGATAAGAGTGGACCTAGTTTTCAAACCACTTTTGAAAAAACTGAACAGACATTTAAGGTAAGAAATTCTATTAAAGCATATATCCTATTGAAAATAATTATTAATGGAAATCTTTAGTATTTTGGGGGGGATAGGATCTGTGTAACTTGATGATACAATCAAGAACCAATAAAAGTTATAAATTAACCTTGTAAATACTCGGATTTTTAGTAAAGCTGTTACTTTTTTTAAATTTTAAAAGCCAAAGAATAATGATGATATAAAATTTCAAAACAAAGTAATAGGTTAACAGTGGTTATGTATTGTGTATTGTTCCCTTCAAAGTGACATTCATGTTACAAGATATAGGCATAAAAATGAAAGAGCAAACTTTTTTTGGACAAACTAATAGTTTAGTAGTATAGTTATCTATTGAGTGTATATAAAGAGTATATGTACATAGCTGGGCGTGGTGGCTCATGCCTGTAATCCCAGCACTTGGGAGGCTGAGGCAGGAGGATCGCTGTGAGTTCGAGACCAGCCTGGGCTACAAAGTGAGCTCAATGCCAGCCTAAACTGCATAGTGAGATCCTGCTTCAAAAAAGACAAAAAAAAAAAAAAAAAAAAGAGTCTATGTACATATAGTCTTTCCCCTCTTTGTTTTCTCCTTTCACCTATTCCAGTTGTTCTTTCCTTTTGAGCAGATTCTTTTCCTATCACTTTCCTCAGTATCTATTGTATATTTTGGATCTTTCTTACTCTTTCAGTGGTTTTTTTTGTTTTTGTTTTTTGGTATCAGGGATCGAACTCATGAACTTGCACTTGCCAAGCAGTCACTTACACCACTGAGCTAAATCCCTGACCCCCTTTCAATGTTTTACATAAGAGAGACAGTACAATACTTAACACATGCGAGTCTGGTTTATTTCACTTATGAGTTTGGTCTCAAGTTGCATCCATTTACTTACAAAAACCTCAAGTTTGTCCTTCTTTATAGCTGAGTGGCACACCATTTTATAAAAATACCACATCTTTTTTATCCATTCCTCAGTTAATGGACACTTAGGTTGTTTCCCAGATCAATCCAATTATAAATTGTGCTGCTGTAAACATTGGTGCACATTTACCACTTTGACATGATGTTTTCAGTTCTTCTGGAAACTGCAAAATTACCCAGTCGAGGAATAGCTAGATTGAATGAGCCCTCCAGTCCTAGTTTTTTGAGTAATCTCTACACTGATCTTCACTGTGGCTGCATTGGTCTACACTCCCACCAACAATGGAGAAGGGTTCCTTTTTCCCTACCGACATTTGTTATTGGTTGATTTCTTGGTAACAGCCATTCTTTGTGGAGTGAAGTGTAATCTCAATGTTGTTTTAATTTGCATCTCTCGAATGACCAGTGATGTTGAAGATTTCTTTGTGTATTTATTTGCCATTTGTATTTCAACATCTGAGAAGGGCATGCTCATCACAGATGCCTATTTTTGAATTAAGTCTTTGAATTTGAGGGGCCTGATATTTTCAGCTCTTTATATGTTCTAGTAAGTCCTTTGTCTGAGGGACAGGAGGCTAAAATTTTTTCTCTATGTGTTTTCTTTTCACACTGTGATTTCTTTTGAAGTGTAAAAACTTTTTAATAAGATAAGAATCCCAGTTGCTGATTCTTTGAAGTACTTCGATGCAGATTGCATTTTTGTTCATGAATTCTTTGCCTACCTTGTGTCTTCAAGATTTCTATTTACCTTATCTTCCAGTAGATTTAGTGTTTCTGTTTTAGTATTTGGATCTTTAATCCATTTTGACTTTACTTTAGTGCACGGTAATAGACACGGATCTAATTTTAGTCTCTGGCATGTGGAAAGCCAGTTTTTCCAGCACTGCTTAGTAAAGAGGCAGTGAACATGTTCCAGTGAACGTTTGCCCCCTTTGTCAAAAATAAGGTAGCTGAGTGTCATTGTATTTCTGTCTGCATCTTCTGATCCATTCCATTGATCTTAAGGTCTGTTTTTTTGCCACTACTATGCTGATTTTATCACAGTAGCTTTATAGTATAATTTAAGTCAGGAATTGTGATGCACTCTGTCTTGCCTTTGTTGCCCAGAATTGCCTTTGCTATTCTAGGTCTCTTCTGTTTCCAAATGAATTTTAGGGATGTTTTCTCTAGATCTGTGAAGTATGCTAATGGTATTTTGATACGAATTGCATTAAATCCGTATAATAGTTTTGGAAGTATGGCCATTTTCACAGTGTTGATTCCTTCTATCCAAGAAGAAGGGATGGCTTCCTATTTTCTGATACCATGTTAGGTCTCCTTTTTCAGAGTATTGTAGATTTCAATATATAGATCCTTCATATCCTTTGTTAGATTAATTCCTAAATATTTCATATTTTGGGTGAAGGGTATTATTTCCATAATTTCTCTGTCAGTGAGTTTTTTGTTTGTGTGCAGGAATGCTATTGATTTTTGAGCATTGACTTTGTATCCAGGCACACTGCCGAATCTGATGAAGTGTAGTAGTCTTTTGATGTAGTTTTTGGGGTCTTCTATGTAGAATGTCATGTCATCTGAAAATAATGATAGTTTAACAACTTCTTTTCCTATCCTTATTTCTTTTATTTCTCTCGCTTGTCTAATTACTCTGTATAATGTCTCCAGAGCTATATTGAGTAGGAGTGGTGATAGTGGACATCCTTGTCTTATTCTTGAAGCATCTGTGACAAACCAGCAGCCAATATCATACTAAATGGACAAAAATTAACCCTGTTACTTTGGCTGGCTGTGTCATATTACAATTTTTTTTTTTTTTTTTTGAGGCAGGGTCTCTCTCTGCAGTTCAGGCTGGCCTTGAGCTTACTTTGTAGGCTAGGCTGGTCTCGGACTTGCAACGATCCTCCTGCCTCAGCCACCCAACTGCTGGGATCCCGACTGTACACTTGCAAGGCAGACATTTATGCCGCCGAGCTAAATCCCCAGCCCTTGCAGTGTTGTTTCTAAAGAAGGGAATGCTTTAGATAAGGGAACAGTAATCTATAAACAGCTGAGAGGATTGTAAGCTTCAAGTAATACAGGACTGAGAAAGTGTGTAGGACACAGGGAGGGAGGTAAGTGCTCCTAAAGAAGTGGCAGCTGGTGCTTGTGGGTTGCACCAAAAAAGAGGGTTGAGAGGGTCTGGTTTAATAGGTGAACATTCCTCTTTGATGTGTGCATGTGTTTTTCTGTTGTTATATTTTTTATTTTGAGACAGCGTCTGGCCTTGTATTCCTTCTTCCTCAGTCTCTCTGAGTGCTGGAATTATAAGCATACTGTTTGTGTACATTTCTTTCCATGCAGAAATGAGAAAACGAAAGATTCTTTTCCATAAGGAACTTTTGTTTTAACTTGCTGTTAGAAAACCACTTTCTTTGAGGCAATTTGTGTTGTTGTCTTAGCTTTCTGGAGTCATTTTTCTAAAAGTGTAGTACTTTTATGACATTTACTTTCTTCTGTGTTTATGACAGGACCATTTTTGTAGTTTTAATGATTTAGTAACAGAACTCTCCCAATTGTTAATCTCACAGATGCCACATTTGGAATCCTCTGTGGATTTAGTAGTATGTAGTGCTTGTGGAGTTTCAGGTTCTGACTTAAACTTGTTATATGATCATGATGAGTAGTGAATGGGAAATGTACAAAGATGCATGTTGGGAATACAGGTGGCCACGTGCAGCAGAATATATGCTCCCTGGGCAGCTGCTTGGGAAATGGAGTGATTAGGGACCTGTGCCCTAATCTGCGCTGAGCACTGAGTGAGAACATCTAATTTGCTTTCTCTGCACCCCTGCCTTGAGGGTCATGACTTAGCTCGCTGCTGTCTTCCCAGTGATGGAAGCTGCGACGCCGTGATGCAAGCCTGGCTCCCTGTCAGGCCCCTTGTGCATACAGCAGCTTGGCATTTGCCAGTGAAAAGTAACTTTGTTTTAAAACTTTTTAGGTGGCCTTTTCCTCTTTGAACTTGTTGCTGCAAACCCAAGCTCTTCTCTCTTCTATTAACTACCTGACAACCATCCTTCCCTCAGATGGCCTTGGAGGCCATCCTGACCCAGGGACAGGCCAGCTTCCAGATAGGTGTTACAAGCCAAGAGCCCAGATTTCGGATAGGAAAATGCTCAGTTCAGAATCTGACCTTCCTACTTAAACTATGTGGCTGTAGGTGCATTGTTTAGGTATTCAGAATTTTATTGTCCTTATTTACTTTGTTTTACAGAACGTCACCAACTTACTGACATTCAGACTGAACTATAAGATGCGTTTTGTTGGCTTACGAACAAATCTGGAATAGAATTTGTTCATAAGTCGGGGACTGACTCTTCTTTTTAAATTGCAAAAGGAACGTCTACTAAAAAGCCTAGTTTTGTAAGGCAAAAGAAGTATTTGAAATTAAGTTTGTAATTTAACTTGTGTATGTGTATATTTCTGTTTAACAGAATTGTGGTTCAGTTAATATAGAAAAGTCTTGAATAGAATTTATATTATCTGAATTGTATTGTGAAATAACTCTTATTTTCTTTTTAGTGATTGTATCCTCTAAAGACAGTGATGTTATTGGCTTCAGATTGTTTGCCAAGTTAAATGCTTTCTGTGTCACCATTTGCAATGAGAAGAGCAGTATTGCTGAAATCAGGATACAAGGTAACAGGTTCTGGGGATATAGCCCAGTGGGCTAATGCCTGCCTGGCAAGCATGAGGTCCTGAGTTTGGGTCATGGATCCAAAAAACCCCAAAAAGATAGAAGGTAACATACTTGAGAAAACTGAGGCAGGAGGAGCTAGAGTTCAAGCCCAGCCTAGGTAACTTAGTGACTTAGCCAAGACGTCATCTCAAAAAAATACGAAATGAAAAAGGCTGCGAATGTAGCCTGTTGGTGGCACTGGGTTCAATTCCATGCATCACCAAACAAAACAGAACAAAAAACAAGGTAAAAAATACAGCGTTAAAATTCATTAAAAGATGAGCTTTTTTTTCTTTTTTCATTTATTCCCTTTCAATGTTAAAGAATACACGAACGAGGCCTTCGGCAGGGGTAGAGCCAGCAGGATACTGTTGAATCGGGTGCTTTTTTCTTGGGGCACAGTTGTTCAAGGGCGTCGCCGCTCCTTCATGGCGTGCGCTAGTGCTGTGGGCCTGGCCCAGGCTTGTGTAGGGTGGAAGAGTGCATGTCCACGCAGAAATGCTGACGGGTGGCAGGAGTGGCAGTCCGGCTTGCACACGCAGTCTGCGAACATCCTGCTCTTCACCAGCCTTTTTCATCATGGGTGTAGTTATCTGTCTGTATGTAGTGATGGAATGGAGGTTAGTACTGCTCTGTGCATTTGTGCTTTCTGCACAGCAGCCCTTCAATGAGAGAAAGCCTGTGAGCCATCAGTGTCTATAGAGAAAGCTGCTGAAATGCATCTCGCTCTGTCTCTGGTCTTAATAGTTATAAGAATGTATTGTCATTTGCTGAAGGTAAAGATATGCTCAGTCTGTTTCATGAAATCCTTTAAGAATTTAAGAACCTGAAAGGTAGGGATTTCTTTTTGTCCTTTCTAATCTGGTAGTACATCAACTAGAATGAACTGGATTTGTGACACTTCCATAGTCTCCATGTAGATACCTGGGTTTAAGATATAAGGGATATACTAAATCCCGAGATCATCTCTCATGTACTTTTGTCAGAGGATTGAAAATTCAGGTAATTAATGTTTATTAACTTAGAAGTTGAGTGTTTATAAAAGTATAAAATATCTAATATTATAGCTTGTTGATCAGTTGGGAATTGAGATGTTGCTAAATTTTTAAAAATTGCACCATACAATAGAAATAAATATCTTATTCATTCTAGATCTATAGAAGTTATATTAATTTTTTTTTTCAGGCCTCGACTCTTCTCTTTCTCTTCAGTCAAGGAAGCAGTCACTTTTTGCCAGACTGGAAAATATTATTGTTACAGACGTTGATCCTAAGACAGTTCATAAAAAAGTAAGTTGGACTAAATAAATGATTACTATTTTTTTGGTGATTGCATATAAAATCCAATTTTAAAGTAATGTATTTGAAATTAAGTATACTTGATGAAAATGTTTGGTTTTTTTTATAAAGATTATAAATATAAACCATATTCTAAGTGGTAATTTACTTTGTCATTACTTTGGTAGAAAGAATATGTTCACATTTCTGTTTTTCAGGCTGTGTCAATAATGGGAAATGAAGTTTTTCATTTTAACTTGGATTTGTACCCAGATGTGACTGAAGGGGATTCATACACTGACATGTCCAAAGTGGATGGCGTGGTGTTGCTGAATGTTGGCTGCATTCAGATTGTCTATCTTCATAAGTTCCTTGTGTCCCTTTTGGTAAAATCGCTATTTTCATATGAGTTTTTCAGCTGAGGAAACAATGCTGATAGTTATGATTGCAAGTGTTCCAAATCTTGCATTGTAGGTGATATTGTTTGATTAGATGTGGTAGTTATGTATGAAGGTTCAAGTAAATTGTCTTAACAGTTAAAATCTGAGTGATTTAATGATTTTTGTGTTGAATTGAAGTTACTTTTGTTAGAGTAAATATTGAAGCCGCATTCTTCCATGCAGAAATCATGAGAATGGATTTCCGTCCTTCCTTTTCCTTAGCTGTGTAACCCTGTGTAACCCCTGTGTAAGCCAGGCAGCTCGTGACCTTGGATGAGTTAGTAGTTGCTCCCATCTAACATGGTCACAGCAGGCTTAACAGAAAGTTACCTGTCCTAAAAGATGTCAGCATCATGGAGACAAATGGTGGTGTCACTCTTGAGAGCCTGCTTTCTGTTTCAGTTTCTCCGTACTTCCTTTGTGTCTACAGCACTTCCTGAACAATTTCCAGACAGCCAAAGAGGCCCTGAGCGCAGCCACCGCGCAGGCTGCAGAAAAGGCCGCCACCAGTGTGAAAGACCTTGCCCAGCGGAGTTTGCGCTTCTCTGTCAGCATTAATTTGAAAGCACTCGTTATTGTCATCCCACAGTCTTCTGTTTCCAGCAACGCTGTTGTGGTGGACCTTGGTTTGATCAGAGTTCAGAACCAGTTCAGTCTTGGGTCTGGGGAAGGGTCTGTAAATCCTCCTGTGATCGATAGAATGGATGTGCAGCTCACGGACCTGAAGCTGTCCAGGTGTGTTCTCCAGTGTTTCCGGGCTTAAGTATTAGGTTCACTTTTCCTATGATATTTCATGATCATTCAAGTTCATACTCAACAGGTTGCTGTTTCACAGAATCAGTGGTTTTTTTCCTTTTTAAAACTGGAAAAATAAAGACTGTACACATAAATGTTTCATCTACATTCACCAGTCTGTTATACATTTGCTGTCATTTACTTATAGCATCTTTACAATGTAAAACATTTTTGCTGAATCATTTAATAATAGACATCTTGACCTTTTGCCCCTAAATATTTCACCATGTGTGTCCTATAAACAAGAAAATTCATTCTCTTGACGTTAACTACAATGTATTTGTGAGATTCTGAAAATATAGTATCACCGTAATATCACCTAACGTGCAGTCTGCATTAAGGTCATATCAGTTGTTGCAGTGATGTTGTTTGTTGTAATTTCCCCTCCCCTTCCAGAATCACACATAACTGTTTCCATTCTTACTGAGAAGAACTTCTTTCCTGATAAATGCTTTCTCTAGAATAGTTCTTGCACCTTTTTCTGTCTCTTACAATGATGCTGGTTTGAGAGGTATAATCTGGCTGTTCCATGAAACAACTCTTTTTTTGAGTGATTCCTCATGGGTTTTGATTAAGCCGAAGCATTTTTGGCCTGAATGCTCTCTAAGTAATACCCTCAGTGCTCACACTGTGTGAGACATGAAGACACACAAAAAATTAAAACTCAGGACCTATTCCATCCAAGGTGATTTAACTATCCATATTTTAAAAAGTAATACTCATAAGACAGTTGTAGAAAATACTGTTGGAGAGTAAATTTGTGAGACATGTGATTTGAGAATGTTTCTGTTACTGTTGTCTTTTTTGGTCTCCATACCAACAAACGCACAGTCACACATCACTTAGCAGTGAGGCTGCCTTCTGAGAAACGAGTTGTGGGCGATTTCATCATTGTGTGAATGTCACAGTGCTCCTTGGATGAGCCTTGCTGGTGTAGGTCAGTTGTTTTGATGTGGTCTTTTGTAATCTGGATCAACAGTCAGCAAGAGATGATGAGGCTGTTGTCAGTGTGACGGGGCAAGCTGTTGTAGTTACATTTGTTTGGTAAATATAGTTTAACGTAATAAAAGTATAATAAATCCATAAGCCAGTGACAGTAGTTTATGATCAAGACTTTGTACTCTGTGTGGTCTGATGTGCTGTGATTCTGTGTGATTGGCTGTACAGTAGGCTTGCTCACAGCAGCATCTCCACGCCCACACATCGTGCCTTGCACTACCACCAAGGACAGTCGTGACATCTCTAGGCAGCAGTCATTTGTCCTCTCCATTCTGATCTTGTGGAAACATTCCTGGTCCACTGTAGCAGTATGTTTGAATACCTCTGTTTGGTGATTTTAACTCGGCTAGTCCTCAAGAAACAGTTTGATGATTTCTTGCACATCTTCAACGGTGTAAATTTCTTTTTAAAAGAAAAATGTTTTCTTAATAGTGTACAGTGTATGACATTTTAATTTATCCCTGATAGTGGATTATCAATTAATTATAACTCGGTTTTGAAGTGAAAAATTCAAGTAATGCTGCTTCAAATCAGTATTTTAAAAAGGCAAATGACCGCTTGCCTTTGCTGTTTTAAAGACATGTTGTGTTTTCCTCATACATGTCCACATCTGATGTTTCTGTTTTTCTTTAGGACAGTGATCCAACCAGGCACCTCCCAGCCTGATATTCAGCTGTTGCACCCAATTAACTTTGAGTTTTTTGTAAATCAAAATTTACCTGCAAATTGGTATCATAAGGTACCTGTTGTGGAAATTAAAGGACATCTTGATACAATGAATGTAAGTGCACAAGTGAAAAAACAAAACAAAACAAAAAAAACCCTTGGTCATTGAAGTCTTACATTCTGAAGACTTTATTAATATAGAACTCCCTGAAAAGTAGAGTATTTTACTGAATGATGTAAGAATTTCAGTAAGATACAGTTCAAAAAGGTATTACCCCTTTCAATAAAAATCTCTAAATAAGTAATATTTAACTTTTACATTTTCTGTACATATGGAAGGAAATCTGTGCACAAATTTTCCTGGTTTCATGTCTGCTGTATATCATATATCACTTAATTTTTAAGGTCATCTATGTAGTACCTCTAAGATAATTATAGCATTGGGAGAAGTGCCTGGTAACTGAAAACAGCCATTTTGTTTCACTCAATTTAAACAAACAGACAAAATTGGATGTATTTGCAGAATGTCTTTTAAAAAAATCAACTCTCTAATTATACCTTTCAGGAAAAAAATAATATAAATTAAGTCAGTGGAGTGAATGTTGATTTATGTTACTATCTTTGAAAATAAAATGTTAACATGAAATAGTGAAACACGTGCGTAGTAATTGTATATATTTTTGGTAAGGTAGGGTTATTCTGTGCTTCATGCTTTGTTTCTGAGAATGTTCTGTAATAAACTGCTGCATTTTAAATGAAATATATCTACCTTTTGAACCTAATATTTCACAGGTTTGTCTAAATCAAGAAGATCTTAATGTTTTGTTTAGAATACTGTCGGAAAATCTTGGTGAAACTCCTGAAGAGTTAGATAAAGTGAAACCAAGAGTACCAGAGACAGGTAAGAGATGCACAGTAGGTGGCTAATATTTCACGGTTATTTTGCAGTTTGATAGACAATAAGAAGACATCGTTCTCTTCTCTGTATGGTGGGTTGGGATTTGAATCCAGAGTCTAGGAGTTAAGGTGCACATACTACCCCTGTGCTGCACCTGCAGCCCAGCACAGACAGGACACGTGAGGTAAGCAGGTACACATTCATGATTTGGATTTGTATTACCAGCAAATAAACAAAGTGCCACCCAGTGGAAATGTGTTAACTGGACATGCTGCTGCCTGCTGATGGCCCAGCATTTAGGAGCCTGAGGCAGGAGAGTTGTCCTGAGTTCCAGCCTGTGCTACGTGGTGAGTTCAAGGCTAGTGTGAACTACACAGATCCTGTCTTAAAAATAAAAGCAAAAACATAAAATAACACATCGTGGTTAAAGATGCTTGACTCTTATTAGTTAAGCAAGCAGGTATTATGAAGTCCTGGAGTAATTATTAAATTTGCAATTAAGTTGCCACTAAGCTGTGGTAGCACATTCCATATGATTTTTAAATTAGGCTTAGTAGTCAGATGTCTGTAAGAATTAAAATAGTTGATAAATTATCACTCCTTCCAAAGATCCCAGAACATGCTGCAATAAATATGTAAGCAAATTTAAATGATCAGATACGGCCTTTTTGGCTTAACCACTACATACTTTCCATGCTGCTGTATATACACGCGCACACGCACACTTATGTATATAAATAATGTGTTATGCATACACACATATTGATATAATTTTCAGTGTTTTTCAAATTAGCACCTGTGTTTGTGAACCTTGCTATGTTTTTCCTAAATTATCAGTATCTTTTGTGTGTACTTTTTATATCTGTTTATATGCTCCCTATAGGCTGTCTTCATTTTTGTCTTTTTTTCATGGCACCGAAGGGCACAAGTACTAGGGCTGTACACAGCGCTACATTCCCAGCCCTTTCCTAGATTTCGAGGTAGGGTCTTGTTGTGTTGCTGAGCTGCCCAGGCTGAGTTTGATTTACAGCGCCTCCCAGAGTGCTGAGATTACAGGCCTTTGCCAGCATGCCTGCGGCTTTCATTCTGTTTAATGGCGGCCTGGTATTAGAGCCTGTGGAAGTACGTGCCATAATTTATTTAGCAAGTCTCTCCTGACAGAAATTTCACGCTTCCAAAGTTTCATTTGTATCACGTTGCACTGAATTTGCACTTGTGTGTCATAAGAAAATATCAGTTAAAGCCTGTGCAATCTTTATTAATTTAAATTTATTAGTAACATAAAAATCTAACAAATTGATGTAATCATTTGGCAGATCTTGCTGATTGCTCACTAAAGAACTTGTATTAGGTTTGTACTCCTACTGGGTAGCTTTTGCGTGCCTTTATAACACCAGATGGTACCAGATTTAAAACGTTTTGCCCCTTTTTAAAGTGAAACATAGGATTTCAGGGTTTTTCTGACTGTATTGTAACATCCATGAACACATCTTGTGTGCGAGGCAGAGTTTTTATAGTGTGTGCTCCTGTGTCATCCCTGTGAGTGAGGTGCAGCATGGCTCGCGAGGCCTAGATAGTGCCCCCATCTGCCCAGAGGTCACTGTGCTCCGACCGGTCCCACCGTGGAGGGTCTCGTATCTACCCGAGTTTTATGTGAAGCTGTAGGGAGCCACTCTTCGGGAGCATGTCTTCAGCTCTGCTTGGAGGATGCCTCCGCCCTCAGGCCTTTCTTCCCCACGCTGGAACCAGGCTGTGCCTTGTTTAGTGTCATCTGTGCACCTTAGAGTCTGTTAACCTTTGTCCACTCCATGTGAGTAGGTATGGCTGCCTGGCTGGCTAGTGGGCAGACTGTGTGTGTGTGTGTGTGGGTGTGGGTGTAGGTGTGTGGGTGTGCATGCGTGTCTGTGTGTCTGTCAATCCACCCTTCCTGAGGATTGAACTCAAAGCGATGCATCCCCAGCCTTTTTAGTATTTTATTTATTTTTTTGAGACATAGTTTTGCTGAGTTGTTAATAGTCCCATGCTGGGCTTGAACTTGCCTTTCTTCTGCCTCAGCTTCCCAGAGTGCCAGTCTTTTGTTTTTTATAGGTATGTGCCACCATGCCTAGTCTTTTGTTTTTAGTTGAAATGTATATGTCTCTTGTACTAAACTGTGGGTTTTCTGAGGGCCAGAAGGGTTATTGGTTTATGGATTTTTAGTTCCTTCATTAGGTCCAGAGCACTTCTACATGTCCTCCTGAGTGTGTAAGAAATGTGTGCATAGAAGTGAATGAATTTCTTTTTAACATCTGTAGGTGAAATCAAAGATGCCCCTGAAGTTTCTACATCACAGAGATTACAAGCTTCAAAAGATGCTTCAAGAGCTGAAAGAGAAGAAATTAGATCTGTAAACATTGTTAATGTACTGCTGAATTTTGAAATTAAAGAGGTAGGTGATTTTCATGTTTTTGTAGAGAGGTAAGTTAATGGATTTGTAGAATTACCTGTATTAAAATAAGCTTCTGGTAATTAATATGGGTGAAAAAAATCTTAGGTAGGCTATTTACATGTAATGATGTTTAAAATTTGAGAGTTTAAGGATGAGTTATGTTTGGGGGATATAAGATTACATAGAGAAAGCTGTAGAATTTTCTATAACTTCCTTTTAATGATTATGAGACAGCCAGAATGTGTCTTGCTTTGCGTTTTTTATTATCTAAGCATAACAAGACAGGGAACTAGTGATGCAAAATCCTTTACAAATGTTAGAAATTCTAAAGAGAATAAAACCAGTAAGTGTACACTAAGCGTTATGGTACTCATGCAGAATGGTACTCGGTCAGTGTACTTCCATTTACAGATTGTTGAGGAAAGGTCAGGTAGATTTTCCTCTCCCTCACGCACACACTCAGCACGTATTCATTGCACGTGCTAGGTATTTAGATGCCTAGACCTTGAGCTCGGAAGTGTTTGTTCCCCCTTAAAGATGTGCTCAGTTAGGGTTCTGTTAAGGTTGTGGCACTGGTGGTAGGGAAGGTGCATCTGAGCAAACCGAGAGGGTCCGCAAGTGTTTAAACTGAGTTTTCCAGCAGGAAGTGTAACTTTGAGTTGAGCTTTTAAAAGAGCAGCAGTAAATAACCTGAGAAAAGGAGATTAAGAAAGGGGGGGGCAGGATGGACTGGAGTGGGCATGAAGTTGTGAGAAAGCATAGAGCGTACAGGGAACCACGGACCTTTCCCAAAATACCTGGTTGTTGCGTAGTTCTCTAAATGTCATGCTCTTCCTCTGAGCTAAAGATGAATGAATGGGCTCTGTGTTCACTTCACAACTAGATTCTGGATTGTTAAACCTCCAGTATGTTTTCTGTGTAATATCAGTTACATAAGCTTTATTTTTATTTTTATTTGTTTGTGTTTTTGAGAAAGTGTCTCCCTCTGCAGTTCAGTCTGGCCTTGAGCTTACTTTGTAGCCCAGGCTGGTCTCAAAGTTGCTATATGATTCTCCTGTCTCAGCCTCCCGAGTGCTGGGATTACAAGCGTGTGCCACCATGCTTAGCTTAGTTACTGAAGATTTTTAAGCTTGATAATTAAAAGACTGATCGGAGTCAATTTTTTGACAAGTGTGTAATTAACATATGTAGATGGAAAACCTGTCAGTCCTTTCTAATATGATTTGCTGTAGATACTATGGTAGTTCCCTTCCCTGAGGACAGTGGTCAGGGTGGAGAAAACCACTAGAAAAAAGTGGCAGTGCTTCAGTCTGAACAAGCATAGGTGTCGCCTCGGGTAAATGATGCCGCCTCCAGTCACCAAAGAAGGTGGACGTTTTTACATTGTGTGACTCAGTGTTGTATCAGTGTCCTTATTAAATTCTTGTGCAGCAGTGAAATCGTGGGTAGTAATACTGGTGCATTCCTACAGGTTATGGTGATGCTGATGAAAAAGGCGGAAAAGAGTGGGAGGCCAGTGCACGAGCTCAGTGTCCTGCAGCTTGGAGTGGAAGCTAGAGTTCAAGCTTATGCCGTGACCGCTGAAGCTTATCTCCAGCAAGTCAGCATGCGGTGCCTGGATTTCACTGGTCAGTGAGTTATGCAGTAGGCAGGTGGTCTTCTGGATCGCCACCCCGCATGTGTCACCATAATCATTCAGGTTAAATGTGTTGATGCGAAGGCATGTGACGGTTTAAAACCTACCATCTTACCTAGTTACACATACATACTCAGGTAGTGTAGAGTAGAGTATTTCTGGAAAAGGAGCCACTTGTCACTGTGTGTGATACTTCAGTACTTAGGAAAGGCACTGTTTCGTTGTAACTGTGCCACGAGAGCTGATCCATCAGGAGACTAGGACCTGGGTACATACAGGGACTTACTTGGGAAAGTTGAGTTAGTTTATTTGTTGCTATTCATTTCAAAATTACATGTATTTTAAAATTTCTTCTCATGTATATCACTATATGCTTATGAAAAAGGAAATTTCAGCAATATAGAAGTTTATGGAAGGAAAAATTTAACATAATCCAGAAGTCTCTTTTCCCCTCAAGTAAAAACTAAATTGTTGTTTTGTGAGTCTCTTGGATCTCCTGAATTCATTTTCTCTTTCTTAGTTTTAGTGTGCTAGTACATGTGCGTAGTGTGTAAAGTTCCCTTCCCTTGTGTGGAGTTGACACCTTACACCACACATCTTCATCCCCTTTCCCTTCCCTCCCTCACCTGTCCCCACACTTGTCCCTTTCCTCTTCCTAAGCTGTCTTCATCTTTATGCTGGATTTCTCATAGAAAAGGAACAATGTGATATGAGACAACTTTTAAAAGTTTCTGGTGACATTTAAGGTTTATAAGAACTCTGTGGAAGAGCTTTAGGAAAACAAGCTTGTGCCGTGCGTGGTAGTGCATGCCTGTGACCCCAGCACTTAAGCGGCCAAGGCAGGAGAAGCTCTGGGAGTTCAAGGCCAGCCCGCACTACATAGCCAGGCCCTGTCTCAAAACAAAACAAGCTCATATTGAGAATAATCCATGCTTTTATGTATTTTATAGTTTTGTTCTTTATAGCATATAATATGTGATTTGCTCAAATGAGTAATAGTAGTAGTATCAAATGTTACATAATTTTTAAATTATCTTGACTGTTTTTATATATAAATATATATACACATATATATGTTGTTTCTTTCAGCTTTTAATGCTAATGAGACAATATGATGTTTACGCATGTGTGTCTTATTTATTTTACTAATGAGTATGGTCTCAAGTTGTATCCTTTTACCTATAAAAGTCTCCAGTTTGTCCTTCTTTATGATTGAGTAGTGCTCCATTGCATAAAAACACTACATTTGTTTTTATCCATTCCTCAATCACTGGGTATTTAGGTTTTTTCCAAGATCTGGCTATTATAAACTGTGCTGCTATAAACATGAGTGCACATGTATCACTGTGGTATGATGTTCTTAATTTTTTTGGGAAGACACCCAGTTGGGAATAGCTAGACTGTGAGCCCTCCAATCCTAGATTTTTGAGGAATCTACACTGATTTCCCAGTGGGTGCACCAGTTTACATTCCCACCAATGTGAAGAAGGGTTCCTTTTTTCCCACAGCCCCTCCAGCATTTGTTATTGGTTGATTTCTTGATCCTGGCCATTCTTTCCGGGGTGTGGTGAAATCTCAGTGATGTTTTCATTTGCATCTCTGAATGATCAGTGATGCTGAACATTTTTTCACATCTCACAGGTTATATAATTGACTGGTACTGGGTTTGTTGTTTTTAGGGATTTTTCTCTCTCTTTTCAAAGCCAGGCTTCTTGAAGCATGATTTCATATTTAGTGTAAAATTTACACTAAAATTTAGCAGTGTAATTCATATTTAGTGTAAAATTCTTAGTGTTGATGAACATACCTTAATGTAACTGGCTGTTCATGGTGTGTAAGAAGTGTGAGGCATTTGCAGTGCTGACCAGCCTGTCTCTTGCCCCCAGACGCAGAAGGAGGCCCTCTGCACATCGTGCGCTCCTCTCGCGTGACTAAGGAGCCGCTCCTGAAGATGGCCTTGACCAAGGTACCAGCTTTCTGTCTAACTCCTGAATATGCTAAGTTATGTCTGTTCCCTTCATGTTTAGTGCTCCAGTTTTTCTCCTTTGAAAGTGTGCTTTATCCTTGGGTTGACTGCGATGAATTTGAAAGCATCTGCACACACTCGTTAACTTTCTGGTTTCTCTAGGGAAACCAGACAAGTGGTTTGGACAAGTGGAACAGAGAAGCTGTGCTGTGTTCTGAAGCAGAGTGTATTATCATCCAGTACACAAGCATTTCCCCTGCAGTTCAGATTTGTCCATTAGTATTTCCTCCAGAGTAGTTCTTTTCATCTGTAGGATGGGAGATGTGGTTTAAATCATGTTCTTTACCTATAAGAAATGTGTTTTAATAGCATACTTTAATAAGTAAAAAATGGATGTTTATTCAGTACATGCAATTTTAGTGTTTGTAATCCATTGATTTAATTACCCACTGTTTGTAGGCAGACAGTGATGGACCGGAATTTAAAACTGTTCATGACAATACCAAACAGAGACTAAAGGTAAGCTGGTAATGATTAAATGTAGCTTCATAGCCATTTTGAGTTGTAAGGTTGTGCTAACATTAGAATATTGTGAAAATAAAAATAGATTAATTTTTGTCGATAAAGCCAGTGCATATAGAATTAAAATACACTTTTTATAAAAATTAATTTGATTTATAAAGAGATTGCTTGTTTCCCAGATGTAAATTGCTCTTTACTTATACAACAAATAATGTATTCTCAAGGAAATGCTGTCCATAGATATTTGGCCTGATACTGATTCAGCATTAAATGTTAGCGTTGTGTGTTGGCGTTAGGATTAAGGATGTTGTTCACATTCCCTTTGTGCAAATGGGTCAGTGTTGGGACGCTTCCTATACATTTTCTTAAAACTCAAACCCTGTGGACAATAGAATTATGTTTGCACACAGGAGTGGGAAGAGTATTGGTTTACTGACTGATTACAATTAACATAATAGTGTTTCTAAGAATTGATGCTGGTAGTAATTCATTTTTTTAAGGGCTTTTCTTTAATTGAACTGCTCTTGTGCTAGTTGTGTGTGTTGAAACTTAACACAAATGTTACTATGTCTTACTCTGCCTCTCTGTTTTCTTAGGTTTCATTTTCATCCTTAGACATGTTACTTCATTTAGAAGCTTTACTTTCCCTTATGGATTTTTTGTCATCGGCTGTTCCATCCTCTGAGTCATCTTCTAGGAAGGAATCTGAGCTAAAACCACTTGTAAGGGAGTCCAGAAGTATTGCCATCAAAGCTGGTATTAATTTTTGAGTAATGGTCAAATGCTTTCTCTCATATAATACTGTAATGTATTTTAAGCTAAGAAGATACTTACTATCTTGATGTTACTATACCTGATTTGACAGTTTAAGTTAGTTTTGAAAGAACTCAAAATTTTTCCTTATAGGATTATACATCAGTTTATTGAAATGTTTTAAATAAATGTTGTTTAATGGTGTTTTTTTTTATTTTACTGGCTAGATAGCATCTTTTTTGCATTGACATCTCTTTGCATTCTTCAGTGCAATAGCAATGAGAAAGGAAGAAGTTAAAGTTCGAATGCAGTCACGCATAGTTACAAAATTGTATTGCGCCCAGTCCTGTCTAGTGCTGAGCAGGCTTCAAGCCTTGTGCGCACTGAAGGAATCTCACAGAGAAGATGGACTCATTCTGTTTCTAAATAGATCTGGGAACATGTTTGCTAGGCAGATACCTTGAGCTGTGAAATGTTAGCTCTGAAGTATCTACAGTCAATAGAGAATGTGTATTGGTTTGTAGAGCAAGCATCATTTTGGTTTTTCACATTGTATGATATGAACTTGTAACATACAGTAATTCAATTAGAATAGATTGGTATTACTGGGATCTTTAGAATAAAACTGTTATTACCATTACATCTGATACAAGGATCTGATTTTTTTTTAACCTTGGAAGATAGCGAATTGTTCTAAACTAGAGTAAAAGCGTTTTACCCATTTTATTGTTAATTTGCTTGCAACAGCAGTACAGTATCTAGAGGTAATAGCCTTGGAGTCTTCTGTTATAACATATAAATAGAATACATAGAAAAATAGTTGAATACATGAAAAATAAACATTTAAAATTACAATAACCTACAAGCAATTTTAATTCATAGAAACAGTCTTGTGGTTTTGCTGTATGATTGGTCTTCATGGTTTGATGTTGCCACATTTGGTATTAGGGAAAAAACCAGCTTATCATCATGTAATGGGGATTAATTACTAATACATATCCTGATGGTTTTGCAGTTTTATAGGAAAGAACTTTAAAAGAACTGTAGTCCTTTATATTTATATCTTATCCATTCTGAATTTATTTTACAATTCTTTATAGAGCCATTGCATATACTGTAGTAAAATTGGATTGCTTCCATAGTTAAATAACATGTATAATAAGTGCCATAGTAAATAAAATGAACTGTGTTAACTAGTCAACATATTTTACTTCTGTATTAGTTACTGTTTTGATATAATATATGACAGGTTTTAAAATCAAACTTTTAGACAAATAGAATAGAATTCTAATTTAAAGTGTTTTATTTTATTCTGGAAGGAAAATCAATGAAATTTTCATGTCATGAATAACACAATCAGGATGTTAACAGTAGTTATGTTTACTCTTAATGTGAAGGGAAACTGCTATTTTGGGTTGGTTTTTGAAAATTGACTCAAAGTCACATTTTATCTTAATGGAGAGCTTTTTGGCTCCTCCTAGTACAATTTTATTTTATTGAATTTGAGATTATTTTGTGTGTTCTATCATCTTTACACTTTGCCAATCACAAATTTTCTATTACTTTTTAGTATCTGGCACCATTTCTAAAAAGGATATGTTCGATTTAAAGGTTACAGCTGAATTAGATGCTATTAATGTTCTGTAGCTGATGTTAAAATACATAGTGAGTAATTCTATTTTGTTATATAAACATCCAGCAAAAGTGAGCTTGTAGGGGTGAATTTCTTATGAGTCAAACATTGTTTCCTTACACTGAAGGTTAAAGGTATATTTGGAAATGTTTATAGTAAATTTGTTATAATTCTTTTCTGACTTGAGACATTCCATGTGTATTTTAAAAATTTCAGATTATATCTGAGGCCTTAATTTGTTTCTGTACTTGTATTTTTAGAATAATCTGATAATTGAGACATCACAGAATTTTTAAAAAATAGTTCATTTATTTTGCCTTTTCCCCATATGTAGCATAGGCAAAGGAGTTTCTGAAAGACACTTTGTGACTTTTTGATGTTGTCAGTTTGAAAGAAGAATGAAGCAGCACATTACCCTTCCTCCTCTCCTCCTCTTTTCCTTCTTTCCTGTCTTTCCTTTGTGGGATTGAATCCAGAGGCTTTCCACTGAGCTATACTCTCACTCTAGTTTTTAAACTTTTTGTAATTTTGAGCCAGGAGAACTTAATTTCTTCTGAAGTTGCTCAGTTGCCCTGGCTGGGCTTGAATTTGGGATCCTCCTGACAGCTTTCCGGAGTACTGGGGTTATAGGCCTCCACCTCCAGGTCTGGCTAGGTGTTTTGTTTATTTGGTTTTAAACTCACAACTTTTATGTAAGATGCATGAAGTACTTAAAGGTGTAACCTGTCTTACATACCTCATACGTGAATACTGGTATAACAATACCAGTATGTCTAATAATAGCTTGTGTTGACTCTGTATGTTAGTAGTATGTTACTGAACACAGCACTGCTCACTTGACTCATCTGGATTGAATGAATCCTTTGTGAAAGTCTTGCCTTCCCTAGGAATGGACGCCTCTGTTTCTGTGAAGCCAAAACAGACTGATATGTTTGCCAGACTTCAGAATATCATAGTAACAAATGTTGATTTGAAGTCCATTTACAAAAAGGTAAAAATTGATTTCTCAACTGAAATGTCTTCTGTGTTTTATATTTGAGATGCTTTTTTGTTGTTGTCCAATGCATTTACTAGTCTGTCACATGAGGCCTTCTCTAAGGGTGGGGATATAGATGGTGACCACCTGCTTTCCTGTCATGTGCACACTAGGCCTTTTGGTTACTTCTGAAAGTGCAATGATGGACTGATACTGCCTTTAGTAAAGGGTTTTTTATAACGATAGGAAAAAAGTTACTGTCAAATAAGTTGGGTTAACTAATAATGTTTAAGGCTGAATCGGGGGTCACTTTCTCTAATGAGGAACTTTGTGATACAGAGAAGGGCCTGCAACTCTCCGGTGCCAAAGCCAATGATCTCATCCTTTCAGGCTGTCTCCATCTTGGGAGAGGAAGTCTTTCGGTTCCAGATGACTTTGTATCCAGACGCCACAGAAGGAGAAGCCTATGCTGACGTGTCTAAAGTGGATGGCAGACTTAGTCTCAAAGTGGGTTGTATTCAGATCGTTTACGTTCATAAATTCTTCATGTCTCTGTTGGTAAGTGTATGTTTCAGTATGTGTTTATTTCTCATTGGGGCCTAAATAATTGCCTGTACTCCTGAACCCAGGGAGTCCAGGTCTTCACAGTGGGCTGTGTTAAACACCCAAACACCAGCCAGATTACTGCAGTCAGAGATCTTTAGATGATGGTTAACTAAGTGAATTTTAAAACTCATTGGTAAGTAGCTTTCTCCAGCATTTTTTTTAGGTGTGTATTTTACAAGTGCTTTTTAATTTAGGACTTTTTAGTAGTACTTGTTTATGGGAATGCTTGTAGAGATGTTTAGCTAAAAGAACTTTTAAAGGAAGTTTGGCAAGTATCTTAAGAACTAATATTAGAATTTACAGCTGTTGCTTATATTTGTGATCACTAAGACCATAGAATTCTTTTGTTTTTATCTGTCATGGAAGTAGCCTATGCTGAAAAGTTTTAAGTCTGCTTACTGCTTTTAGCAGGGTTGCTAACCAGAGCTTATCTTTCATGAATTTGTCTCTGAACTGTCATGTTCACTTGTGTAGAAAGTGAATTATTTCGGGAGAAGAGGAAGAGGTTAAGTTTATGACAAATGGTGGATATTAAGAACATGAGTTGTAAGAGCAACTGTTTCTTTGCTGGGAAGAATCTTTCTGGTTGCGTGGAGATGAAAATGCATCCTACCTAAATAAAGAAGTTTTGATTCTTAGTCATGATTGCAGAATTGTAGGTGGTTAACCATTTGTGTCCATCCATATGCAGTACATTAGAAACAAACTCAGTAATAAGCTTCCTGAACCCTCATTTTTAAAAGTAGACTGTATTTACTGCGACCTAGAGGTACAGAATAGAACTTACTGTTGGGGAGATAAAGTGCTGTCCTCCATTCCTTTCCTTGCATGTGGCATAGTTACTAAGAAACATTTTAAAAAGAATCATATCAGAACTTCATCATAAAATTAATGGTTAAAAATAGAAATAAAAAAAGAATAAAAAATATAAATGAAAGTTAAGAATCTTTACTCCCTGGAGGTAGCTGTTGTTAATAGCGCAGGGTATATCTTCCTAGACTTTACTCTTCTCCACGTACACAATCATAAATAATCTCTTTTATTATGCTTATTTAGTTGTTCATTTTGCAGCACGTACTTTTGAAAGTGTTTTCCTTTGGAGAACAAACATCTTTTGGGGGGAAGTCTTTAACTATCATTCTCTTCCAACAGAATTTCCTCAACAACTTCCAAGCTGCCAAGGAAGCTTTGAGCACGGCTACCATGCAGGCTGCAGAGAGAGCTGCTTCTAGTGTGAGGGACTTGGCCCAGAAGAGCTTCCGCCTTGCGATGGATGTGGACCTGAAAGCACCGGTTATTATTATCCCTCAGTCTTCAGTGTCGTCTAACGCTGTGGTGGCAGATCTCGGTTTAATCAGCGTGGAAAACAGCTTTAGCTTGCTTCCTGCAGAACGTTACCCTTTCCCTCCAGTCGTTGATAAAATGAAGGTCCAACTCACTCAATTGAAGCTGTCCAGGTAAAATTATGTGTGTAACTGTCATAATTTGCTAGAAAGAAGATTTTTACATAGTTTTCCTAGGATTAAAATAGTGATATTTTACTCTCATTGTTTAATTATGAAACCTTAATCATTTTTGACTAATTGTCAATATAATGCTGTGCTTTATAGTATCTGTATTTTGTAGTACCAAGTTTAGAATGTTATTTTCCATTCTGTGAAAACTTACATGTTAAAAGATATCAGCTTACTAGCTGGGATTAGTGGTTCATGCCTGTAGTACTTGAAGCAGGAGGCTCACTTGAGCTCACAAGTTCCAAACTATGCTGTGTATTATAGCAAGAGCCTATCTCAAGGAACAAAGAAAAAAAATTTATGGAGAATGTTACAGAATGTATGTACTTGCTCAGAAATACATCTTCATTTCATTTGCTCATAGCTAGTTCTTCCTAAATTTGTAGTAAGATTTAGTATTTGTAGTGTGGTGCTTAAAGGATTTTTGAATCCAGATGGGAAGGTGTTGACTCTGTTTAGCGGCCAGAGTTCTTATTTCCTCGTGCAAATGGCTGTTTGTAGGCAAGTTAGAAATGTTTATTGCCATGTGAGTCACTTTAGATTTGATGTGTTTTTCTCTTTGGATTTGGAGAAGTAACATATTGAGGACTGAGTATATGATTGCTTCATTTATTTTGTTTTCACAGAGTACAAATATGAGATACTAGCTGCTGTATCATATAGTTTTTGTGAAAGATAGCAAATGATACAGTGATAATTTCTGGAAGTTATGTCTTTGTTTTTGATAACTATATATAAACTTTATTCTGATTTGCTCTGATTTATGGAAAGAAATATGTTCTAAAAGAGTTCTGATAGTAGCTTTTATGTATTTAGGAAGGTGCCTTGTGGAAACTCTTAAACAGTGTGGGATATTGTCATTTTAAATGTCAATTTAAAGCGTATATGGAAGCATGATCTTGTTTCTCCTCTCAGAACTATCTTGCAAGCTGACTTGCCACAGGATGACATTGAAATCTTAAAACCAGTAAACATGCTTTTGTCTATACAACGAAACTTATCAGCAACCTGGTACATGGAAATTCCTGGGATCGAGATAAAAGGAAAGTTAAAACCTATGCAGGTATGCGGATCACATGAGATAGATGGCCATTGTAGGTGGACCTTCATGGTGGATCACAGTGCAGTTCTAGTGTATTAAAAGAGATGCTTTCTATCAAGTGAGAGCACCCTTGTCGCTTGCTCTTTTATTACATTTTAATTAGCTGTGTGGTAAAACTAGCAAGAATGTTGAAAGAGCTGGTACAATGGCTCAGGTTTCAGGCCAGTTGGTGCAGTTGAGGGCCTGCAGATGTAGCCCTGTGGGGGAGCACTTGACCTAGCAACATGCGTGTGTGTGTGCACACTTGCACACATAGGAGAGGGGTGGGGACTAAGATAAACCTGTTGAGTCTGCTGAAACTACTGTTCTTAATTTTGGAAAATTCTATTAAAATTTTAGTGCGTTTAAATTGTAAGAGAATGAAAAGTGATGTTCACGTACCACAGAGATTTTTTAGTTGTGATTTTCTTTTTAAATTAAAGTTTTTCGATTGACACAATATTTGTACAGTGACGGAGTAGTATTTTCAGGTGTAGGAAGCCTCCTGGAGTATCACTTTGAGTAGGCAGAGGTTTGTGTTGGTAGCAGAGCAGTGAAGCAGCGTCTCAGAGGCAGTCTTTGCAGGTGTTGTGCCAGCTCCCGGGAGCAGGAGAGACCGGGGACAGGAGCTATGGGAGTGTACTAGCCCTGTGGTTCTCAAGTACCCGTGTGTGAAGTGGGAAGCTCTACAGCACGTGTCAAGATAGTGGGGAGAGAGGAAGCAAATTGAACGAGTGAAAAGCCAACCAAACTATAATGTCAGTAGTTTTGGTATCCGTGGTTATTCTAGGGTTGGTTCTGTGATAAGAAGGGGTTGGAGGAGCATTTAGGAAGGCATTTAAAGTAGAAGCTTGTTGTGCAAATGGAAGGTTTTTAAGTAGATGTCCCAGTGAGTACAAGTAGATGTATTAAATGAGAAAGAGTGGCTGAATGATTGATACTCCAGAGCATGGGTTCTTTCTTTCAGTTCACAGAGCACTACATATTGCAGAGTTTTTTCTCTGAAGTTGTAGGGTAGTCTGTATTCCAGACTATATCTTCTGTGCCTCAATTTCTCCTTATTGCTAAGATATTAGATTCCAGGACAATATTTGATTCTTCCTTTCAAAGATTGTAGAGTTACAGATTTCCTGAAAGCAAAAGTAAAATGTAAATGTCTGTCAATGGGACAATGTGGATAAAATTATAATTACTCACATTTGGGAATTATAAAGCATCTAAAATAAATGAACCAGAATTATAGCATATCTTAAAGATAAAAATGAAAAAAATTAATTGCAAAATGATAGTACAGTTTTATGTTACTTGAAAATATTTTAACAAGCAAGGGTTGCATAAGTTATAGGATATGTAGTAATGGTAAATGTTAGAAAGCATTCATGAAAATAATTGTCATACTCGGGATGGAGTCTTTCCATGGATGTGGGAACGGGCTCTCACAGAGTTGCATGGAGGATTCAGCTATGTCTGTAAAGGGAAAAAGATCTGAAGGAAATGTGGTAACTTGTTAAGATTTGATGAAGCCAGGTGGTAGGCACATGGGAGGATTATAGTATTTTCTTTTTCTTTTATGCTTGAAATATATCAAAAGGAAAAAGGAAAAAAGCAGTAAATCCAGCAGGTTAGCATCAAAGTATGATCATTATTTTACCCAAAGGGCTCTTGTTAATTCAGTAGTGCAGCCACACTGGATAACATTTCCACAACCCGATCTGTCAGTGAGTCAGGCCTGTTGAATCACTTAGGCTTTGGGCACGGTTCGTGTAATTTCCTGGGTCAAGGGTGCTGCTAAGAAAGATATCAGGCAGGTGACACCAATAAATTCTTTTCAGTATATTGTTTGACAGTTCTTGAAGAACTCTGGGGCCACCTTTCAGAATTATCCTGTAGCCTTGCTGAAGGTCGGTGTAGTAGGCGATCTATAGCTCTTTTGTTCAAAGCACACAGGGTGGTGAGGTCAGCTGCCCTTTGGGCTACTGTGATAACTTGGTTGGTATCCAGATAGGAATGACACTGAGGAAGTTCTAAGGAATTGGTGTTATTCCTGTTATCCAAGGACTGGGGCTGAAACAAATAAGAAGTCCCTGATCACTGCCTTGTGCAAAAGTATCTCCTTATTTTCGTTGAGGAGGGGTACTAGGCAGTGTTGCAGGCTGAAGGGATCTAATTTAGGGGACATAGGTTACCGTCGCATCCGGAAGTTAACTGTGCATGTGTACGTGTTGGTGTGAGACCATGTGTAAGTTCTGAAAACAAAGTTTTACGATTCTGGTGTCTGGAAGTGAAATTTACAAAAGATAGAATAAGAAAGTACTGATTTAATAGACTTTAATAGCCAGTAGTAAGTGTGTTGTTCTGCAACACTGTGTAAGGAAGATACTACTATTCTTGTTTTAAGACTAACAGACTTGATGTAAGAAAGCTAAGAAAACCCGGCCAGCATCACAGCTTGAAAGTGTTAGGGTGCTGCAATCAGATCTACTTGAGTCCGAAGCCTTGCTGTTTTGTATTTTTATAAATATAAAATACTCTTTTGTAAAGTTTAAAGATGAAAAGATGCTACCTTCCTAGTGTGTGTTTTGGTTTTAGAAAATATTTTGTAGTTATGTTCGTTGTTATTGTAAGAGGTATTGTTTTTGATATGTTAAGATAGTCTATGTATGTCCAGGTGCATATGTACTGTGAACAGAGCTACAGAACAGGAGAAAATCTTGTTATTTTCTGTTGGAGACTAGAAATCAAACTGTACCATCTGGTGTTGAACTTGTTGGAGCAGAGTGAATACCATAGGAGGAGGAGCAGATGGGCCCTGGAAGAGAGAGGAGTGGGCATGAGAAGGTGGGATCTTGGAAGTGAGTTCAGGGCTGTGAAGGGGACAGCTAGGCAGAGGCCAGGCAGCATGGTGGTGAGGCAGGGCCTGGCTATGGGCAGAGCAGAGGGGGCCTCCCAGGAGAGGTGTCTCACACTGGACAGGTGGCAATCTTCTCTCCACTTCTCCTCCCAACTCCCAGTCTGGCCATCACCATCTCTGTTTCTCTTTCTCTTTTTATTTTTGCAGTGCTGGGGATTGAACACGGGTTGCACATGCTAGGCAAACACTCTTTATTACTTTATATTGACAGTTATTGCCTGTTTCCAGGTTGCTCTCAGTGAAGATGATCTAACAGTTCTAATGAAAATTTTGCTGGAAAATCTTGGGGAAGCTTCTCCACAGCCAAGCCCTACACTGTCTGTTCAGGAGGCTGTGAGAGTGAGGAAAGATATTCCAAGTGGACCAGACTACCTGAGAGGTAGAAATAGATGAAGATGCTTGCTTGATGACTGAAACATTGTTGTCGGTACCCTCTTTATACTGAGTGCCCTTTAATTTTGCATTCCTTGTTGGGCAGTGTACTGGGGAGGGCCTGTGGCAGCTGCCTCTGGAAACTCCCAGGGGGAGGGGATCTGCCCGTCATCTGTGATGAGAGGATGAGCCTCATGCTTGCCACATGATCCGTGTTTGCCCTGACTTGTGAAAGCTGCATTTGCAGAATTCCCCAGGCACTGAACTTGGGATCATTTGCAGGCAGTGCACACTGAGAGGAAGTCAGTAGGCAAGCAGTGTGGCCTGGTCCCAAAGTCCTTGGGAGAGAAAAGGGACTTGGTATGGTGTCACCACCCGTGGGTGACTGAACCCTGAGAAAGAAGCTTTACTTACCTGATGTGGAGAAGGATACAGTCATATGAACTTCAGCTCTGTTTCATATTATTAAACTGAACTTTCAGAAAGCACTGAACCGGGCTGGGGGTTTAGCTCAGCAGCATAAGTGCCTGCCTTGAAAGCAGGCAGTCGTGAGTTCGATCCCCGGTACCAATAAAAAGGAAAAAGACAAAAAAAAAAAAAAAAGCAGTGGACCTTTTAAATTCAGCCATTTTAAAATGATAGTCGTTGTAGAATAAAAGTTTCTTTTACTTTCTTAAACAAATTCTATCAAATACAGTTTTTTGAAGTCATTAGAATGAACACCAGATGTTTTATTAGAATGCAAATAGGTTACTATTTCCATGCTGAAAAGAGGAAGTACCCTTTGCTTTTGTAATAAATGGTGCTGGGCGGTTATGTATGTGCTTGCAAATGCTCTCAGATCATCAGTTTAATTGGTAAAACTGCCAAGAAATAATACCATACTAACACTGCTTGTATAGGTGGACTGACATGTTTTGGAATTAGGGATACCACAGATGATGGGAACATTTTACAGAACAGGTTTCTGGTTTAAGTAGATAGTTATTTGTGTTGCATAGCTTGGTGAGGCCAACACGTTCTCCTTCATTTGGCTTTATGCTGCCTTCTAGACAAGTGCTGGAGGAGCAGAGTATCTCAGTTAGACAGGAGCTATGTAGACATGAACAGAGCATAGATGACAGGCATGCTTTTTGGTTAATGATCTCATTAGATCCACCTGTGATCAGATTTGTTTTCCATTCTCACTGATGTTCATGTGGAACTTGGGAAAATTTGAGTTCAGATGCGAGCCACAGAGGTGAAGATTGCAAAGGTGGTGAAGATTGGAATGTAAATTATTTTTAGGAAAAGTGGAGAAAAAAACAAAGACTTTCCAGTTTGGAGAAACCTACCTGGTTAAAATTATGGAGTGCTTCCTTTTGTAGAATTTGTAAGATAAGAAGCTCCTATATTGTAACCAAAGAGAGAAACAGTCTCTGAGAGAATCATTGAGTCTCTTTGCAACTGAAGGCAGGCTTTGTCCTGTCTAAATATGAGAAAAAAAGACTAAATTTTTCTTAAAGTCTCTCTCATCTCAAAATTCCTAAGTTTCCCCCCAGCTTCCATCATATTTGAGCTCTGATGCTACCGCTGAGTTATATCCTATACTTTCTGAAGGCAGAGGTGGGCAGTGTGGGTATTTAAAGGTAGTAAGACTTGTTCTCTGCAGCAAAGCTTTTACTGTCTAACCTGGGCCCACATGTTCCGGCTTTCTGTGCCTTCTGTCTCGTAACCTCTTGAGGATGGTTGGAAACAGGCAGGTGAAAATGCCTTGATATGAAAAATGGTAACAAATGATCTTACATTGAAGAACTGTTAAAAACTGCTTTGAAATACTGTTTAGTCTCCCCTTTGCCACTTTGCCCTGTACTAAATATAAGGTAATCATTGCTGCTTTTATATACTGTCACATAATATTATTTAAAGAGTACTGGAAGGAATAACATAAATTTAGTATAGCCAATTATTATCTCAGCTTTTAAAATATGTATGAAATAATGTGCTTACTTAAAATCTTTATAATTTTAATTTTCATGTTTAAACCATCAGAACAAGAACATTTGACAGACTTAAAGCCTTCTGTGGACCAGACCGTCACACTCCAATTTGACTTTCATTTTGAATCTCTGTCCATTATCCTTTATAACAGTGACATCAGTCAGGTATGTAGTAAAGTGTCTGGTGGGGATGCACTGTTGCTCTTGGTATTTGTTTTAAGAATAGTTGCCTGCCTGCCTGCTGAGGAGAAGCAACAAGGAAGCCATCCCCAGGCCTCTCTGCCAACCCCTCAAGCAACTGGATGCCACAGGGGCTCAGAGAACAATAGCTAAAGTAGGGAAGCGGCCTGGGGCCGGTAGTCTGAGCAGCTGTTAGGGGATAACAATGTGCAGTATAGTAACAATAGTAGGAAATCCACTATCACTGTTTTGTTTCATTTTACTGTTCTGTTTTACTCTCTTTAAAATTAAAAGAAAACACTAGCGTTTTGTCACTTAAGTATTCATTAGGAAGTGTTAAGGTATCTGCCAGTGTTGGTTGTCCTGTGCCACATGTGCATGTGCTGATTCTGCTGCCGGTCTTCTCTGGATTTCTATTTTTAATCTCAGTAGGCCAAGGTATACCAGTTCTTTCTAGCTAACATGGACACCAAAGTGTGTCTTGATCTGCACTAATAGAGGATTTTTATATGTGCAATTAATTATATGTTCCATTTTATGACATAGCTAAATACATATGTGTAGATACCTATTTAAGAATAATTTAATGGCTTTAGAGCTTTGGACGATTATTCTGAAATTCATGATTGTCTATGAATGTAAACAGTGATTGTGTTTCTATAAAATGAATGTTATATATAGTGAATTTGTATTAATAATACTATTAATAAATTTAAGAACCAAAGTCTAATTCTATAATGGTAGACGCTAATGTTTCAGTGGTGTTTTTGAAGGCTGTTTTTTTTATTATATTCTGTCCTATAATATTTTTATTCTATCAATTATGCCATATGTTAATACCTATTATGCATATGTAATTCACATAAATCTATGAATTTTTAGGTATTACATCTGTTTAATGTGCATTTTCATATACTGATTTCATACTGTTTTCTAAGATTAAAGCAGTATACTATTTGTACGTTGTTACTGTTGAACTTTGGTTTAGTGTCCATGATTTATGCAGTGAGCTGTCTTAATTTCTGCTGTCCAGTCTGCATGAAACCATCAGAGAATGTCCTTACAGGAAAGGAGCAGTTAAAAGAACCTTGATTTCATCTAAGGACTACTATCTGTTGGTTCCTCAGTCTTCAAATTTCATCTCTTCTTTTACTTCTTTCCTTGTTTACTTTTTGTATTCTTTTAGACACTGAGTACCGTCAAGCTTTTCTTGTCAGTGTACATTGTCCTTTCCTGTCTGTTTTCACTGCTGCTTGTTGTGCAAGACTCTTCCTCAGCTCACACTTGTACTGCAGTGGCTTTGTTTGATTTGTCTTAGACATTGGTGCAATGTCCAAGTGTCATAAGTGTATCTCCAGTGGCCACTTATAACTTCCCGTTCTCCTTACAGGGGTTCTGTCTTACAATGTGTGAGTGTCCCCTTAGGAAAAAATGGGTCTCTAAGTTGTCTACATCAGGAGCCATATTAGGAAAGTTAGTGTCTTGTGATCACTAGTTGTGACTCAGGTCATTTCTGTCAATAGTTAAAGAACAAAAGTTGCAAAATAGTTGTCTCTTCATAAGGTGAAGGCATTCAAAGCTTACTGGCAGTAATGTCATTTTAACCCACTTACATGCAGTCTCCTACCTGGAATGAAAGGAATTGTGGCCTTCTAACCACTGTGTCTGACTGCAGGTCATTGGTGCTATTCACAAAGCCATGGTGTCTAGTGAGCCACTGTGGCTGATAGGGTTGTTGGTTGATCAGTTGGGTCAGGTCTGTTCTTTGTAAAATCTGGGCTTACTTGGAGTATGTGGACTTACGTTATGGTGGAATGAAGACTGAGGCCCCCATTTCTAGAACTGAAAGTGCAGATCATCATTTGAGCCCTAAGGCATCCATGTTTCTTTCTATCCTCATTCCCTATGTTGTTTAACTAGAATGTTCAAGCTTATAGTTTTCCCCCCATGTAAGACCCAACTGGAAGATAATACACCTTGAAAACTGGAGACCAAAATTGTCATCCTAATCCACATATCCTCACTTTACCCCCCTTAAAGAGCAGCAAGAGTGTAGTGATGGCAGGTAAGGGACAGATAGGCTGTTGGGGCTGGCATTTTTCATCTCTGGTTTCCAAGGCTGATTATTTTTTGGCTAGGTCTCATTTCCAGGGAAGAAGGGCAGGTGCCCTGTGCCCTGAGAGTACCTCACATGCTCACGCTTTCCCCGTGTGGACATCTTTCCTTTTATCTGGTCTTCCTCATTCTCCACCACACAGTTATGTTCTTAACCTGCAGCCTACAATAATTAATTGTACCTCTCCGAATTTTTACTGTTTGTACTTTTTATCTAACTACTTTATATGCTTTGTGGAAGTTCGGATGCTAATAAATATTAATAAAAATTAATATATATCGCAAGGTATGTAGTTATTTATAACGTGTAGCATCTCGTTGGACTGTTCTTTTTAATGTACTTCTAGTTTATTCTTTCAACTAAGGTGTAAAATCACTGAGATCGAGCTGGGCGGATCCGGAGTTCCTGCAGAAGCCCGTTCCTTTGTCTGAAGGACTGAATACTTCTGCAAGCAGGGAGGCATCGCAGCTTCCTGAGGCACCTCAGCCTGTGGTGAGTGCCCAGCACAGTCTGCCCAAATCTCAGACTGTTCCGGACCCCCCAGGCTTCTGGGTGCAGAGAAGTGGAGCAGTGGGTTAGAGGCCACTACAGCTGCCTCTCCATCCCCCCCGGCTACACTTGGAAGTCTGCTGAGCTCCTGACGGATGGGCGGGCCTACACTAACCCCCGAGCCCAGCCGCACCTAGCCATCTCCTGCAGAGGAGGAGCTGGGCGGAACTGGAGTGCCTGCAGAAGTCCCTTCCTTTGCCTAGAGGACTGTGGATATCTCTGCAAGCAGGGAGGGAACACAGGCTCCTGAGGCACTGCGGCCTGTGGAGAGCACCCTAACCCGGCTGCAATTGAAGAGCTGTGGATCTTCCAAGGGGCAGGTGGGCGCACAGTGTCCCTGAGGCCCAGCTTGTCTGGAACTGCGGAGTTCTGAGCAGGCAGAGGAGGGACACTGGTTCTGCAGACCCAATGGCTTGGGGTAGTGCGGTGTCAGAGTCTCAGTAGCTCCAAGCATAGAAGGGGATTTTCAACAGATCCTGAGGAAGCTTTCAAATAACACTTGAAACACAGAAATATACAAAATGACAAAACGAAAGACCAAATTACAACCTCAAACCTCCAGCCCATCTCAGGAAACCCTAGGAGCAATGTATATAGAAGAAAATATATCCCATCCACCTTATATATCGGACATAATAGCTACTGAAGTTGACAAACAACTCCAGGAAGCTTTAAAGAAATTCAAGCTCAAAATAATCTCCCAGATAAAAGAAGAAATGATAAAAGAAATGAAAGAGATTCTAAATATATCTAAAGAAAACACAGATAAAAAATTGGAGGAACTAAACAAAAAGATAGAATCCCTAGACGAGCAATATAAGAAACAAACAGAATACATAATGCAGATGCACAGAGATATACAGGAAATAAAAAACTCCACTGAAAGTTGTAAAAACCGCCTTAATGAAAGTGAAGATAGAATTTCAGACCTTGAAGACATGATTGCAGCTAGTGAACAGGAAAGGAAAGATCTTTTGAAAATAACAAGGAATCAGGAAACAACAATTCAACAACTGCAAGACGATGCAAAGAAGAATAACATAAGAATGATAGGGATTAATGAAAGAGAGGGAGACAACATAAAGGATGTCAAGAGGATATTTAGAGAAGTAATAGCTGAAAATTTCCCAAGCATGAGATCAGAAACTGACATCAAGATCAGTGAAGCATATAGAACTCCAAACACTCATAACCAAAATAAAACTACACCCAGACATATAATAATCACCATCCCAGAAATCCAACACAAGAATAGATTACTAAAAGCTGTCAGAGAGAAAAGACAGATCACTTATAAAGGAAAACCTATCAGAATCACAGCAGACTTCTCAGCACAAACGATAAAGTCAAGAAGAGCATGGAGTGAAATATTCCAGATCCTAAAGCAAAATGATTTCCAACCAAGACTGATATATCCTGCAAAACTATCATTCAAAATAGATGGTGCAATACGATACTTCCATGACAAAGAACAGCTGAAGAACTTCATGAACACCAAACCGACCCTGCAAAAAATATTGAAAGACAGTTTAGATACACAAAGGAAAAAAACCACTAAGCAAAGCAAATAATTAAACAGAACAGAAAGATAAAGATGCAACAGCAGAGAGATAACATTCCTACAATTAACCAGCATTTAACAGTAATAACCATTAATGTAAATGGTCTCAATGCACCAATCAAAAGAAACAGACTAGCAGAATGGATCAAGAAACAAAATCCAACCATATGCTGTTTACAGGAAACCCATCTAACCCAGAAGGATACTCACAGACTGAAAGTCAAAGGATGGAAAACAATTCTTCATGCAGCAGGAATCCAGAAAAAGGCAGGAGTAGCCATTCTGTTTGCAGACAACGTGAACTTTAAACCAACAATGACCATAAAGGACAAAGAAGGTCACTACATACTTGTAAGGGGAAAACTCCAAGAGGAAGAGATAACTATCTTAAATATATACGCACCAAACTCCAGAGCACCAAGTTATATAAAACAATTATTAACAGAAATGAAAACTCAAATTATCAGTAACACAATTGTAACAGGAGACCTTAATACGCCATTGACACCAAGGGACAGATCAACCAGACAGAAAATGAGCAAAGAAATAACAGAACTGAATCATACCTGTGAACAAATGGGTTTGATAGACATATACAGGATGTTCCACCCAACAACATCGGAATACACATTCTTCTCAGCAGTACATGGATCATTTTCTAAAATAGACCATATATTAGCTCACAGAACATATTTAAACAAGTGCAAAAGAGCTGAAATCATCCCTTGCATGTTATCGGATCATAGCGCTCTGAAATTAGAAATTAATGATAAAAGATACTGCAAAAATCCCACAAACACATGGAAACTGAATAACACACTCTTGAGTAATCAGTGGGTCACAGAGGAAATTAAAGAAGAAATCAAACAATACCTAAAAGAAAATGAAAATACAGATACAACTTACCAGAACCTGTGGGATGCAATGAAAGCCGTCCTGAGAGGAAAATTTATTGCACTGAGTTCCCACATCAGGAAAACAGAACGAATACAAATAAATAACTTGATGCTACACCTCAAACAGCTAGAAAAAGAAGAGCAAGTCAAGCCCAAAGCCAAAAGAAGAGAGGAAATTATAAAAATCAGAGCAGAAATTAATGCAATAGAGACTAAGAAAACCATCCAAAGAATCAACAAATCAAAGAGTTGGTTCTTTGAAAGAATAAATAAAATCGATAAGCCCCTAGCCAACCTTATTTAAAAAAGGGAAGAAAAAGCTCAAATTCATGCAATAAGAAATGAAAAAGGAGAAATCACTACAGACCCAATAGAAATACAGAAGATCATCAACACCTATTTCGAAAACCTCTACTCTCAAAAGTTTGATAACACAGAAGAAATAGACAGATTCTTAGAAGCATATGAAGTGCCAAAGCTAGATCAAGAGGATGTAAAACTGTTGAATAACCCAATCTCTGTTACTGAAATTGAAAATGTAATTAAGTCCTTACCCACAAAGAAGAGCCAAGGCCCAGATGGATTCACTGCAGAATTCTACAAGAAATACAAAGAAGACCTAATGCTGACACTCCTCAAACTGTTCAATGACATTGAAAGGGAAGCAATCCTTCCTAAGTCGTTCCTGGAAGCAAATATTACTCTAGTACCAAAACCTGAGAAAGACCCAACTAAAAAAGAGAACTATAGACCGATCTCCCTAATGAACACAGATGCAAAAATCCTCAATAAAATATTGGCAAATAGGATCCAGCAAATCATCAAGAAGATTATACACCATGACCAAGTGGGATTCATCCCAGGAATGCAAGGATGGTTCAACATACGCAAATCAATAAATGTAATCCACCATATCAATAAAGCCAAAAATAAGAATCACATGATCATTTCTATAGATGCAGAAAAAGCCTTCGATAAGGTCCAACATTTATTCATGATAAAAACTCTACAGAAAATTGGAATAGATGGTCTTTACCTCAATATAATAAAGGCCATTTATGACAAACCAACAGCCAGCATCATTCTAAATGGCCAAAAATTGAAAGCCTTTACTTTAAAATCAGGCACAAGACAAGGATGTCCTTTATCACCACTCCTATTTAATATAGTACTGGAAGTACTAGCCAGAGAAATTAGGCAAGAAAGAGAAATAAAAGGGGTAAAGATAGGAAAAGAAGAAGTTAAGATGTCGTTGTTTGCAGACGACATGATACTCTACATAGAAGATCCCCTAAGCTCCATTGAAAGACTCTTAGATACAATAAATAAATTCAGTAATGTGGCTGGATACAAAATCAATACTCAGAAATCAATAGCATTCCTATACTCAAACAACAAAATCACAGAGAGGGAAATAAGAGAAACTGGATTATTCACATTAGCAAGCAAAAAAATGAAATATTTAGGAATTACTCTTACGAAAGAAGTGAAAGACTTATACAGTGAAAATTATAATACACTGAAAAAGGAAATTGAAGATGATCTCAGAAAATGGAAAGACATCCCTTGCTCATGGATAGGAAGAACAAACATTGTGAAGATGGCCATTCTCCCAAAACTCTTATACAGATTCAATGCAATCCCAATAGAAATACCATCAACATACCTTATAGATCTAGAGAAATCACTCCTAAATTTCATCTGGAACCAGAAGAGACCTAGAATCGCAAAGGCAATTCTAAGCAGCAAAGGCAAAGCAGGAGGCATCACAATCCCTGACTTGAAATTATACTACAAAGCAACAGTAGTAAAATCAACATGGTATTGGAATCAAAACAGAGGCGAAGATCAATGGAATAGATTAGAAGATATAACCACAACTACAAACACACTCAACCACCTTATCTTTGATAAAGGAGCCAAGCAGGTTCACTGGAAGAACGACAGTCTCTTTAATAAATGGTGCTGGAAAAACTGGCTCTCCATTTGCTGAAAACTAAAGCTAGACCCATGTCTATCACCATGTACTAAATTAAAATCTAAATGGGTCAAAGATCTGAATATTAAAACAGAAACACTAAATCTATTGGAAGACAAAGTGGGTAGAAACCTTGGAGACATAGGAGTAGGTAGAGAATTCATGAACAGGACTCAAACCGCACGGGAAACACTTCCCAGAATCAATAACTGGGACCACTTCTTATTAAAAAGTTTCTGCATGTCAAAAGAAATCTCCAGCATAGTGAAAAGAAAACCCACAAACTGGGAAAAGATTTTAGTGAACTCTCTCTCAGACAAGGGACTCTTGTCTAAAACATATAAAGAATTAAAAAAACTCAGACCTCCAAAATTCAAAGATCCAATCCAAAAATGGGCATCTGAGATGAATACGCAATTCTCAGATGAAGAAATGCAAATGGCAAATAAATATATGAAAACATGCTCATCATCATTGGTCATCAGAGAAATGCAAATTAAAACCACACTGAGATTCCATCTCACTCCTGAAAGAATGGCCAGGATCAAGAAAACCAACAACAACAAATGCTGGAGAGGATGTGGGGAAAAAGGAACTCTCCTGCACTGTTGGTGGGAGTGTAGACTGGTACAGCCTTTGTGGAGGTCTGTCTGGAGGTTTCTCAAAAATTTGGGATTGGAAATCCCATTTATTCCAGCTATTCCACTTCTAGGCATATTCCCAGAAGAACTGAAAGCATCATACCACAGTGATTTATGTGCACCTATGTTTATAGCAGCACAATTTGTAATCGCCAGATCTTGGAAACAACCCAAGTGTCCATCAACTGAAGAATGGATAAAAAAGTTGTGGTATTTCTATACAATGGAATATTATTCAGCTATAAAGAAGGATCACATTGAGATATTTATCAATAAATGGGCGCAGCTTGAGACCATACTCATAAGTGAAATAAATCAATCTCGCATGTATGAATACCGAATAGTTTCCCTAATGTAAGTAATGATTCAAATATATGAAAATATGTGGCAATCATGATTCCCCATTATGTGGCCTTGAAGCCTTATAAAATTTTTCACTTATTAATTAGAAAGGCTTTATTCTGGGCTTCTTGATATGGAAATATTTGAAGCTATATTATATGAAGTTTTATCCAAATATCTCAAGGAAAAAGACAGACACTATGGTAACTATTATTCTTTAAAAAAATTATTTAGTTATTTCTTATGTTTATTTTAATTAAGGGAAAAATTAAAAAAATTAGGATATATAATAGTAACTCTTTTCGATTTCCTATTAACTAGTTTTGAAGTCCTGTAATGCTCCCACGATCTTGTTTTGACTGATTAGACTCTGTTCCATTCTGTGGGATAGTATCAAGTCTGAGAGTATAGGCAACTACTTTGAAGGCAATAAGATTCACTAAGATGCCCATTCTGGTTTGACTATTGTCTCCTTTGGAAGTCCTGTAATGTTTACAATGTCTAAGTTTTATTGGTCTTGTTCTCTACTGTTTTGTCCAACTTTATAATATCTAATGAGATAGACAAATCTTTTTAAGGAAACAAGAGACAACGTTGATAACTATTGTTAATAACCGTGTACTCTGTTCTACATCATGTGCTAAGTCTATCCTTGGTTTTGACTGACAGCTTTGTTCTGCCATATTTGACTTTATTCCCCCCCCCCAAAAAAAAGTAATAAGAACTAAGGAGTAATAAAATCTAAAATGTGTAAATTTTGTTGTAAAAAGAGAGGAAGGGAAAAAAAAGAGCTCTAATGGATATAACAGCAAGTGTGTATAGGGATGTTGAATAGCTGACTATATTAATGTTTTTGGATCATTGAACACAGCTGTTTGTAGTCTCTCTGTTTGAATGTCTACTTTGTATTCTTTGATACTGTGATTTGAGCAACTATTTCCAAGATGATAATATGTAATCTATTAACAGGTGATTTCTTACTGTTATGTTTTTTTTTTGTAGTTCTGTATTATATGTAACCTTACACTGCTTTGTTTTGTTTTGTGTTTTTCTCTTTTTCCTCTTAAATAAAAAAAAAAATCACTGAGATCAATAGTAAGGCTTATTTTTTCTTATGACGTCCCTAATTCTTATCACCGTTGTTTACAGAAGAGCTCATTAATGTTTATTAGCTGAGTTGCATATTATCTGATAAAACTATTTGCTAATTAGTCACTTGCTTCAAACTATATCAGGTTACTTTTAATATATTAACCATTGTTGAGGATCAAGACACATACGCATTTATTTGTATGTACGTATGTACTCATAGACAATGTGTAACTGTTCCATTCATGTGTTTTCCCACCTGTGCTTTGAAAATTTATGAGATTGATTTGTGTTTTAGCTCTGGGTTAAATATGTTTAATAATATTACATAATTTTTAAAGCTAATTGTTCTTTTGTTTGAAAAATGTACCGCAGGAGTCCAAACTTGCATTTCATAATGATAGTTTTCGTCTCGGTGAGCTCAGACTGTACCTGATGGCCTCTGCAGGGAAGATGTTCAAGGATGGCTCAGTGAATGTCAGCCTTAAGCTGAAGACATGCACCCTTGATGATCTCAGAGAAGGCATCGAGAGAGCCACGTCCAGGTCTGTCAGTTCGCACGGTGCTGGATGCCACTCACGGCTAACCCTGAACCTGGCATCACTGCAGGCTTTGCTGTGCTTGGGTTCTTCAAAAAATATTTGTGTCTTTTTGATCAGACCTTTAATCTGAATTGCATCAAGAATTAATGCTAATATCAGATTCAGCTGCTGGGATGGTTATATTAAATGAAAGTTTATTAATAAATCGGAGTACTGTCTTAAAAATGGAACTACCACAATGTGAGTTTCAGTAGTTAAATACGTGGTGATATATTTTTTCAAATTATCTCCATTCAGCAGAATCATGTTTTAAAAATGCTTAAAGTTATGACTTTTTCCTTTGTCTTATTTTGTCTGTCTTTTAAAACACTTCTACAAAATTTCTGTCACTTTTAATAGGAGTAGAATCCCAAGCATAATCACATTATCAACACATTTTTGACAGAATCAGCCTACTGTGAAGTTAGAAACGTGTAACTTCAGTAGCCTAATAATTTTTTATTCCTTTTTGAAATAATGAGACATGTACTATTTTTTACTTACTGGTTTTCTTTGGAGAAAAGCTGTGTTGCTGCTTATTCTTGTATTCTATTGAGTATGTATTGGATAGTGCTAAACCCCGTATTTCCTGGAGAAATAAATGAGTAGCGTGGCCATGCAGCAGTTTTTCTCCTATGAGAATTTTACGTCGAGGGAACTGTCCGCAGCTCTCTAGATGGGGTGATAAATGTCGAAATCTGTTAGGTAGCCTGGTCTTTACAATACATGTGGAGCTGCATAGGAACTGTCATTGTAGACCCTTGATAAACGTGTGCTGGTTTGAGTTGCATGAAATACCTTTGGAATTCAAATGTAGAGGATGATTTTTGCAGATAAATTCTTTTAGGAAGATGAATTCTTTTATTTAGTGAAATATTGGGACTGCGTTTATACATTTTGATATTTGCTCAAGTCATTTCTAGTAATCATATTTCTTTAGTATTAAATTGTGATTATAAAATATAATTGCTTAATCTCATGCACCTTGTTTGGGAAATGGGGAAACATGTTTTGGTTACTAGTTGGTTTATTATATCCAGTTAACACTGTCCTATTTTATGTTCAGATAAAAAGTAATTGATGAAAGAATTCTTAAAATACATAGGAAAACTTTCATAATTTTTATTTTTAGTGGGAGATAAAATAATGAGTGATATGTGTGTATTTTTTTCAGAATGATTGACGAAAGAATGACCAAGATAGCAGCAGTTCTATGATTGATATTCATTACAAACAAGACAAAAACACAAGTCTAATTGATGCTGTTCTTGACAAGCTGTATGTGTGTGCCAGCGTGGAGTTTTTGATGACTGTGGCAGATTTCTTCATTAAAGCTGTGCCTCAGAGCCCAGAAAATACGGCGAAGGAAATACAAATGCCATCAAGACACATTACCATGGGGAAAGTCCAGACAGAAAAAGGTTAGCAGACTGTATCTGTCTTAGATGACAGCTTGTATATTTTAACACAAATTACAAACAGCAAGAAAGAGACATATTGGGTTTGAGAAAATAAAATTAGGCTTTTAGGTTTAAACATACTTTACAGAAACATCTTAGTAAATGTTTTTAAGTGAGAAGTATATAGTAGAAGCATATTAGGGGCAGGGACTCTGCTCTGGGACTTGTCATGTCACTCACATTCTTTACTCATCTGGAAAGGAAGTTAATTGGGGTAAGTGGTTGGAGGGCTATTTTATAGGTGGGTCATTTAGTCCAGGAAAATACTTTGAAGAACTGTATCATGTTGAGGAACAGTTGAAAAGATAGAAGAAGGTGAGGCTGTTGCAGGAGCTAGCAGGGTTCCCTTAGATGTCACCTTTAACTCTTTCCTGGGAATATGCTGAATCCACATTGAGCCCTGCCCTGTATTTTATATCCCATCACCTTTATACCAATCAGTGATTTTCTTGTTAAATTATTATTACTTAAGGTCAGGCGTTTTCTCTGCAATGCCTAAGCCAGTAAGTTGGAAACTAACACTGGCAAGATCAGAATGTTATTTTTCCATTTACTTTAAATGTTTGTTAAATAGTAATCATACTGATATCTCTGCATTCATTTATACTTTGAACATATTTATAGTATAGATAATATGACTCTTGACTCTGATCCTTGGGGTAAAGCCAAAGTAAAAAATAAGAATAGTTTAACATCTTTATCAGGATGTCTCTTTTTCTTCCTGTTATTTCTCTCTCTGTTTTCCTCCTCTTGGCCCCTGTGTCATAGAATCACACATTCTCATGTGTGTATACAAGTGCCTGCCTTGACTCTGACCAGAAGAATTTCCAAACAGCGTTGTTCCCCAAAATATCAAAGATCAAAATGGGAATGATCTGTTTTGGGCAGGTTTTGGATTACATCTTTTTGCATAATTACCACTTATTAAATAATCATTTCATTATTAGTATTAATTAACCAACTCAAAATTAGTGCTTTCACTATACCCAATATAGGAAAAATACTGAGAACAGTTTAACAGCCTGTGGTTAATATTGTAGCCATAGGAAGATTTACTTTAAAAATTTTCTGGTCCCATTTTTGTTTCTCCAGATGATTCTGCAAGACGAAACATGACCTTGAAGGCCAAGATCACAGACCCGGAAGTGGTGTTTGTGGCCAGCCTGAGCAGGGCGGACGCTCCTGCGCTGTCGGCCTCCTTCCAGTGTAAGCTCTGTGTGTCCGCATCTGGGCTGGAGCAGGTGATGGAGGCATCCGTCAAAGACCTGAGAGTGCTCGCTTGTCCTTTCCTCAGAGAGAAGAGGGGGCAAACTATCACCACAGTAAGCACTGCCTTGGGCCCTCAGCTGAAGAATGACAGAAATAGCTGAGTCCGAGAATCTCAGAGCCTGAGTGCTGTCCAGGATTTAAGTGATTATTTAGTACAACCTCTGGTTTGCAGGCAGAGATGTCGGGTTCTGCCAATGTTACCTGGCGAGTTGTGGCTGCTAGGGAAACAACTAGGGGCTGCCTCTAGACTAGTCCTCTTTTCATGATCTTCTGTTGAATTTTAGTTCAGATCAGTGTTTTTCAGCTATTTCTTTTGTTCACTAAGTATATCGAATGAGAGAAAAATAAATATTTAAGCTCAGATTAAAAAAAACTCAGGTGGAGTCACATGACAAAGGACTTCTGTGTTCCTCGGGACTAACTGGATAATCATCTGGAAACTGGTTATTTACGCTAACCCCTGCTCTAGTCATCAGTTCATTTTGTAGATACCTCATAATTATATTTTACAGAGTGCGTCACTGAAAAAATATGTTTGGAAAAAGAAACACTTTAAACTTCTGATAGTAAATGTGTGTCTTTACATCAGCATTTGGAATGAAGAACTTCATCAGAACTGATTGAAATCCTTTAGCAATCTACATGGACTTGTCGTAATTCAGAAGAACCTTCACAAGAGTGTCTTAGCTAATGTAATTTTTAATAGTAGTTCAGAATCTCAGTGGAGTGAGAGATGGTTTGTGTAAGTGCATGTTATGTAAATATTAATGAAAATGTGACTTTTCATTTATTTGTCTAGGTCTTGCAGCCGTGCTCTTTATCTATGGAAAAATGTACCTGGGCCTCGGGAAAACAGAATATCAATATTATGGTTAAAGAATTTATAATTAAGGTTGGTACCTGACAGATTCTTTGTGTGTAAATTCTTGAAATAGTGTCTTTGGTCTCAGCATTGCTGTAAGTCACATATTTGGTAATCAGATTGCCTCTGGGTTAAAATACATTTTAAGTGCTTATTCTGTTTTCTTTAAGAGACTACTTTTTTAATACCTATACATGGCAGGTGTAGTTTTCTCTGTTTTATTTGCATTTGTGTGTGGTGTATGTGTCAGAGGGGAGAGAAGAGATAGAGAAACGAAGAAAGGATGGAGACATTATTTTTAGGCTTTTATTAATGTATAGTTTGATTTGGCCTGATAAGTATGTGATTAGATACTTAGCTTATATTTGTGGTGACAGATGTATGCTGGAAATCACTGGGGTTTGCTTTTTAAAAGATCTTTTACATTTAAAATACTAAAGAACAATCTATTTTCCAGTGTCATTCAAAATTCTTTCAGTAGGACTTCATTCCCCATTGTAAATAGGGAGCACACGATACTTTCTCAAATCTAGTTTGCTCTCTTTTGAAAGATGCAAAGATGAGACAGTTAATTCTAGTGATGCATAAATGATACTAGCTTTACTTTTGTAGGTCAGAGACCAGTATGATTGGATTAATACTTAAACTAATATCATTTGAACCATTTTAAATAACAACGCAGGTTTTTTTCAGTTTAAAACAGTACTGGGTAAAACCAGGTGTGGTGGCACATGCCTGCAATCCCAGCACTCAGGAGCCTGAAGCAAGAAAAGTGCCATGAGTTTGAGACCAGCTTGGAGTACGTAGTGAATTCAAATGCAGCTTGAACTAAGCAAGATCCTGTTTTGAAAAAAGCAAGCACGTGGGGCTGGGGATTTAGCTCAGTGGTATAAGCTCCTGCCTTGCAAGCAGGCAGTCGTGAGTTCGATCCCTGGTACCGATAAAAATGAGAAAGACAAAAAAAAAAAAAAAAAAAAGCAAGCACGCAACAAACAAAAACACTAGAAAGGCTTAGATTGTGTTTTTCTCATGAATTTACTTTTTTTTTTTTAAAGATGTAGCATAATAAAAATGCATTTGCTTGTGTTTGCTCTAAGACATTAGGGTAAGTGTTATGGAGACTTCTTTTCTTTGTATAAATCATTTTTGATCTCCTTCTATACTTAAAAACACACCCTGTGTATGACATTGGCAGTACATGGTCTCTGCTTTCAACAAACTTAATGACCAGGGGAAGAGCAGTAGATTGGTGATTGTAACTTCGAATGCTAGAGGCGTGCACAGAAGCTGCTGGCAGCATGAACAAGGGGGCTGCGGTTCAGACTGGAATATCAAGAAAAGTTGTCTGAAAGGGACACATCTTGGACTAAGGACTGCAAGTTGGTGTAAGTTAGATAGATGGAGAGGAAGGGGAAGGTTTTCCAGACTGAATTTGCTGTCTGCACAGAGGCAAAGGTTGGAAAATGTTCTTGAAGAACTTAGAAGGATCATCCCCATGGCTGCATTCAGTGGTGTGTTTGAGTTATAGGACTGGGATGTTAGTTACAGATAACATTAATAAGACAAGGAGAAAGAAAGCAGTCGGTTGGCAGGCAAGTAGGTCAGGAATGTGGTGCACATCAGATCCTCTTTGTGATGAAGCAGTTGTATGTGTTTAGTGTGTTAGTGAAGAAAGGGTTGTGAGAAGTTAACAGTAAAGGAATCCTTTTAAATTATTTAACCGAGTATTTCTCAAACTTTATAGAACCCTTGCTAGCAGATTGGCTAGGAACTAGCTCACAAAGAGTGCTGTGCACCAAGCCAAAGAGAGTTTGAATTTCATTCTGAAAGTTACAGAGCTCAGTGAAGATTTTAAGCATAGGAGTGATATGCATGGAGTCAGGGTTAAAGAAACTCTGCTGGTGACAGTTTGAAGGATAGGAGGACAGAGTGCTGACTGGATACAAAAAATACCTTCAGCACTTGGCCACTAGTGGTAACTCAGGTAGAGTGCTTGCCTTGCACGTGGCTTGACCTGGAGCTTGGTCCCCAGCACCACAAGACTAAATTAAGTGAAAAACAAGTAAGACAAAGATGTCCTCAGTGTCAGAACTAAAGCGCAGTGCAGGAATGAGAAAGTGAGCAGAGGCTCTACCCAGAGATATCAGAAGCAAAGTTCAGGGATCTTGGTTGAGCCAAGTGGGATCCATGAGTAATTTCAGCCTTCTCCTTTCTACAAGACAGAGGGAGATACTGCTATGCCTCTCTGTTCAGTTCAGGTGTCTTGACGTAGTGAACATAGCTGGTTGGAGTTCTGCGCTTTTGGTTGATGCCATGCTGTGAGTTCAGCTTGGTGGTTAGTTTTGACTCTTGCTGCGCAGCATTAATTGCTTCAGGTTCTGTGAGCAGGACGTGGCATTACACAGAGACACACGCCTTAATCCATATTTTCATTAGCTAGGAGCTGAACAACCAGGTAAATTTTAACGTGTTACTTTTTAAAGGCTTTAACGCGTGTGTTTCAATTCTCATCTGGGAAAGAATTTTTTCAAGATTTTTCTCTGCTTTGCTTCTGAAAGATTTCACCCATCATTCTGAATACTGTGATGACAATAATGGCTGCCATGTCTCCAAAGACGAAAGAGGATGAATCGAGAGACACATCTAAGGAAATGGAAAGTCTTTGGGATATCAAGTCTATTGATGATTATAACTCTTGGTTTCTTGGTGTTGACATGGCAACCGAAGCAACAGAAAGTTTCAGAGCGATGGATCATCCACTAATAGAGGAAAACTGTGCTGTTGCTGTGGAATCGGTCCAAGTCACTCTAGAATGTGGCCTTGGGCACCGAACTGTGCCTTTACTATTGGCAGAGTCCAAGTTTTCAGGAAATATTAAGAATTGGACTTCCCTGTTGGCTGCTACTGCTGATGTGACACTGCAGGTATGGAGACGTGGTGGAGTACCCCAAGGGCAGCTGCCTAAAACACTGTGGGGTTAAGACTCAGGTTCTGTTGTTGCCTGTTTGTTTTGTTCTCTTATAGTTTGTTTGTGCATGATTGAATTAGATGATATATGTGAATAGATACATATGCTGACATTCAGTTTGTGGCTGTGTAACTGTATATGTGGTAACTGTTTTTAAGAAGTCTTGTGCTAAATGATTTATGACAAGAAATAAAGGGATAAAGGGAAATACATTCTTTTTAGGTACTTTTTTGTGTCTTTAGGCAAGTGGTTTTGAACGGCTATTACTGTATCGTATTACTTAATTGTTTTCCTGCTTGTTCCAGAATTGCATAATTAAGGTTGAAAACTGACCTTTTATAATTCTGTGCCAGGTTCACTATTACAATGAGATTCATGCTGTGTGGGAGCCATTGATCGAGCGAATAGAGGGGAAGAAACAATGGAACTTAAAGCTTGATGTAAGGACACAGTAAAGCATCTCTGTATGGAGCGGCACTGCACGTGTTCATTGATGTTCTTTAATTTGGTTCTTGTCAAGATGTAGTCCACAACCTGTGGAGCCCTTTTAGTGTATGCGTAAGATAGAAAATGTTTTTATATGTATATTCAGACATTATATATCATTTTAATTTTCATCCTCATGAATGTGTGATGGAGTTTTCGGGAAAGTACATGAGTGTGATTCTGTAGGAGACTGCAAAGCAGAGATGAGACCACCTGTCTTTTAAGCAGGCACTGAAGAAGTTTATTAATGTCCTTTATCTCACTATTTGTATTTTAAAAATACTTTTCACTAAAATGTTATCTTGCATTAACTTAGTTTTGGATAAATATTAAAGTTTTTCTCAGTTTTCATTTCTAATAGAATATGTATTGGTAGATAAATGAAGCTTTCATAAATGAAGCTCTTTGAGATAATGATTTTTTTAAGGGTATAACTAAAAATCTTATGAATCACCACTAATTTATGGACTTTCCTTATTATCTCTTCCTGGTATTTTTCCAAGTGTGTCAGAATCCTGGGTTGCAGAGCCTGGTTTTCTTGAGTACCCAGTGTGTGAGCTGGCATTAGCAGATTGTCCCAGAGCACTTCTCTAGAGTGGCCTCACGGGGCTGTTACACGTGGACGCTGACAAAGAAGATTTTAACTTGTGTCCTGTGTGCTCCAAATGAAGTAGAACTAGTATTTCTGGCCTCCCTCTCTCTGGCATAAGGACGGTAACCAGAAATCATGGCTTTTGCACCTCTGTTAGAACAAAACCATGAATATGGCAATAGCTGGAATCTGGGGGCTGGTTGAAAGCTTGATATTACTTATTTGTAGATGTTACCAATAAAAAGCAGAAGACAAGAAAGTATTATTTCTAGATGATATTCTAATAAGGACCGATTCAGACTTCAGGATCACCTTTTATTACTGATCAACTCATAGTTACTAGCTGGGCAGTACCGGATGATTAGATGGGATCTCGGGTGGAAGGTGTGCATGGAACAGGTTCAGTGGCTGACAGAGTTCAAAGCATTTCCCCAGAGTAGACTCTGCGTTGCACTCACCTCACCAGAGCAGAGGAAATCTCTGAATAGCTTTGAAAATGATGCTTTGGAGGAGCCTTACTATAAAGTGCCAGCTTAGGAAAATTCAACACTGTTGACTATCTTAGATTTGTTATTAACTGGCTGTTTAAATTTTTATGTTATTTATCTTTGTAGGTACAGAAGAACCCGATCCAGGATAAAAGTTTGATACCAGGAGATGATTTTATTCCTGAGCCCAAAATGGCAATTTTATATTTCTTCAGCAGACACAATGAATATAACAATATCCAAAACGTGTCTCAATGTTTTCAGCAATTTAGCAGAAGTATGTGTGGCTCTTATTTGGAATATTTCAAGTAGAATTTAAGAGTGAAATGTGCTGTATACATTCTTCTGTGATCAAAATTAGTTTCAGAAATGTGTATGCATGGGAAAGTGTTTGAAAGAAATGTACATTTTGTAACTATCTCATGATGGCATTACATTCCTTTTCAGGGTTTTTCGGAGGGCACTGCTTCTACTTTTGATTACTCTTTAAAAGACAGAGCTCCGTTTACAGTCAGAAATGCTGTAGGTGTTCCCATGAAGGTGCAGCTCAGTCGTAACCTGAGAGTGATGGGCTCCCCAGGGAAGAGCGATGTCTATGGTGTGGATGCCGGTCAGCATCTGGAACTGGAGTATGCCCGCACGGAACCTTCCTCTCAAGGGAAGCTGTCTGTGCTGAGCCATCAGGAGAGTTCCTTCTTCACACTGACTTTCGGTATGCTGCGTTTTACTTCAGGAGCACCTTAAGAATCACTGTGGGCTTAGTTTTGATAAAATATAGAAAAATATTTTGCTGCATACTTATTTGGGAAAAAGCACTTGTAAAAACTTGGATTAAATAGTTGATACTTGTTTCCTGTTTTGGGATGATAGCAGTCCCAAAATAGTGAGAATAATTAAGTACTGTTACAAGAAAGTTGTTGCTGGATAGTTGAGAGAATAAGAAATCTGTCGCATTTTGTTTGTTTTCATATATTTAAACTGACTTGCTCAAATTATCTAGGGTCAAAAATTTTGTATCAGTAATAGTTTTTCTCTTTTTTAAAACCCTATATTTTAGAAAAGTATTTCATGGTGATTATTTCCAATCACGAGAAGAATACTCTTGTCTTTGTTTTGGCAGGGTAACTATTCTGATGGAAACATATTAGTAAATAAATATTTAGAATTTTTTTCACTTGTCCTCTGCCTTAGTACCACATGGATACACAGAGGTTGCCAATGTCCCTGTTGCCCGACCTGGACGGCAGTTGTACAATGTGCGGAATCCCCACGCCAATTACTCAGACTCCGTCTTGGTACAGATTGATGCCACCAAAGGGAATAAAGTCATCACCCTCCGCTCTGTGCTGCAGGTGACTTTAAAGTGAAGTGTATACTGTTCAGTTCTCAGTTTAACTCATTTTGGAATATCACAACCCAGCATTACATCAGTAAACTGATGTCATTTTTATTCCCTAATTTGCTTTTGTAATGTTCTTTATTTTAAATGGTTAATAAGATTTTTAAATTTAAAGCCCATTTTTGTATCTCCTCTGTTTACCATTAATGAAATATTTTTGCGTATTTCTTTAAGAATTGATGAAAATTATAATTACAGTTGATTGTCACATAGGATAACATCATTCTGTTTGTATATCACTTGGGGTTATATTTTTTGAGCGTGTAACAAGGACTGTTAAAATGAGCTGTTCTCCTGAAAAAAAATTTTGGCGTCTTAGTCTGTATAAATATTTCCTTTTTAGGCCAGAGATTTAGCTCAGTAGCTCAAGCGCTTGCCTGGTAAGCACAAGGTTAAGAGTTTGATCCCTGGTACCAAAAAATAAAAAAAAAATTTTTTCCCTTTCTACTGGTAAGCCTTTACCAAACATTTTTCTTTTTCTGTGTATTATTTTAGGTTTTAGTATATGATCAGCAACAGAATATTTCTCCCTAATACAGTATAAGATAAAAAACGAAACAATACAATGTATATCATACTGTGGTCAAGAAAAGATAGTAATACTGGTTTTCTTATATTCTTTTGCTGTCCTTTTTTATTTAATCATGTGATTTGATCATTTGATTGATCAAAAATTATAATGGAGAAAATGTAATTAGAATCTTTAAACAACAATACTATTTGGATGACAGTGTTATAAATTAACAGTAAACATCAGCTTACAATATGTAGATTATGTGAATATCTGAATTTTAGGCTGATAGTTAATAGTCCTAATATGTATGTAGCCTTTAAATATCCTAAAGTTTCAGTTGTTAAGGGAAGTATCTTCCAAAATTGTGTTTAAAACATTAGTTATATAGTGTATGCAGCTAATGATTTTCCTTTTAACTTATGTTTTTAAAGCTAACTATATGTATTTTTGTCCAACAGATTAAAAACCACTTCTCTGTTCCATTTATCATCTATAAACTGGTTAAGAATGTTAAACTTCTGCAGCGCATTGGAACAGTCAGCCCCGAAGAGGAGTTCCATGTCCCTTTAGAGTCCTATAGGTGGGTACTTCTTTCAAAACATTAAATTTTTGAAAATTCACTGAATGGGGTTTTTACCTTTATGAATTGGAGATAGTGAAGAATATAACTGCATATAATTATTATCTAAAAACATGTAAAACCCATTTTAAAGACATAGTTTATTCTGTAGAAAAATAAATATTGAATTTATCAAATGGACACAACTTTTTTAATGGTTTACACTTTTCTGAAATCTGTATTTACTGGATAGCCTTTATATTTGGAATGAAAATATTTTTCAGTCACCTTTGTTCACATAGGTTTTTGTTTTTTCCCGCAGAGCGTTCCTCTGTGAGTTAGCCATGAGATTTTATGCACGTTCCCCACCCTGCCTGAACCATGTTTCCTTACCTGTAAAATAGAGTGACCATTGTTGACTTGCGGTTTGAATGAGGCTGTTGCTCCTGGGTTCTCAGGAGCCTCTTTGCCCACATGGGCTTGCTTTTCTGCAGATCTCAGTTGTTTATCCAGCCAGCTGGGGACTTAGAGCATCAGTACAAGGAGTCGACCACCTACATCCCCTGGAAGGAGGAGCTGCACAGGAGCAGTTCCGTAACAGGGAGGCTGCAGTGTCCGGCGGTGCAGCGCAGCTTCCTGCCGCTAGTTGTGAACACGGTTGCCGAGCTGGACGAGTTGAGCCACATCAGCGCACACGGGGAGGATTGGAACCCGGCGTACATCATTCACCTCTACCCTTCTCTTACACTGCGGAATCTGCTCCCCTATTCCCTAAGATACTTACTGGAGGTGTGTCTCTTGTATTTGGTTTGGATTCCAGCATTGCACAAAGTGAATTCTAGTTTATTTCGTGGTATTTTTAGCTGAAGTCAGTGTTTTATATCCCATACTTACAGTGTTTTAAAAGTGTTAATGAAAGCAAGACTGGAACTAGCATCTGCTTTGTGTTAGGCACTGTCCTGTGACTTTACATGTTTAATCCTTCTATGGTGGATATTAATGAACCTCTGTACTGCTGGGGAAACTGAGTCATGCAGGGGTTACATAGGCGGCCAAGTCTCACAGCTAGTCAGTGGAAGAGCTGGGATTTATGCCTGTGTGGTTTGGCTCCTTGTTCTTTACCACTTTCTCTGTTGCATCTGCCATAAATTTAAGAGCCATTATTATTACTTTATTAATTTAAGTAAAATTTTCATTATTTGCAAAGGAGAAAATCTAATGAGAATATTTCACCTTAAAGTTTTACTTATATATTTATGAGTCAGTAGCTCACTTAGTAGTGCTGGCTGGCCTTGAATTCACTGTGGACTGAGACTCACAGTAATCTTCTTGCCTCAGCCTCCCCAAGTACTGGGTTACATAAAGTTTTTATTCTAAAGTTAATATTACAATTATTTAGTCCAAGGTTTCTACTAAAAATAACAGAATTACTGTCTTGGGAAATAATAAGCAGCATTTTGTAGCAGTGGTATATGGTAAATATTTTAAAGTTTGTACATACTATGTTATATTAAGATGCAGAAACTGTAATATCAGGTCTTGGAGTATAGCTCTGTAGTAAAGAGTTCGCTTTAGCATGTGAGAGACCTTGAGTTCAAGCCCGAGCATGGTGCAAAAAACAAAACAAAACAAAAAACTGGTTACCTATGTTGTTATTTTCTGTTACCTAGTCATGAACTGTTTCTGAATTATGCAGTTAATTAAATCAACTGAATAGTGGATAAAGAGAAGAATAGTTTATAAATAAAAAGTATGAAATAATAAGGTGTTAGTAAGGGAGCCTGATTTAGGTATTGTTAGTATGCGTTTTAAAAATAATTCACCTTGCTTACATAGCTTGCTAGAGCAGCGGATCGCTGTCACTTTCCTTTTTCCCCCTGCAGGGGACTGTCAGGCCTGGTGTGTGACTAGCAGAGGAGCTGAAGACCAGGCCGTCAGGTGGCGTGTTCAGTAATGCCGTGCTAGCGGCCAGCCGCCAGGGTCCCTGAGTAAAGGAATCCAGCCTTGGATTCTTGTTGTGGATGCATTTTTTTTTCTTCTCAAAATTCCTGGCTGCTGGCCTATTAATGGCCAAAGACAGTTCCTGCCTTTGTAAATGTGGTCTGTGTTTTCATTTTAGTCCTTGGTAATTGTGGCATGCACAGTATATAAACATGGTACTCTGTGGAAGACTTGGCAGGAAACCTGCTTCTTGCAGAGTCTAGCCGCTGTGTAGAATACAGGTTTTGTATTTCAAAGATGTTGCTAAACAGACTTGGTTTGTGCGTGTGTTTAGGGAACAGCAGATACTCATGAGCTGGCAGAAGGCAGTACAGCAGACGTCCTGCATTCCCGAATCAGTGGAGAAGTCATGGAATTAGTCCTGGTTAGATACCTGGGCAGAGACTGGACTGGTCATTTCCGCATATGTGACACGCTTCCCGAGTTCTTTCTTGTGTGTTTTACGTCTAACTCCAAAGAAGCAGTGACAGTTGACCTGTCGGTGCACATCAGGCGAGTTGGCAACCACGTGGTGCTCTCCGTCTTTAGTCCCTACTGGTTAATCAACAAGACTTCCCTGGGTCCTCCAGTACCGCGCAGAAGACACTCACGTGAAGCACCCAGCTGACTTCAGGGACATCATTTTATTCTCTTTCAAGAAGAAGAACATTTTTAGTAAAAACAAGGTGTGTTTTTGTTGATAGAGTGAGTTAAAATTACATGGCTTTCTAACCTGGAAACTTGGAAATTTGAAACTCAACCAATGCAATTGAAATTTGAAACTCAACCAATGCAACTGAGTCTAAGGAGACTTTAAGGAAGGCAGAATCGAGTGGGGCCCTTGGGAACTAACAACAGCAGGATCTCCAGGCAGAATAATTCTTTCTCTAGCGCCTGTAGGATTCCTTCTGTTCTTAAAGTCGTGTCAGATAAGACAAGCTTTATTTTGTATAACTGGCCAGTGTTGATACAGCATTTCTAAAGAGGCTGGTATTAGCTGACCCTCTTGCCCATGAAACATGAGCCAGGCCTTTGAGAAGCCTGGCACTCGAGCCTGGTCTTTTGTGTCCTGGTCCTTTCTTTCTTCTTCAGACTCACTTGGCTTTCCTCCTCACTTGTGTGCACTCGACCCCATGCTGCCCATAGACTTCTGCATATGCTGTCCTCTGCCCAGATGACCACTCTGCTCTTTCCTTGTTTCCTTCCTCTTTCCTCTCCCCTACTGTTTATTCTTGAGCATTCTGTTCAGGCCTGGTATGGATGAAGATTTTCTGTTCCTTTAAAATGAGAGATACTCCATTATTACTCTCTCTCTCTCTGTCTCTTTTTTTAAAGAGAAAAAAAAAGGAAATAAAATAAAAAAAAAAACAGCAGGAAAAGGGTGCAAATAATACAGAATTTCAAGGAAAAAAAAATACAGTAAGATACCACTAGTTAATAGGTTACATATTGTCATCTTTGAAATAGTTGTCCAAATTATAAAATTAAAGCATGTAAAGTGAACATTCATACAATGAGATTGCAGACAGTGCCGTTCAATCATCCAACAAAAGTTCACTAATACGGATTTCCATTCTACACAGTCAAACATACATGCAGTTATATCCCTTAGACCACCTTCCTGTCCTCTCTTTTTAATAACAATTACACTTTTTGGTTTTTTTTTTCTCCCACAATTCTTATTATTTTTTTGGAGAGAATAAAACCTAACGCTAAACAAAACAGAGTCGGTTAGAACAAAAGGATGGGCATAGTACATGTTGTAAAAATAGAATATCAGGTGATCTAAAATGGTTACCATGATTGTGCCTCTTGCTATTTTTTTAAAAAGTTGCCTATATCGTCAGGTAAAACAGTACAGAACAAGACCAATAAAACCTACACTGGAGACCTTACAAGGTTTCAAAAGAAGATAATAATCAAACCATAATGGGTATCTTAGTGAATTGCCTTCAAAGTGGTTGCCTACCCTCAAACTTGATACTATCAAACAAAATAGAATATAGTAAAATCTGACAGAACAAGATGGGGAGAGCAATACTGGGGATCATATCAGGTTAATAGGAAAACAAAAGAGTTACTATAATATATCCCGCTATTTTTTAATTTAGTTTTCCCTTAATTGAAAAAAAATTAAGAAAAAAATAGATTAATTTTAAAATAGGGTGGGATTGAGGTAAAAGAGAACATTGTATTAGAACAACACAGGTCAGAACCGAACAATTTAAGCATCATTGTGTTACACCCCCAGATAATGTAACAATAGTAGTCACCAGAGTGCCTCCTTCCTTGAATTATTTGAGTATAACTTCATATACTATAGCATCAAGCATATCAAGTCAGTCTGAAGCTATTCAAGAGAATGAAGAAATTACAGGGTATTTAGAACCAGTTAACAGAAAATGAACAATGGTTTCTATATTATCTCTTTGCCTATTAAAAATTTTGTTTATACTGTCGCATATAGTAAAATATAGTAAGATACCACATGTTGAAACCAGTGGAAACAGGTGTACAATAGCTTGATGGGACTTCAAAACAAGATGATATTAAATCAGCACTAGCTTTTATGATGTGTTGTTTTCTTCAGAATAGCTATTCGTACTATCATCGATACTAAAATCGAACAACCCAGGTTAAAACCATTCCAGTTAATGAGTGATAACATTATATGGTTCAAACCAATATGATTGGGAATCATGATTACCACATACTTTTATGTGTTCTTATCATTTCTTACACTAGAGAAACTATTCGGTATTTATGCATGTGAGTTTGATTTGTTTCACTTATGAGTATGGTCTCAAGCTGCATCCATTTATTTATAAATATCTCAATGTGATCATTCTTTATAGCTGAGTAGTACTCCATAGTAGTATTCTCTTAAGAGTAGCAGATCTCAGATTTTATTTATGTTAGAATCTCCTGAAGGCCTTGAAAGCTGTTGCTGTCTTGTGCCTCCTGAGTTGGACCCAGTAGGGCTGGGTGGAGCCTGGGAATCTGTGTCTAATGGGTCAGCCAGTGATCTGGAGATGGTTCGAGAACCTTTGTCTGAGGGTGTTGACTGACAGGTGACATTGTGGGTGCCTATTGCTTAGTCTTGTGTGTTTTATAATCTGTTGTGTGGGTAGTAGTCAGAGTTATACAGGAGCACAGATGGGCCCCTTTTGTAAGACCTTTCTGGAATGCCACAGCCAAAAGCAAAGTCATCATTTTCTTACTGTAGTAGCAGTTTTATGTCATGTGTCTCTAATTGCGTTGAGTCTTGCATCATAATTGTTAGTATGTGTTCTGTGTTCTCTCTGTTTAGTTCACTACTCTCTGAAAATAGGAACTGTTCTTGCTGTTTTCTGTTCTGCCTCTCCCAGTACCTTTTCTTTAACACTTGCTGAATAGTGGAGAATGGGAAGGTCAGAGCTGTGCTTTTATTGTCCCCTACCATCTTCTGTGGTTCTGTTATGTATTTGCAAATATGACTGTGATAATATTTTTCTGTGTTTCATAATACTAACCTTTCTAGCAGGCAGTCTAGCCCATCTTCCTGTCAGATAAAGTAAGTAAATGTTACCTTTTAGGTTTTTATATTGTGGTATGTGTTCTCTGGTACAGGTACAATTAAAAATTTCAACTAGTGCCTGGTCCAGCAGTTTCTCATTGGATACTGTGGGAAGTTACGGGTGTGTGAAATGTGCTGCCAACGATATGGAATACCTGGTAAGAATCTGCTGCATGTTTCCCTTTAGCTCTATTCACCTTTTCTGCAATTCAATAAGAATCTGGCTTTTAAAAAATTAACAGAAATTTTAATTCAGAGTATCGTATGTTGGCCTATCTGCAAATTTTTGTGACCACTCTTACCAGTAGTACTTGAATTTGCTCAAGTGAGTAATTGGGTAAATATTCCCAATATGTCTAAGTGAATAATTAGGTAAAATTCACACTATACTAGTGTTCATTCCGTATCTACCTTGCCATGTATTTCTTAAATCTTTACTTCTACCACTTTGAAAATTTAAATCATCTGGTGCCAATTGACCTGTTTTATTACTTCAAAACTTTTATTGATGACAAATACTAAATCAGCCAAACTGGAGCCTCTCCACTAATTACAGTGCTTGTGATTGAAATATTAAAAATGCAGAATGCTAGACAGATCAAACTCCCTGCAGATTATCACAGGCTACCGAATGATATTTCTGAGCTCGTTTCCAACAGAGCCAGATGAAGGAACTAGAAAGTAACCATGGAGTGTAGTTCCTGTTAGCTTCCTCAGGGTTGTCATTCTGAATTATCTTAAGAAGTCTGTGTGCGCACGAAGGTGTGTGTATATTTCACAGCGGCTGAGCCCAGGGCTGAGGGGTGATGGAATGAAGGGAGTGTGTGTTTCACAGCGGCTGCACCCAGGGCTGAGAGCTGAGGGCGTTCCTCCCTGTCTACAGGTTGGGGTGAGCATCAAAATGAGCAGCTCCAACCTCTCGCGCATCGTCACTCTGACGCCCTTCTGCACCGTCGCAAACAAGTCCTCACTAGAGCTGGAAGTCAGCGAGATTGCGTCCGATGGCTCTGTGTCAACTAATAAATGGAGCTACATTGCTTCTTCAGAGGTCAGTTTTTTCTTTTAATTAGGATGATTCCAAAAATGCCAAAGGAATATATTCTTAAAAATCTTATTAGTACACTTTTGCAGTACGTACACATTCACATGGGAATTGCACATGTGCCTAACACATCTTAACATTTTTGTCCCCTTCTCCTCTCTGTCCTCAGTCCTTGACATACAAGTAAGCATTGTATGTACTTCTGTGTCTTACACTGCCATGCTTGTGTTAACATAGGGTAGCCAGTTTTGAAACAGTTTCTTTCAGGGGCTGGGGATTTAGCTCAGCGGCATAAGCGCCTGCCTTGCAAGCAGGCAGTTGTGAGTTCGATCCCCGGTAGTGATAAAAAGGAAAAAGACAAAAAAAAAAAAAAAAAAAAAAAAAAAAGAAAGAAAGAGTTTCTTTCACACTGTAAGTACTTTTTAAAAAGGAAAATTGTTGCTGATTGGTACCTAGCATTCACCCCGTCTAGATGGCTAGCAGTTGTTCTCTAGTTCTCACATACATGCAAAACTCGCATGTGTGCTGTGGGAAATATCCAGAGGTGAGGTACTGTGTGTTGTCATGATTGTCAGTGAAATGTTTCTGTCCTGAAGGAACTGTAAGCTTGTTGGCAGTGCCTACGCTGCATGAGTAAGAAAGTATGGGCAAAATCATAGGAGGCTGTAAAATTTCTGAATAGGTAAACTAAGAATTGTGTCTGTTTAACTAAAATTGACAGTAAAATTCAACCCTTTCACTTCACAGAGAAGGAGACTGAGGTTCAGACTTTCCAGGGCCAGTAGAGTCACTGATGATTGACTTGGTGGATGTTGGTTGTCTATATCAGAAAGTCTGGCTTCAAACTAAACTTCATGGTTTCCATAGTGTTTGAGGAACTGAAGAGAACGAAGGAAAGAAAAGAGGAAAAAGGTTTGAGGGTCAGCAGTGGTCCTTGACTTGGACCCAACTTGTCAACCAAACCAGCTGAGCTTAAGGATAGCTGATGTCATTCTTCCAGTCTTCAGTACAACTCACAACAAACAAAATCACAACAAAAATCCCAGATTCTAAAGTTATTTTAAAAGATACATAGCAAAAAGAAGGATTCCCCTTGCAGTACCACACTTTAGAGCTCTAAGAAGGCATGGTATTTTAAAGCTACTTGAAATGATTTCTGTATCCTACAAATAAAAAGTGCGTATCTTTTTATCATTGATGTAGATTTATCAACAGTATTTTTATTTATACAGTATTCTATAGCAGAAGGACAATTTGTATTGCATTAGAAACTGAAATCCCAGTTTTACAGTTAGGGGAACAGAAGCTCTGAAGCATGGGGTTTAAAATTGAGCAGCTCGGATGGTAACATGGACACTTCTGACCAGCTCCACACTGGTCTGTTCTCTGCCTTCGTTGGTCGTTCTGGTTTACCAAGGATAAAATGCCCTATAAACGATTTCTTCACTTAATGATGAAGTAAAGGGAGCTATGCGCAGAAGCTCATTTTGCTAAGCTCTGGTTTATAATGCTGTGTCTGAGACATGTGAGGCCTTCTGGGCACACAGGCTCTTCAGTATCTCATACTGCGTCTGTGTCTAAGTGCGTGTGGATTAGCAAAGTGCTGCCCGTAAGTACATGCAGGTTAGTATCTGTGCCCTTCTAGTGAAGCTGCTCTGATTTCATACAGAGGTATAGTTCAGTAGTCTTAGTGTTAGATGTAAAGGGTCTTTTAAAGAAACTCAGTAATAATTTAATCAGTGTCAGATTTGGAGTTGAAAACTGACTTAGTCATTTCTTATTTATGCCACTGTGCTGTATAAAGACTGATGCTAACTTTTATGTTTTCAGTGCCTTCCATTTTGGCCTGAAAATCTGTCGGGCAAACTTTGTCTGAGAGTAGTGGGCTGTGAGAGACCTTCCAAACCATTCTTTTATAACCGACAAGATAATGGCACTTTGTTGACCTTAGAAGAACTGGTAAGCTGTTATATTTTAAAATAAATGTCTTAGATTTTTAAAATTTGCTTTAAAATTTTTTCTTTAAATCATGACATAAAAATCTGCTGGTAATTTGCTTGAAGCACTGCTGTATCAGTATTAAGGCCTTGATAACAAAATTGAATCAGTTCTGAAATCAGAACTGATTTACTTTTCATTGATAACCTAGAAAACAAAACTCTTGTGTTTACATAATTGGTTGACATCCCACATGTAAATGATAACCAGTACCTCAATTGGATCTTTTTCCTACAATAGAATGGAGCCATCTTGGTGGATGTAAATACTGCAGAACACTCCACTGTCATAACTTTTTCTGATTACCATGAGGGGTCTGCACCTGCCCTCCTGATAAACCACACACCGTGGGACATCCTCACGTACAAACAGAGGTAGGAGACAGGGGCTAATGTGAATCTTCTTAGCTTTTGTTGGTCTACAGTCCTTTCTGGGAAACTCTTGATAACATCCGAGCATTGCAGAGATTAGAAAGGCAGTATGCGGAGTATGTGCGTCTGTTATACAACAGCCTCATTATGTCTTGAGACAGTGCTCTGTGGTCACACGTTAATGTTTTTGTAACAACACAAAAGTGTATTAATGCAGGAAGGATAAATAGAAACCATTAATAGTCTCACAGCAGTTCAAATCAGGTTTCACTGCCAAGTGATACTTGACAAACTTCTAGAAAAAGCTTCAGGTTTTTGGAGCCTTTTAAATTTTAGAATTGCAGGTAAGGGACAGTGAACCTGTTGCATTGTCTTTTTTTTGTAGTCTGGTAGTACTCAGTGAACTTCTCCTTGTAAATGTGTAACTAAATTTTTGGTTAGAGATAATAGAAGACCAAGGGAGAGGAGTGTGGGTAGGGAATGATTCTAAATTTATAGTTCAGATGATAGGAATTTTTCTTCCTATTCACACATGAGGGCTAGGACATTTTAATCTTTCCTCTGTCACTTGTGTTATAGTGGATCACAGAAGGAAGTAGTCTTAATGCCAAGACAAGCTCGACTTTTTGCCTGGGCTGATCCTACTGGCCCCAGAAAACTTACGTGGACATATGCAGCCAGTCGTGGGGAGCATGCTCTGTTGAAGGTACTTCTTGATGGGGAGTTGCTGGGTGTGTTGCATTGTGCTGAGGGAAGTGGACAGGCTAGCTTCCTTCCCATGTCATCTGGGTCCTCCCTGAGCTGAAAGTGAAGGGGGGACGAGTTTTGAAATAAGTTATTCAAACTTGAGATTGCAAATAGTTCATACTGATAGGTTAATCAAAATTTATTTACAATTTAAAAAATACACCTGCTCCATCTAGTCCAAGACAAGATTAGTAAAATACCTTTTTATTTACTGTTATTAAATGGAAAGGATTTTAAGGTTAAATAAAATTGAACTTTATTTTGAAAGCACCTCTACCTCCATTGGCATTGAATGTTTTCAGGCATGTTTTTCTAAGCATGGCCATGTATTTTATTATTCAGAGAGTTTGATAGTATGTAAGTTTTCCCATATACAGGATTTGATGAAATAACTATGATAGATAGCTAAACTAATCAATTGTTTCTTGGATTGAGAACTCTAGAAGAGGCCTAAGAATTCACCTGCCAGCCTCCTCCCTGACAGAGAAATGGTCTTCTTGCTTTACTGATACATCATCCCGTTTCTGCATAGATACACTTCCCTTTGTAGAGTGTTACAGGCTGTCCTAGGGTGCTCAGTGTTAAAAAGGAGGTCTTGGCTTTTTCTTTAAATGGTGATTGGCCAACAGTTATCTGCCCCTGTTTTCACTCTGAGATACCTTGAAAAACGAAAGCCTGAGCTGACCTTTAGGAAGTGAAAGTAATTGTTCCTATGCAGTGAGGCTCTATTTGGTGCAGCTTTGTTGCTCTGCTTGTGCTTCACTTTCACAGTAGAGAAGCATCCAGTTTGTCAGTAGAGGAAGAACAGAGAAGCCTGCCCTTGTCTGCGCCCTGACTCAGTCACTGGAGCTCTCCCTGGAGCCCTTGGCCGGCTGCAGGTGGTGCCTCTTCCTCACATTTGATTCTTCCCAGCAGCCACAAGTGCCAGGCAGTAGATCCGGACCTCCGAGAGGGAGCAGTGGAGGTGTTGTGGAGGCAGGGGTACTGCGTCCTGCACGGGGCAGACCCAGAAAGAGCCTTCGCAGCAGTGTATGCAGAGCTTCTACTCTTAATGTCTCTGCCCTGTTTTCTATGAGAGAATCAGACCAGCGAAGAGCACATAGTTGTACCTCAGCATGGTTTGCTGGCTTCTTGTCTGGAAAGATGGTGTGAGAAGGGAGTTCTGCCCAGGTCTGAGTGGATGTGACAGGGCAGTCCCAAGAGCCTCTGACAGGCAGTGGCTCTGAACGGCTCTTTCCTCAGTAGGTAAAAGTGGTTTAAGTTTTCCTGCTGACAGACAAAAGCATACGGCAACCCAAAAGCTGGGTGTATGTTTGCAGCTCCTGCTGAAGGCAAGGGAGTCTGCGGAGCCCAGGGTTCAGTGTCAGCCTCGGCCACAGGGCCACAGGGCCACAGAGCCACAGAGCCAGACCTCCTCTCCAAAAAGAAAGGAAAGAAAAGTACCTGATACACTTACAGGAGATCTGTCTTAACTTAAAATTTTAAGCATAAAGATACAAAATTTCAGTGTGTAAGTAAAGTTAGAATGAAATCAAAACTGCTGATTTTAGCTCTGCTCAAGTATAATTTAAGGCACAACTATTAGTACATTACAATAATATGACACAAAGGGATGTGAGCCATAAACCTTCATGCAGTGAATAACATTGTATTAAAATGTGAGTAAACATATTGCTGGGGTATGTTAACATACCTCATTTAACTTTTAACTGATCAAATAGATAAAGAACAAATACAAGTCCAAGAATGTAAAAAATGATGAAATGAAAGACACCTATAATATTTTGTAGTTTATACAGAGCATTTGTCTTCTTAACAGGTATCTCTGAAAATTAAACTACTTATTAGAGTAAAAAACAGTCGGAAGGCTACTGTAACCGTGTAACACAGTTCAAAACTTACACTTGAAACCACAACTACAGAACTTAGTCCTCTGCTTTGGGTAAAATCCTTTGTTTTTTCTCTTTGCTGAAGAAAGCAGGAGATGAAAAGGTACATGGCAGAAACTGTTGCAGTTAAGTTAAGTCCAGATTCAGTGTCTGAAAACACTGACCAAATAAGTCAGACTCATATTTTCAAGTGCCACATGAAACATTCAGCAAAGAAGTCTAATTTTTGCTCAGCTGAATACAAACCAACTACTGCAGTTTGACTATTTTTGGCAGAGTGATTTGCATAAATATTTGCTGTGTTACAAATTATTAAAACAAAAATAGACTAGTAGGCTAATTTAGCTTGACGTTACTTTTGCGGGGGTTGTAGTCAGGCGTTGTGAGAAAAACAATTACAATCAGGACATGAAGTTTATAATTTTATTTTCTGATGGTCATCCCAAGTTACACAAGAAACTGCAGGAAATCTATCTGAAACACCAAAGACAGAATAGTTAATCAGCTAAGGGCCTGAATCCCACAGTAGTGTCTTGCATGAGTCCAGATGAAGACCCAGAGCTCATGACAATGCCTCCCACAAGTCCAACTGGAGGTCTAGAGCCCTTGAGAGGGACTCATGCCAGTCTCTTTTTACCAGTCTATGCGGGGAAGGTCCAGAGGTTAGCAGTGGAAGCTAGAAAGTGTATGCCAGCGGGTTGAAGAAGCTGTGCTGCTAAGTTGACGGTTCTATGCTGGAGCCGAGAAGTCATGTTCAAAAGAAAGACCGGGGCTGTCCTGAAAAGCACCACAGCCATCCTCAGCAACACGGAGTTCCCCAGCTCCTCCAACGACAAGCATAGTCTGGTACATGCCAGGAAGCCAGCGTGACGAGTTCATCCTAGAGACCAAGCAGCACACGTCTTCCCCTCCTTAGCCAGGAAGCAGTGCTCGATGTGAGGACCAGAGCTTCTCCAGGAAAACTAGCAGCTCAAACAGCAACAACTAGGAGAACCCACAATGCCTCAATGCTTTATCTTCTCCACATCTCTGTATGCTGGCAACCTTCCTAAGGTGGAACATTGTGCTCAGGAGCATGCTGATGTAATCCAGCTGGCGTTAAGTTTACCACCAGTTTCCAATCTATATCAGGGATGCTGGTAATTGAACTTAGGACCTTGTACTTGCCACTGAGCTATATTCTCGGGCCCAGGTTATGTTTTTCCTATTTCGGAAGTATTCTGTTCTCCAGCGTGGAGACAAACATCTTTTGGCATTATTACTATCAAGCATACTCTTGTTCCAGCTCAGTGCTCTTTGAGCATTAACCAGGTAACACACACTAAGGTAGAAAAATGAAAAACACACTTTTAATGTTTGTCACTGAAGAAAGGTGAGTGTTGTTTTAAAACAGATAATAACTTTCGTGAAGTCAGGTGGATGCTTAAAGTTTTCCATTTTACAGTCATGCTTTTAAACTTGCCTATGCTTTCTCAGTTGCTGTGGTTCAATTTTAGTTAAAACTATGTGTCTTTGTTTCCCCAGGACGAATGTGGCCAGTTTCCCTGTGATGCAAACATCCAGATACACTGGGTGTCATTCCTCGATGGCCGCCAGAGAGTACTGCTTTTCACGGATGATGTGGCCTTGGTTTCCAAAGCCCTGCAGGCAGAGGAAATGGAGCAGGCTGACCATGAAATAACCTTCTCTCTCCACAGCCTTGGGCTCTCACTGGTTAACAATGAAAGCAAGCAGGAAGTTTCATATATCGGAATAACCAGGTATTCCAGATGGAAGTAAGGCATGAAGAATCTGCAAGAAAGCATTCTGTTCATTAATGCTGCATAAGATGAGGGCAGGCAGGTTCTCCTTTGAGTTTGTTAGGCTCTGTGACAGTGGTGGCGGCAAACCTGCATGCTGTAGCTGTGTGCAGAGCCCTCTGCAGTGACGTCAGTGTGAGTGATGCGAGTAGTTCCTTCCAGACTGAAACTCATTATTCAGCTCCAGTTGCACCATAGGCACTTAGAGATAAGTGCATTCTGAGTTGCAGTGTGGGCACTTGGTTTCTAAAAGATTTGCCTTCACGGCTCCATAATCAGTCAGTGAGACTTCGTGGGGAACTGTGTGAACTGCTAGTGGTTGGAGCCTGAAGATGACTAAAATTTTGTCTCTGCTTTCTTACACAGTACATGTTGTCTTGGTAGGAAAGGAAGTGCTGCTTTTCACGGATGATGTGGCCTTGGTTTCCTTTTTCTCTTTGTAGATTTCCTTTTTCTCTTTGTAGAATGCTCTAGAAACAACAAGAAATTTTACAAAGAAGTGTACACAGGGCTGGGAATTTACCTCAGCGGCGTAAGTGTGCCTGCCTGGCAAGTGCAAGGTCATGAGTTCAATCCCCCAATACAAAAAAAAAAAAAAGTACATATGTACTGGAGTTACTGAAATCGAAATAATTAATTTTATTTATAGAAAGGTTGTAGAAACTAGCTTGGGTCGGTGGAAGCTGCCAAAACTAAATTAGGAAACACACTCATATAGGATGTAGTGTCAATAGTTATTTAGAACTTCATTAAATAATAAACACTTGGCTTTGTATTTCAGTATTACATGGAATTTTTAAAAACTGAAAACCACTTGTTTAGTCATAGAGATGAAATTTGCTCTCTTTCATTCTTTGATATGTTCTTTTCACATTGATGTTACATGTACTGTGGTATTTTTCAACTTGTCCTTTGTAAGAATATTGGTAAAATTTATTGAAATAACTTGATTACTTTTTTCACCTTATACACATTGAGTAATATCTAGGCTCCAAAGGAAAAAGTCATTTATATAGTGTTTAAAAATAGACCTTTATTTGTTTGCAGTTTTAAGTCTAGAAGAAGATTGAATTTAAATCTAGAACTCTCACAAACCTCTGCCCTGGTTTCCTCTAACAGCCTGCAAAATTGTACTAATGTATTTGTTATTAATTAATGACTGCTGCTAACATTACTGTTGTAAAATAAGTACTTCGTTTACTTTGGGCTTCACTCACTCTTACTAGTCTATGACTGTCACAGTATATAACCTGAACCCAGCATTACAGTATCACATAGAACAACATAGGCCTTAAAAGTTTCTTGTCTTTCGTCTGTTAATCCCTCCTCTCCTCTTTTTCCTGAATTCCTGGGAAAGACTGATCTTAGGCATCCTAGTAAAGGGCTCCTGTTGCTTCAGTCTGCAGTTCCCTGAGGATATCTAATGCCCAGTACTTTTCATATGCTTACTTGTCTTGAGTGCTTTCTTCTGTTAGCTGTTGGGGTCTTTCCTCTACTTAAATTTGCTGTTTTCGTTTGTTCATTCGTTTGAGTTTGTTCATTTCTTTTGAGTTGTTCATTTTGGATTCTAGTATTTTATCAGATACATATTTTACAAAAAGCTTCTTCTAGTCTATGGCTTTCTTAGAAAATTGTCTACGCAGTGTCTTTCCAAGAGAAGCATCAGTTTTTCTCTTGTGGGTTGTGCTTTTGGTATTGTGGCTGAGTAGTCTCTTCAGTGCCCAGGTTCCCTATTTTCTCCTATTATCTTCTTGAAATTACAGTCTGTTCTGTGTATGTTTAGAGCTGTAAGCCAGTTTGAGTTAATGGCTTTGTAAAGAATGATAGCAGTTCTGTGTCTAGGTCACTTTGTTGCACAGGGTTGTCTGTCATTTGCTAAAAAGACTGTCTTTTGTCTAGTTGCTTGTTTTCCTTTTAAACAGTTATTTGACCTATTTGTTTGGGTCTATGTCCAGGCTCTCTGTTTTCGCAGCAGATTATCTTGATTAGCCTAGTTTTCTAGTACGGCTTGAAGCAGGGTAGTATCAGTCTTCTGACTTACTCTGTCCTCGTGTTGTCTCCTTTTTATCCTTTTGCCTTTCCATGTATACTTTAGAATCAGTTTGTTGATAGTTACAAAATACTTTGCTGAACTTTTTATTGATATTGCATTGTATCTATAAAGCAACTTGGGAAAAACATGTTAACAATGTTAGCTCTTCACGTCTGTGTGTGTGGAGTAGCTCTCTGTTAGCTCTTGAATTTCTTTCACCACTTTCACTAGTTTTTCTCTCACAGATTGTATACATATGTTTTAGACTTATTTATACCTAAGCACTGTTTTATTTGGTATTAATGTAAATGATACTGTGTTTCTGGCTTCCAACCTTGTTTAATTGCTTGGTAGTTCCAGGGAATTTTGGGGGTGGGTTTTTTTTTTTTTTGGTTCATTTTTGAAATTTTCTGTGTAGACAATCATGTCATTTATGATGATAGCTTTATTTCTCCTTTTCCAGTATTCATTCCCCTCCTCCCCTCTCCTCTTGCTTTCCTCTCCTCTCTCTGCATTATCTAGGACTTCCAGCACAGTGTTGAATGAGAGGGGTGAGTGTGAACATCGTTGCCTTCTTCCTGATCTGTGGAAAGCATCTAGTTTATCCTCCTGAAATACAGTGTCAGTGATAGGTGTTTTGTAGATGTTCATTATCAAGCTAAGGAAATTTTCTTGGAGGTTTTATCATAAAGACTTTTTGGATATATGTAATTTGTAGTAGATAATTTTGTTTAATAACTTCATTAACTCCTAAACATCACCAGATAGTGAAGATTTCTTGTGATTGTTACTAGTAAACTATGCAAATTAATGTATTATAGATTTACATTTTTTTCTGTAAACAATATTCTCTCATGCAAGGATCAGTAAGGTATGGCTGAATCTGGTCCACTGCCTGTTTTCCTTTGGCTTTTGAGCTAAGAATGATTCTTCACACGTTTATAGGGTAGAAAAAACCAAAAGAATCCTTGTTTTGTAATACGTAACAATTGTATGATATTCAAAGGTTAGGGTTGAAGTTGAGGTTTTGGACCGCAAGCATGTTCATTCTTTTGTGTTGGTGGCTGATGTTAGGGTGTGTTCATTGTGCTACAAATCCCAGCAACTGTTGTACATACTGCTTGCTTTACTGCACACTTTGTAGTACTGATGGTAGACTTTGAAGGTGACCCTTAGGGCACAATGCAGTGTGGATTATTGTTTCAAAATGGTAAAGCATTATTTTATTGTATAACAGCATCATAGCTGTGCTAAAATAATGCAAACTGTATTGACCTTTGTAAACAAAGCATACATGAAAAAAACACAGCAATGTACAGAAGATTTGAAACAAAATGTCTTACTACAGCATAATTTCTTGATTAAAAACAAGAAAACGACAAAGTGAGGTTGTAACCAAGGTGAGTTTCAGAGCGAGTCATTCATTTCCTAGGCAAGCAAAGAAAATCTTTTTACTACTAGTAAGTTAATTGGGTCATGGCTGATAACAGGAGCTAAAGAAATGTGTCCAGAGAAAATAAAGCTGTTTAAAGCCATTAGACCTCAGCCGGAACAGTTCCATAAAGGAGCGGGAACTTTGAGAGCAACCTCAGCCAATAAAAACGCATGAATGAGCGCATTGAGTCATGAGTACACAGTTTTCCTAAGCTCTTGATAAGTGAACAGATGTTCCCAGTTCTGCTCAGTTATTTACTGGAGAATTTAGTGTTGAGTTTGAAGAAACTGAAGAATTAGCCTCTGTCAGTAGTCTGCCTAGAAAAACTGCTGGTGAGGATACCTTTAAACAAGTTGAAGAAATAGATTCAGCATTATTAAGAAAGACTCTTCTAGTATATTACAGCCAAATATGGGGCTGGGGTGGGAGCAGGAAAAAACTTAGCTGGACAAATTGAGAAAGCTTTAACACTATGAAGCCTTTAAAGCCTGTGTTTTCCCAGTGTTTACCTGTTAGTAGGTGCTCTCTGGAAAGGGTTTGGATCGGCCTTCTCCTAGCCAGTGGTGTCCAGCAGTGAGCTCACCCATCCTGGTTGGGTTAGCTGCTGTCAGCTCTGAGAGTGCTAGAAATAGAAGCTGAATTTCCTCATCGTTCTTAGTGAATGCAGTGCTGTAGCAGTGGTAACTCTAGTTGTTTGAGTTCTGGGCCAAGATGAACATTTTTTGAGCAAAAACTCATCTGTGGTCACTACTCAACACTGAATGACTTTGAAAATTATTTTTGCTGAAGACCTGATAATACTTCTCAGTGACTCTCACCCTAAAATTAGAAGGTTAAGCAGTGCTCTATGGGAAACTTACATTTCAGTAGACTCATTTTGGAAACAACTTTTCTTTGAATAACAAGTAACGTCAAGCTGTTTTATGAACTTTCTGTGCCATCCGGAGTCAAAACAAGAAGCAGGATATCCAATCTCTCAAATATTTGGAGAGAATATACTTTATGACCTTCATCTTGATTCCAGCAACATTTTTTCCTGACCTCAATGCAAATAATTAAGAAACTTCCTCATTTTAATATCCATTTGGGCAGATAAAGAACTGCCACCTAATCTGCAGTATATTAAAAAGCAAATGTCAACGAAAGAATTTAGTAAGCTTTTAGGAATGTCATTCAAGTAATATATTAACATAATTAAAATCTCATTACAATAGTCACCGTATTTGTATAGATCATTGTCCCTGTTTGACAGTACCTGTTTCCAAAGTGCGGTATCTATAGACGCTCATTCCGCATCATCATTAATAATGCACATCTGCAGTGGATTTTTTTTTTCATTTTCCATTTTTATTGGTACCAGGGATCGAACCCACGACTGCCTGCTTACAAGGCAGGCACTTATGCCGCTGAGCTAAATCCCCAGCCCCTACAGTGGATTTTGATAGGAATACTAATTAGGCAAGATGTTATCTGCTCTCACAGAAGTCTCACTAGTAGACTCTTGTTTGTAGAAATTCTCAATTATTTTCATATTTTAAATTTTATCAATTAAAAAGTTTATGGAATTCTCTAGATGTCTACATAATAATCACTCTTTATATAGCTTTTGCAACACAGATAGTGTTGAATATTATAAAGATCTCTTTTATCAATTTAATTTCCATAGGAAATTAGGAGTTATACTAATCTGGAGTTGAATGACAGTTCCACAAATTTAAATCTGTGTTTCTAATTTAATCCTCTTTGTGAATTATTTAGTTCTGGTGTTGTTTGGGAAATGAAACCACAGCAGAAATGGAAGCCTTTTAGTCAGAAGCAGATACTCCTCCTGGAGCATTCCTACCAGAAGCACCAGCGCTCCTGTGACCGCGGCTGGGTGAAGCTAGAGAATAATTTTGAGGTAAGCCCCAGTGTTCAGAGGTGTATTTTGTTGTTGTTGGGAGTGGGAGTGAGTAGTTTTATTGTCTAGTATGTGTAGACATTGAAATATGTGTTTGTTAGTAAATAAACTCTTACTTATTAGTAGGAGTGTTCGTATATAATTAAAATACTATATGGTGTCACTGCAATTAAATGTGTTAATATAATCTTGTACTGTGAAGCCTGATTTAAATGTTTCTCTTCTGTATTGTTTTAACTGGTTTTTTCTACAAATCAGTTTTGTGAAACTTTTTGTGAAATTTATGCAGCAATTATGGTAGTTTATTGAAAATTTTACTCTTATATGTTGAATAATACCTATGCATTGCTAAGTACAGTTACATTACTTCATTGTTAGAAAACCTACAAAAGTTCTGCTGAATTAAATTCATTAATCTGAATGATTGTTGGTATCCACAAATAAAGGTGTGCTCTCCATGAGGCCTTCCAGAACAAAAACTGAAAGTTATGGTGGCTGCAGGAAGACTCCAGAAACTTGACTTGAGTGGGCAGCTTGCCATCTTCAGTCGTATACTCTAGGTGTTCTTTGTCTCTAGTGTCTGACAGCTGAATCTGCACTGGTCACCAGATTTGTTTCCCACCCACCCTGACAGTGGGCTGCACATAAGTGGGGCGGGGTGGGGCTGTGCCCTTTGTGTCCAGCAGAAGCTAGCTATTAATTGTGTATAGTGAGCTTTCTTAGAAAAGTGAGTCTGTTTCAGAGCTCTCGGTTGTAGATGACCTTAAGATCTTCTGGTGAGACATAGAAAGATAGTCTTCTCATTTGGTTTCATCAGTGCACAGATACCTAAAAGGAGATACTCTGCTAATACCAACTTACCAAAATTGTGCTTTTTTTCTAGGTCAATTTTGATAAAGTTCCCATGGAAATGCGTCTTCCTATTCAGTGCCCTATTAAACGAGATTTTCTGTCAGGAATTCAGGTTGAATTTAAGCAGTCTCCTCATCAGAGGAGTTTAAGGGCCAGGTTGTATTGGCTACAGGTAATATTGTTATCCTTAGTTAAATAAGTATTTCTAAGTACTTTGACAATTTTGACAGTGAAATTTCTCTTTTTATATTAAACTTGATATCTTCTGTGGGACTTTGAGTATAGTTCAGTGGTAGAGCACATGAGGCCCCAGGTTTAACCCCCAGCACCAAACTAATAAAAAAAGAAATTGCTCATGTTTTTCCTCTTCTCTCAAGTATTATTATGTGAATTCAGCATCTCCCTTACCATCTGCAGTAAAGAACATGTAATTCCGGCAGCTGTTGAATTTGGCCTGTTAACGTGCAGGGGTGTTGTCTTATTGGGATGATGTCGTTTTTAAAAGTCCCTCGCATCTGTGATGGCATTCCCAAGTGAGATCTTCCTTTGTTGTTCTTCATGGTGAAGCATGGGGCTTTACTGGTAGTTTCATTTGGATGATTGATTGCTTTTTCCTTCTCTGAACCTCCCTCCTTGTCTTCTTTTTAACTATAAAGTTGTTATGTAAGGCATTTTCTTTTTTTCTTCTTTATTCTTTATTTAGAGAATTCTTCTGTATTTCTTAGTCAGTTACTTACATCTAAATATTTAAACCATAGGTAGTAGAAATCTCACAGGATTGACTGGTTCAAATATTTGCACTAATAGAGTATATGTTAGAGGTATGAAGGAATTCATATATGTAATTATTATATAAAGACTTGCCTCTGCTGAGGTGTGTAAGTTTTACAGATTATGAGGTGTCACATGTCCAAGCAGATGCTGAATTACGGTGAAGGTAGTGTTTTGTATAATTCTGTCTGTGACACCAAAAGCTTCATTAAAGCCTAAGTTGGTTTTCTTCTTTTCAGGTCGATAATCAGTTACCAGGTACCATGTTTCCTGTTGTATTTCATCCTGTGGCTCCTCCCAAGTCCATTGCTTTGGATTCAGGTAGAAAAGGAATTACAGGCATACCTTGTTCCTAAAAGCTAAGTAGGCGCAAGTTTTGTCTTGTATAAAGCTAATCTTTCTCTTGCATCTGCTTCCTTTTAGAGCCCAAACCTTTCATTGATGTGAGTGTCATCACAAGATTTAATGAGTACAGTAAAGTCTTACAGTTCAAGTAAGTATTTTCACTGTTTATCTAAAGGAATCTAAAATGAGCATTTATTTTGAAAATAAATTTTATTCTTTTTGAAAGTCATTTCTGTAGAAAATTATCTTCCACCTGAACATATAAATCCACTTTTGATTTTTAAAATTTCTTCATTTTTTTTTAAATTTTAAAGATAGTAAAGTCCAACAAAACAGAACAAAGTCAATCAAAACAGAGCAGCAAAGTTAGTACAGAACTTCAAAGCAGGATGCTAGGAAAGCATCAGTAGCTGCCGTAGTGTATCTTGTTATCGCCACAATAGTTGTCCATTCCATCAGGTATAGCAGAATCAAGCCAAAAACAAAACAGAAGAAAGCCAATCTAAACAGAAGTTTGAATAAAATAAAACAGAACAAAACAAAACAGTGAAAACAATACTGGATTTCAAAGATAAAATAGAAAGAAATCCCCCAAATTTGCTATATTGCACTGTCATCCTCCGAAGAGATGCTAAGACTGCTGGCCCCAAAATCAACTGGACAATAGAAAAGTTTAGGTGCTTCATGTACCTTAGTTGCTATCAACACAGCCTTTTCTCTGAACCAGCAGGTGGCGGTCTGGTTGGCTGAACCCACTTTAGGTCAAGGACTTTTTGCCCTTAAATTATTTTAATGACGGTGTGTACGTATTTGAAAATGTAGAATTCCATCTGTCACCTTCATTTTGTAACTTCAATTAGAGTGTGGAATAATGAGGTACAGATGATAAGTGTCTGTGAGTTGTGTTCGTTAAAGCAGTTGCTGTAAACTAAAAATGGAGTGGTGCGTGCTGCATATTCTAATTTTGTTCATCTTCATTGTGAAATTTTACCGTGCTGAGTGTTAATACAGTAATATTACCCCAAAGTGAAACACTATACTGAAAATTTTCAGTCTGATTAAGCTTTGCCCTTATTAATGTAATTTTAAGAGATAAATAATGTCTTACTGTGGCTTTTGACTAAATTAAAGTTTTAACATTGAAACTTACCAAGTTTGATGGAAACCCTTTTTCATTTTACGACTTTGTTTTTCCCTGTAGGTATTTCATGGTCCTCATTCAGGAAATGGCCTTAAAAGTCGATCAGGGGTTTCTTGGTGCTATGGTTGCCCTGTTTACCCCAACAACTGACCCTGATGCTGAAAGCAAATGGGTAACATTTTCATTCCAAGGAAAACTGTGTGAAAGGTGGTAAAGTCAATTAGTTTTAAAGATAATTTCAGTGCAGAAAAAAATTAAAAGAAATTCTTGATTTAACCTTTTCAGACAGTTACTCCAACAAGATATTGATGCTCTAAACACAGAGTTAATGGAGACTTCAATGACTGATATGTCAGTTCTCAGTTTCTTTGAACATTTCCACATTTCGCCCATTAAGGTTTGTTGCTATTTTGAAATTTTAATGTAATTGTTTTAAGACTTTTAAAGGGTCTATGTACTAGTGTTTTTAATTTGTTACATCAAATATTTGGTGAGAATTTTGTTTGATTAATGGTAATAATTAAGTGGTTCTCTGTAACAGATGTACAGTGATAATTCCCACAGAAAAAAATTACTAGAGCATATTCTCTAGTCTTGGATTAATAACCCCTTACTCAAGAAAGATGAAGACGCTGACAAAGGCATTTCTTAATTAGGTGTAGAAGTGCCCACCAGCATCTAATGTGTTGGTCGCACTTCGTAACTACTGTCACTGTGGAAACCAAGCACATCAGGGTGCCCTGACCGGAGTGCGAAAGCGCTGAAGTTGGCGTTCTTCTCTTGACGCGATGTTTTCCCTTTCCCACATTTGATTGCAACTGAGGGAGTAGAAAATTGGATGCCTTTCACTTGCCTGATTTTGTACTTTATGAACCCATTTCTTTTTTCCCCTTTTGTGCTTTTCAGCTTTTACAGGGAAAGGTGACTACTTAGTAAATTTACAAATCCTATCAACCATAATGCTCGAAACTTGTGTAATGGACCAGATTTAACAATTAAGAAACTGGAAAATATTGCTCATCCTTTACATTTTCAAAAATTGTTCACAGCACTTTATTTTCAGTTGCATTCACAATCCATTGAGCTTAAGTGGATGGTTTCATAAATAAGGTTATTATTTTAAAATGATACGTTAGTTTGGTGATATCAGACTCAGGCATAAGATCACCTTTAAAATTGACATTGTTTTTTGTGTTAGGTTATAAAGAGTTTCTTTTTCATTACTGAGTGAAAAATCTGTTCTTCGTGGGATTAAATAATACCCTTCAACAAAATTTATTGAGTGCCTGTTATCCAAATTGCTGTTCAGACATGAAATGACTTCTTGGAGTTTATATTGTAGGGGAGTGTTAAAGATTGCTAATTTAGCTCTTCATGTTCTTAGACACACTGGGAATTATGCTGTTCAGTAGAATAATGAAGATTATGAACAGTTATTTTTGTAGTCCATGTTGACTTTGCCTCAGGGAGGGGTAGAGCCCTGGGCTTTCCTGGACTTGTATCAGGTCCACTTTGTGTAGCTCTGGGCAGGTTAAGTAGGACGTCCAGGGAGGACAGAAGGAGAAAGGAGAGTCATCTGCTTCCCTGACACGTGTTGAGTTACCCGTTGTCTGTGTCTTCCTGCTCTACTGCATTAATGTTGCTATTGGATAAAGTGGAAGCCAATGGGAAGGTGAAAGTCTGCTTTTAAGGACTGAGAGAGGTACTGTGGAAACTGAAAGCCTTGTGATTTCTTTTAAAAGTTTATTTGGCAACTCACTAACTGTTCCATAATTGTCATGCCATTGCTAATTATTTTTATGGTATAATTATAACAATTGTTATCATTAATTGTTGCCATGAGCTATGTACCTTAATTGGATGAAAATAAATAATTTCCTGTTTTGGCTGGCAAACTGTGTGCCAGCTGACGTTTTCTTCTTTAAATCATTATCCCATTTTTGTACAGGGATTTTGCTTCCTTCCTAATGACATGATGGTATTTATACACTTGGAATGAAAATAGAGGTCTAGTTTTGAGTCAGACCACTTGTATTTTGTCAGAAAATAAATGAGAATCAGATATGAGTTGTTCTTTATTTGTATACAGGATAAATAACATGTTTTAGCAGGGCTTTCATTGGAAGATACTTATGGTTGTCATACTAGATTGGACGATCTGGGTCCTGTTGTATAAAGCTTTTGTGTTTTGCTTGTGTTTATTGAATATTATGTTTCTTTTAGTTGCATTTGAGTCTGTCTTTGAGTTCTGGAGGTGAAGAATCAGACAAACAGGAAATGATTGCGATTCATTCTGTCAACCTGCTTCTGAAAAGCATAGGTGCCACTCTGACTGATGTGGATGACCTTATTTTCAAGTAAGACTTCTATTCCAGTACACTGGAAGCTATTTATGCCAAGGTTGAGTGTTTGGATACTAATTTTTCTATTTCTGTAGTATTAGCCTAGGAGGTTGATAATGCTTACTACGTGAAGAATTTGATCCATTTTTGATGGTGTTCTTTAAGATGTGCTTATTTTATTAATAACAATGATGATGAAGTCATATTTTCTTTTATTACTCATATCTTGGGGCTGGGGATTTAGCTCAGTGGCATAAGTGCCTGCCTTGCAAGCAGGCAGTCGTGAGTTCGATCCCTGGTACCGATAAAAAGGAAAAAGACAAAAAAAAAAAAAGTATACTCATATCTGTGTAATATGAATATAAAATAAAAATTTAATTATTTTCTGTATTTAGAAATTTGTAGCAATGAAGTGAGATTTCATTGTAACCACCCAGCAAAGTACAGAAATAACAACATCTTGTTACCTTTAATATGAGGATATTTATGTGTGCTGGTTACATATGAATTCAGTAACTCTCTGTGGCATTGAATATTCAGTAGTGGTATTGGGACAAGGAGTCAGCTGGAAGAAAATTTTTCAAATTATTTCTGTCTCACAAAACAAAGGATAAAATACTGTGTAATTTTCAATCTGAAAGACTTGAAAAAAATTTGTTATTAGATCTGTGAGTAGAGAAAATCTAAGCTTAAAAGCTATAAGAAAAATTTCTTACAGCTTTTCAGTGGAAAATGCAAAATAGATTGTACCACATAAAAATTGAATATTTCGTATTAGAGCCGAGGAAGATGAAGACAAAAGCTGGAAAAGTACAATGATATAAGATGTAGAGAGGATTTTTAGTGTTAATATTAACCATTCCTAGAAATTCCAGTGGTGTCACAGCCATTGGACAGTAAGAGGTACCTCACAGAAAGGAAAGTGAAGGTGACTGATTGATAGTTGAAATGTCTAGTTTTAGTATTTATCAAAAGTGCATGTAGGGCCTCAGCAGCATAAGCACCTGCCTTGCAAGCAAGCGGTCATGAGTTCGATCCCCGGTACCGATTTAAAAAAAAAAAAAAAGGAAAAAAAGTGCATGCAGATTGATGTAAATTATCACCACTTCAAAATGCAAGTGGTCCTCATACTACTAGATGGAGTGGGTCTAAGAAATGGACACTTTTTTATGCTGTGGATGTTAGTGGAAAGCTCTGCATCTATGGAGTCTGTTTTTGTGGTCTGTCATTCAGTATTCTGTTTTGGGAATTTAGTCCAAAAAATAATCTTGAAAAGCAGCTAGAGTTATATTCAAAATATATGAGGCAGCATGAATTATACCCAGAACTGGGCTCTTGGTGACAGAGGGGAGTTGGTCATTCCGATGCTGTCCCACAGAGTGGCAGTGGAATGCTGTGTACCCGAGGTGATTTAATGGGACGTGAGTGAAGATAAAAACAGATACCCACAATGATGGCACATAAAATATTGTAAATGCTTTGTAATTGCATAGAAAAGAATTAAAAATGGAAACGATGAGGAAACGAAAAAATCTAGAGTGGTGAGATGGTGGTTGACTTTAAAAATTGTGTACTCTGTCACATATTTATTGTAAGCTTACATGAAAATGCACTATTTTAATCATAATTTTGTTACCATAACATTAAGATACCAGCTGTAAATTACATCAATGCAAAGTTAAATATGAAAGAATTGACTGTGACTAGAATAGGCTATTAGTGAATTTTAAGTCCTTTTCCCCCAGAATATAGTTTTAGTGTTTTGAAATTTTCCTTTTTCTCCTCCTAGACTTGCTTATTTTGAAATACAATACCAGTTTTACAAGAGAGATCAACTCGTGTGGAGTGTTGTTAGGCATTACAGTGAACAGGTAATTTCTTATTAGAGTAGCTTTCAGGGAATATACTTCATAAAATACTAGAATAAAACATTTGTATGTGATTGTGTAATATGTAGTAATGTTTACATAATTTATCTCAATTTATAATCTCAAAACTTAGTGTTCTTCTTAAATGATTAATTTGTTCTTTAGTTCTGCCACCATTATATACTTTTCAAAAATTTCCCCCTGTGCCTCTTTCCCTTTGCAGTTGTTACCATTTGGGAAAGAGTAGTGATTTTGGTGTCATTACTTTTGAGTTCTTGAGGGGCTGTTGTCTGTCAGCATAGCATATGGAATTGCAAGAGAAACTGTGGTCTGGTTTCTTTCCTGGACGTCTATCACCCTGTGGTTCTGTAGGTGTCCAGCTGCTCAGGTGGCATTGCTGTGTCCTGAGACCACAAGTGGTTTCCTCTTGCTGTCTTGTGCTAGAAGGTTTTCTCCTTTCTGATGTGTAGATGTTGCAGTGATTACATGTTCAAATAAGGATTTCATTTCTCTTGTTTTTTGTTTTAGTTTGTAATTATTCTGCACATAATTTAAAAAGTAATAGTGATGATAAGGTAAAAATAACAACCACCATTACTGAATTATGTATTTGTTTAATAGGTATACTCACCCATGCAAGGTTGATGTAGCTTTGCGTTTCGTAGATGAGAAGGTGGAGGCTGGTAGATACTTGTCATGGTTTTCATAATTGCTAAAGGACAGACTCTACCTCAAACTTAGTTTCAATTTGAAAGCCGTACAAGTGTGACACCTGATACACAATGAAATATCAGTCAGTGGATGTGGGAGTGGAGATTCCACATGGCTCTCCTTTTACCTAAGCATAATCTCTCACACCCATTCCCTACTGTATCATGATGCCCTTTTTTTTTGAACAGCTGCAAAGGACTTAGTTTACCTTTTGTCTTCCATAGTTCTTAAAACAGATGTATGTCCTTGTGTTGGGCTTAGATGTGCTTGGAAACCCATTTGGATTAATTAGAGGTCTGTCTGAAGGAGTTGAAGCTTTCTTCTACGAACCCTTCCAGGTATTGCTTTTTTTTAAAAGTTCAAGTGTGGGTATAAAATTTTTAATGACAATAGTTTGTATTTTCATTGTATCTAGGAACTGAATGATATTTATTTATTTAAAAATATTTGAAATGACATTGAAAGCCTGATTTTGTGAATTAAATAAGCACTTGTGCTTATCTGGACAATGAAATGTGCCCATGTCCCAGATTTAGTGTAGTTACGAGGGTGTTTACAGTGTCGGGTAGACTGTAGATTCTTTTGATGCTGTTGCACCGCTGTGGGAGGGACTGGTGGGACATTAGGAGCCAGCCTGCTGTCACAGTCATGCTTTTGTCTAATTCGTCCAGCTCTCCAAAGAGTGGGAGCCCAGTGTGCTGAGGGTGTTGTTTGGAAGGATGAAGCCGAGAGAATAAGTGGGAGGGTGAGAGAGTCAGAAACATCTATGCACTCAGGCGGCCTGCTAGCAGTGCAGCAGAAAGCTGAATATGTGCAGATATGGACTCAGGCAGTCCTGGGAGCAGCTGCCGAAGAGGCAGGCAGCTTTGTACTGCATGGCCCACTTAGCATTAAAACCAGTGACTTTAATTTAACGTCCAGGTTTTTTGTCTTACAGAAGTTGCTGAGATTGTGTGGTAGAAAATACCTTTGATTAGAGTGGTATTCTATCAGTACTTGAAATATAGGATAAATATTGTCTTGTTAGCCTTCATGGATCTTTACACACTCATCATATTCATGAAAACCCTGAATTTTAAGGCTTAATTCTAAGTAGCAAACTTCCTTTGGGCCAGGGTGCTGTCCAAGGTCCTGAAGAGTTTGCTGAAGGATTAGTGATTGGAATGAGAAGTCTCTTTGGGCACACAGTAGGTATGTATCACCAATTTACATGTATCTGTATACTTTTATATTAACATAAAATGTGTTGTTTATGAGAAGTAAATGATTATATTTAGTAGGTGGGATCACTTAGTCTCTTTTAAAAGACATGTTTTCGTGTTTTTAAATGGGAAATAATTTAATATTGGCCTGTTAGTTTTTAAATATGTCTTTGTGGTGGTGAATCAATGTACTTCAAATATTTGATAGTTGGCAAAAAACGTTTCATTTTTGTGTGAGACAGATTTGTTAGTTGGAAGCAGTGCGTGCTGTGCATTGTGACATTGCTTCCATAGGACCCATGTGACTTCCTCCTCTGGCTTTTGGTAGGTGGTGCAGCCGGAGTTGTGTCTCGAATCACTGGTTCCGTTGGGAAAGGTTTGGCAGCAATTACAATGGACAAGGAGTATCAGCAAAGAAGACGAGAAGAGATGGGCCGACAGCCTAAAGATTTTGGAGATAGTCCGGCCAGAGGAGGAAAGGGCTTCCTGCGGGTAAATCTTCTTCAAGAACCTTCAACTTTTATATGAACATTTTGGAGTGTGCAATCCAAATGCTGAGTTTTGGTTTTGGGGGGGGGGGGTTGGTACCCAGAATCAAACTCTCAGTCTTGTGCTTGCCAGGCAGGCACTTGTGCCGCTGATGCTGAGCTGTGTCGTCCCCAGATAAAGGTGTCTTTTGTTTTTCTTGAGACAGGGTCTTGCTATGTAGTTTGGGCTGGCCTTGAACTCATTTTGTAGCCCAGGCTGGCCTCGAACTTGCAGCAGTCCTCCTGCCTCAAGCTCCCAAGGGCTGTAATTACAGGCGTGCATCACCACACCAGGCCTACACTGCTGTTTTTGACAGTTGTTAAGAGTGTATAACTGTATTTTTAATCTTGGAAGTATTTTCAAAAAGCTGCGACTGGTGTTTGAGCCAGTGAGTTTTAACAGCTGTGTCTTACATTCTGTGAAATACTCTATTTGTCAGGTTATTTGCTGTGCCAGGGTGTTTTCTTTATTTTCTTTTTTTTACAGTTCCATTAAATTAAAAAGTAATCTCATTGAAATGTATAATTAGATTATTTCACTCAACTAATTTTTATTGATGTGAGACGGAGGATTACACAGAGAGATTAAATCAACTGCCTGTGCTCGTACAGCTGATAGGTAACAGAGCCAGGTTTAGGTGCTCTATCTCTGCCTTACTGCTCTATCTTCCATGGATGTACTCAGTTAAAAAGCTCTGTGACTTAATATCTTTACAATAATAATGTGCTCACACGTTCACATTATCAAGTGAGTCATGAGTCTTTAGTCTTTTTTTTTTTTTTGAATTTTTGTTTCTAGTATGTTTGTAGAGACCTCTAGTGGTTGATTTAAAATTAAGCAACTTCTCTCCCAGGAACCTTTCTGATTGATTTCTCTTTCAGGGAGTTTTTGGTGGAGTGACGGGAATAATAACAAAGCCTGTAGAAGGTAGGTTGAGAGTATTTCTGCCCGGTAAAAAGTAAAGTGTCAGTGCTTGATAAACATGCTAGATGTTGCTATAAGATACTTGAGAAAACCATTGACTAAATTTTAGATTCACATTCTTAAATTATTTAGTGTATCTTCCTCAGAAAGCAGAGACATTAAGTAGGAGATTATGATTCAGACTTTGAAAGCTGTTTTCATCAGGACCATCAGCAAACTAGATTTTTTGAGACTCTCACTAGTAATTGACTTGAGGTTTTTCTGTGGTTATCTTTTTTATAGTCTCATTTAAAAAGGTACGTATTCTTCAGTGCAATCCCAGTTGGTATTTTTTGTGACAGTTGACAATCTAAAATTTATATGTAAATTCAAGAGTTCCAAAATAGCTGAAACAGTCTTGAAAAAAGAGCAAATTTGGAGGACTTATACTTCGCAATTTTAATACTTGTTATGTATAGAGCTGTAGTAAAAAAACAGTGTGATACTTGTGTAAGAATAGACGTATAGATCAATGGTATATAACTGACAGTTGACAGTTCAGAAATAAAATCTTCCAGTTATGGCCGATTGAGTTTGGCAGGGGTGCTGAGACGGCTGGACATCCACACGTGAAGCAGAGTAAAACTGGACCCTTAACCCTGTACTGTGTAAAAGTGAACTCCAAATAGGCTAAATACCTAAACGTAAGAGCAAAGCTACAGAACTCAAAGAAAACACAGAACCGGGTCTCTGTTACTTTGGGGTGGCTTAGCTTTTCTAGATGCGACACCAAAAGCACAGATGAAAAAAAGAAAAAGTAGTTAAATTATACTGCACTAGAATTTAAAATTTTTGTGCCAAAAGGACACCATCAAGAAAGGGAAATGACAGTCCACAGATTGGAAGCAGATTTTTACAGACATCTATTTGATGAAAGACTGAATATAAAGCACTCTTACAAGTCTCAGTTTAAATGGACCAAGGATATGAATGGACATTTCTCCAAATCAGATGTATGAGATGAGACTAAAGGACCAGGGACTTAGCAGCCTAAGCACCTGCCTGGCAAGCATGAGGTCTTGGATTCAATTCCTGATACAAAAAAAAAAGAGAGAGATGACTAAAATTCATGATGAACATTTAAATTTTTGAAAATTAGTATAATAACAGATGTTGACACTAAGTCCCCTCAAAATCTCCCCTTTGATTTGAACACACTTACCCCATTGCTTTTGCCACTTCTGAAGCAGTTCTGGAAGCCATCCTTAGTATCGGTACAGGTGAACGTGGCTGCTGAGGGCCATCCAGTGGGCAGGCATCTTGTTGGAAGGTGAGGGTGGGTCCTCATGCATTTTGTTACTGGGTCTGGCACCATGCCACTGAGTGCTGGTCTCCAAAGTTAAAGGTAGGTGCTTTGAATTGATTCAGTACACTGAGGCAGCCGCGACGGCACAACCACAGACACTTGTGAAAGAGGACTTCAGAGCTGCTTCAGAGAGGGGCAGGGCGATGGGATGAGTGTGCTTGGAGGAGGGAGGAGGATAATTGACATTGTATCTTTCACTGTTTTATTTATATATTTAAAAAAGGAAAGTGAGGAAAAAAAGCAAAAGGCATAAACAACAACAGCAAACTCAAAATAGTAACAATACAGGGTGTCGAAACAATGAAAGAAATTTAACAATGGTGGTTACATTACATATTGTTCTCTTTTTTTTTTAAAGAAAGAAAAGAAACTTAAAATAGAAAAACAGAAAAAGGTAGAACAATACCAAATTAAAAAAAATTACCATCACAGAATCAAAGCATAAATGGTGGCTAGCCCCCCAAACATTGACAGTGCAGATACTTTTTTTTTTTAAATGTAAACTTTGACCAGGTTTTCTGATCACTTGTAAAGAGGGCTCATAAGAACATCTAATTAGTCATCAGGGGTGTATGTATCAAATCACAGTCACATACCACGTCACACCTGTTAAGAAGGCTGAACTCAGCACAGTGTGGGGAAATCGAAGCCCTCATACATTGCTGAGAGGAATGGAAGGTCATGCAGTTCCTGTGTGGAAGAATCTGACTGTGCAACCAGAGACTTAGCTGGGCTCTCGTGTGGCTCTTTTGGTGTAAGGTATGCACCCAAGAGAGTTGAAAGAGAGGTTCAGACAAAAACTTTATGATAGCAGCATCTTATCCCAAATATCCTCCTAGAGGGCCGAAATACCCTTTCCCTGTTGTATGAGTAGCTGAAATATGGCATATCCGCACGATGGAATATTGTCCTACTTGAAAAGAGATCAAATACTAATAGGTACTACAAGATGGATGAGCCATGAAAATAGGTATAAAGTAGAGAAAGCCACTGGTACTAGAACACAGACTGAATAATTTTGTTCATGGGAAATGTCCACAACAGGCAAATCTGGTGAAATAGGCAGTGTCTGTAGGAGAGTGAGCAGGGGGCAAGAAGTGAACTGGGTGATCAGATTAGGGAAGACTTGGGGCAGTCGTGAGGCTTGGTAATCGACACAGGGTTTCTTTTGAGGTGTGGTACAGAGTTTGAAAAGTTGTGATCTAACTTCTTTAGTTAACTTCTAATGTCTAAAAGTATATTGCTTGAAAAATCTTGATGATTGCTGTAAAAAACAACAATGTATCGTTAGTTCTCGGGCCTTGCAGTTGCCTCTGCTGACTAAAGGACCAGTCAGCTCTGGAGCTTTGCAGCTGTCTGGAGTGCTGGTTACCCACTCTGGGGTTTGGTTCAGCAGGACTGAGTTGGGGCCCAAGAATTTTCACTTAGCACAGACTTCGAGGACCCAGTGTTCTTGTGTGAGGATTAAATTTAACTTGTTTAGAAAGTCAGTATCTTGTAGCTTTCTGAGTTTGGTGCACATTTCTGTTGAGTTCAAACTTGCTTATTTTAAAGGATCTTTGTATACTTATTGTCTTTTTTCCTCTGAAGGTGCCAAAAAGGAGGGAGCTGCTGGATTCTTTAAAGGAATTGGAAAAGGGCTTGTGGGTGCTGTGGCTCGTCCGACAGGCGGGATTGTCGACATGGCCAGCAGCGCCTTCCAGGGCATTCAGAGGTGAGTGTGCCCACTCGGGCAGTGCTGTCAGGAGTGAGTGGAGTGCTTGCTGCCTCTGGGACTGAGTTCACTTGGAAGTTACAACAGCTTGACAGGTAAGGGGCCACCAGAAAGGAAGTAGAAGAGATTTGTTCAGTTTCCCTCTTTTTCATCACCTCCCCCAGTCTTGGTTGCTGTCTGTCTCTGTGTCATATATATGAATGAATGTACCCAGGGGTATTATACTACTACTGATCTGTACCCATAGCTCTTTTTTATTTTTTGTTTTAAGATGGGTCCAGGCTGGTTCAGTACTTGTGATCCTACGCAGCTTCCTGAGTAGCTGGGATTACAGGCGTGTGCCACCATGACTAAAATGTAGTTACCACAAAACAAACAGTTACTGGTCTTGCCATATGCTAAACACTGTGCTGGGCACCAGGAAAACAAAGAGTAGGTGATGTAGTCTTTGCTTTTATTATCTGTGACTTTGTTTAGGAAGAGGGTGGAATGGGTTTGGGGATTTAGCTCAGTGGCCCAGGCGCTTGCCTGCTAAGTGCGAGGTCGTGAGTTCAATCCCTGGTACCTAAAAAAGAAGAGGATAGAAGCTTAGGGTTCAGAATTGGACTTACTATTTTCTGCTATATTTTGGGCTACATAAAATTATCATTGTTTGCTTATCAAATATTTGTATATTTAGTCAGCATGTGTCTTTGGATTATTTTGAAGTATTCTCACATATTGCACATTTTCTGCTACCTTGAGTAGGGCAGCGGAGTCAGCTGAGGAAGTGTCGAGCCTGTGCCCCCCTCGCCGTATCCAGGAGGATGGCATCATTCGTCCCTACGACAGGCAGGAGTCAGAGGGCCATGACTTGTTCGAGGTAAATTCTTTTCTTTGAGAATACAAGCAGAGTTCAATTTTAAGGATTGCTAGAGCCAGGATTTCAGGCCCTTAACGTTCCTAACTGATGAACTTCATTGAAGGATGAGAGCTGGTTTGTAGAATAATTTAGATTATTTATTTTTTGTTTTAGCATAGTATGTTAAATGTAAGTATTTGGTGAAGTTTTCTGCACAGTAGCAAAGCTTTTTGGTGCAGAAAAGATAATGTTAAAAGAAGTCACAGGCTGTACTCATTTAGTGAACATTGTTAGTTTTGGCTTCCTGCTTTGTAGCTAATCACTGGAATTTCACTGCTTTTTCTCCCCCACAAATTAGTTCATTTGCACTACTTTATAACTCTACATTTATTCAGGTAAACAGCTGAGGAGAGAAAAAAAGGTAATATAAGGTTACAGTTCTGTTAACTTTTAAAGTTTTCCATCTTTTACTATAACTTTATTATAGTTAAATAATATGTACATAAATAAATTGCTGTTTTTCTGTCACTGGCTTTCCTGCAAAGACAGCTTATTAATATTTTCTTTCCTTGACTTTAAAATAAATGACTCTGAATCATTCTTAGCCTTTGGTTTGTATTATATGTGATTCCATTTTATCTTTTTGCGTGCTTCTAACTTTATTTTCTTTCTTTTTCTGCCTACACAGCAAGAACTGGAAATACAAGAGTAAATGTTTCCCATTCTACTACTTGATTTCATCCTTAATCAGAACAAGCTGTGGTACTGACGGGGTGTGAGTCAGACTGAGAGCCACCTCTAGTGAGATTGGCTTTATAACTCTCCTCTCCATTTGGGCTTTTGACCGTAGCATTTGATAACAAACAAAAGTGATAGTGTATCTGGTAAAACAGTGCTGGTAAGCGCTCAGTGTAAAAGATGAGAGGTTGTGGGAAACAGCTGCTTCCAGTTTAGTAGGTGAAAGACAGTCCAAAACCAGATGATTCTGGTTCATTTTGAAAATTTTATCTTACAGTGTTTATGTGCATGTAGGTAAAATTGAAAAGAAAGGAGTAGTTTTTATATTCAGCCTATTGGATGTATTCTTTTTTTGTTTTAATTTTATTTTAAAGAGGGTAAAACCAAACATAACAAAACAGAACAAAGCAGATCAGAAGAAAACAATGTAAGAGACACAGATTTGGATGTATTCTTATGTTTGCAAGTCATGATGGTGGAATATTATTTCCCAAATTACTAAATAGACTTTTGGTTCCCCAATTACTAAATTTACTCAAGTCAAAGGACGATGAATTAGGGCATTTGTAAAAGTCAGTTGCTCTGAGTCTGTCTTTAGACTCTAAGTGAGAGTTGTCATATGAAGTTTGAGACTCTGTTTCCCTTTCCTCTTTTTTTCCCTTTTTAATCTCATGTTATATACATGCTCAGTCTTGCATTTATGCTTTTCAGAGATCCAGTCTCCTTGTTGGTTATATGTGCTTTGTAATTTTTAGGTTTAATTAGTGCAAACAGAAAGAGAAGTTATGTGTAATTTTTTAAAATAAATGATTGAAATGTTTAATTGGCTTTAGCAGCATCTTATCTCACAGCTTTATGCTGTGCCCAAAATTGAAACTAAAGTAAAATTTAGATTTCTAATGTGTTGCTTATTTGAGCACAGTGAAACTATGAACATACAACAACTGTTCAATTATCAAGATAAAACTACAGTTATCAAGATAATTACTCTTTTGATTCACATTTAAAAGAAGCACTTTGCTGGAAACAACTGGCATCTGAAGAGGACCCAGTGCAGGAGTAGCAGGACTGCTGCTCTTGGGCTGGAGGAGGTAGCCTGCAGGTGGAGCGCTTGCCTAGCGCCTGCCAGGCCCTGGGCAGCCCCCAGCATACCCTCCGCTGCCCTGGCACACACAATTTCTGTCCCTTATGGGACCAGGTATAACAAAACATACAAATACTAAAAGTAGTATTTTCTTGGCTGTGTCAGTTTTAATGAAAATTAAATTTTGGGAACTTTCATACTTCAAGATATTTTTCTTGTTTACTTGTTTAATTTTTTTAAAGCTCCTTAGGTTATTAACCTTTTACTTGTGATTTTTTTTGAACAAATGTATGTTAATAAGCATAAAACCTCAAGAAACTTTATTAGTTTATTTAGAGGTCATCTTCTTGTCTGATTTATTAATTCTTTATCAGGCAATCCTTTAGACTGTAATTATTATTATGGTTACTAGAAGGTATAGAATGTATATTACTGAGAGGACTTAGTATTTTTTCCCAAGGGTGGTAAGCACAAATACTGAGAAATTTAAACTGTTTCACCCTTTACCTATCTTACTGTGCTTAGATATTTGAGTAAGAAATATTTATTGATTATTTAAACAGTTTCGGATATTTTTAAAATCAACATGGCCTTAAAGGACCACATATAGCAAAAGGTAAATAGCAAAGAGTACTAGCATATAAAAATGATACCATTTCATCTCTTACAATAATTTATTAGGTCTTTTGATCCCCATTTAATAGTCAGCTCTAAGAATTTCATATACCAGGTTTTCATTATGTTCTTCTTCTCTATTCTTCTAGGATAATTACTGTTTACTGCATATGTGTGTGTGTATATATATATGTATGTATGTGTGTATAATATGTGTGTGTGTGTGTGTAGTCAGTTTTACATTTAATATTAATTTTGGCCCAGATTATATAAGATTTAAAATGAGGTCCCTTACCTTTCCTTTTTAATTATATTTTCCATGTTCTTAGAAATGCTTCATTAGCATTTTAAATTCTTGCATTAGCATCTGTTTAGGTAACCTTACATCATGTATTTTATTTTTAATTCATGGTATTAAAGTTTGTCTATTATTTTACAACAGTAATAATGCTATGATAGACATCAGCATATATTTTGTTTATTCATATCTTGTGCTGTTTGCTTAGAGTTAACTAAAAAATGAAGCACCAGGTAAAAGGCTTTCGTATCCTGTTACTAACTCCACATTGCATCCTGAGAAAGGAGAGAGGCGATGTTATCAGCGGTGTTGATCTCCTGCTTCCATCAGTAATTATCTTCCTCTGAATCTCAGAGCCTAGAGAATTTTTAGTAGTACCTAGAAGGTCTGCCACAGTGTGTTCCGGTGATATCACACGTTAGAGGCTTTCAAGGTTGAAGTGCAATAATCTGACAACTAATGAGATGTATACGAGATAAAGAGTAGATACTATGTCTTGTACTTGCATCTCTAAGCTAATTTCATTTTAGCATTTAAATTTCAAGGTGAAAATAAATTCCCATAATTGTTAATTCTTTTCCCATGTTCTCTTTGAAGAAATTGAGGCCTAATTGACAAAAGTATTTAGCTAACTCAGAGGTGAGCTGTGAAACAGGTGAGCCTGGCTCTGAAAGCTGCACTCCTCCCTTCCCGAAGTTCATTGCAAGGCTGAGGCCTCAGGCTTGGAGATTTCTCCATTTTGTCTGTGGGCTTGGTAATTATCAAGGGACACTTGGGGACCAACATCTTTTAATAACGTGTACTCAAGCATTAAAACAATATCTACAACTGTGCTTTCTCTGCTTGCGATTATATTGATTATATTTTCCTGTAATAATATTGATATTGTATTCTTTGTTATAAAATATTATGGTCTTATTCAGAATGTTCACATTCTGTATTTTTAAATATATTATCCTCTGGTCTTTATGTATTATAGATAATGCCATTAATAATATTTTCCTGCTATTAATTATAAGAAATTTGTTGTTTTTTAATGTGTGTTGACTAATTCAAATCAATACTTTTAAGATAGTTTAAAAGAAAAATAAATCTTTTAAAGTGCTGTAATTTATATTTGAATTATTTTATGCTTGGTATTTCTCTGTAGAAATAAATCTTAGCAACTATTTTGAGATCTTAGAACATCTTCATTTTCATATTATCATTGTAATTTTTATTAGAAATATAATTTTATATACAAATATACTTTTCAGTGTGTTTAACTTATACAACCAAAAATTCAAAAATAGTAACCATTACCTTATAATTTTCTTGTGTGTATAATGTCGACCTCTGTATAAATCAGTGCTTGAGTCTTTCACCCAACCCCATCAAAAAATCTGACGAAAAATACGAGCTATCCTGTGAAAAACGTTGTAGAACCATATTTTTAAAATGTTGCGATACATTAGGTATTCATAGAGCATACCCAGAGTCTTCTCTGCAAACAGCAGTCTGAGAAACACTGAAATGTCAGTGTAGTGGTTTTGTGTCAGCTTATGTTTGCTTGTTCCTTAGAGTGTAGTTCTTTCTGGTCGATATTTTAAAATATCTAAGTTATCACAGAAAAAATTCATTTTATCAGAAGATCATTTGATAAGCATTTAATGCATAATTTTCTTTTAATACAATAGGGGAAGTTAATTTATACATGTGTTATGAAGTTTTTTCTAGCATCCTGTTCCAATGTAGAGTTGTACTTTTTATTCTAATTTGCCCCAAACACTATGATTATATATTAGCTATTACACAAATATTATATATATATATACATATATATATATATATATATATATATATATATATACTTCCCAAATCTTGAGTCTGTCTTCTTTTTCAGAATCATATAAAAAAGTTGGAAGGAGAAACTTACCAGTACCACTGTGCTGTTCTCAGAAGCAGGAGTACAATCTTCATGGTTACAAACAGGTACGCAGTTCAGGTGCCTCCCCGCTCTGTTCTGGTTCTTCTGATTCCCTGTGAGTAATAGGACTGTTTGCTCGGGCTGTATAGGGAATGCCATTGGTGTTTTGGTTGAGGTTGCATTATATCTGTGCACCAGCTTTAAAGGTGTGGCCATTCGGGCAGTCATGGTTCTGCCTGTCCAGGAACAGGGAGGGCTAGCTTTGACTTCTTGGAATTTGACTTTGACTTTAGCAGTCCATGTGATTGAGACCCACTGTGTAAACTGGTTTTGCTTAAAGTTATCAGTGTCTTCTAAGAAGATCTAATCCTAGTAATTAAATCCATCCTGTTGATGGTCCTAGTGAATGTACAGACAGGACATTAGAGCATGGGGACTCTGCTGACTGCCACAGCAACTCTGAATCTGGAGAGGAAGGGATGAGGTGGATGAGAAGAGGGAGGGTGAAGATGATGGGGAGGGTGGAGTCAGGCCTGGGCGACTGTCGGGCTATGAGAGAGAGGGGACCGCAAGATGACTTGGTTGGGGCTTTGCATGCCAAGAGCTGGTGGTACTATTTATAATGAGTTGAGGAAAGATAGTGAGTTTGTGGTTTTTTCTGTTGAGTTTGACAGCTTTGTGATCTGAAGGTAGAGATAACTCAGTAGTCAAGGAGACAGATGGATGAATGGACACAGTGGGTTAGAATAAAAATATGGAGTTGAGATTCCCCTCAGAAAGTGTGTCCATCAGAGGATTCTGCTTTTGGAACTGGAACTTTGGTGAAGGTGGAGCAGGAAAGAGAAGGAAATGGTTGTAGGAGTGCAGTGGCATCTTACTTGGGTGGCCAAGAGAAAAACAAATTTGAAGATACTTGAGTTAGTGAATTCGTTTGGCCTCATGCTGCCTGATACCCGTCTCTAGCTCTTGGCCTGCCGTCTGATTCTCAGCTGGGTTCGAGGGCAGAATGAGGGGTCCACCTTCTAGATAACTGTGTGGACTTGTGGGAGGTGTTAGAGGGCACTGCCTGCACCGACTAAGCTCAGGCATGGACACGGAGCTTCCTGTCTTGCTCAGCACAGTCCCAAGCAAACCCCAAATCTCAGTTGCCTCTCTGCTGATAAATACAGGGCCAGCACCACACCTGTTGTCTGCACCCTATTGGCCAGCATTATCCTCTACAGACCCAGGGTCCAGCCCTTTCCTCGCCCTCCCTGCCGTCCTGCCCTCACTGAGGGACTGCATGGGTGTCTGCTGCGAGGACTGCTACAGGAACTTCCTGGGCCTCCTGCCCTCTCTTTGCTGCTAGAGCCATGACTAAAAAAAAGAAACTTAGGTCATTTTCTGTTGCTTGTAGATTAAAGTCAATATTTCTTTAAACGGAAAAAGAAGAAAAAAGGGCCCTTCAGGAGCTGGCACTCAGTTGATTTTCTCGGAATATGTCTGGTACTCCAGCTGCAGACCTCTGTGTTCCTCAAATAAGCCTTCCCTCC